ATCAGTCGAGTCGTGCAACAGATGTTCCAACCAACCCCGAGCTAGCCGCGTCGATGAGCTCTTCGATTCGATCATGAAAGAGATGAGAGGGATTGCATTCGTGTGATTGCTTAACGTTGATGACGCGAGTGAACGATGTGGGGGTGGCGGAGCAAATTGTCACTGGTCGACAGTGGTGTTTGGGGGTGGGGCGATGTGGGCCGAGTGACATGTGCATCGATTCGAGAACTGAGGAAAGTAATTATCTCCTCGATGGTGCTGACGAGGAACTTGCGCTGGCGTCGCGAGCATGATTGTACAGGTCACAGAGCGGTTCGGTGCGAACCTCGGATGCCAGCGGGTCGGCCAACGCGCGATCTGAACTAGAGTGATGAGCAGCAAAGACAAACATGAGGTGAGCGGATGGGGTGTGAGCTGGAAAGTATCTGAGTGAAGTACTCACCACACGCATCGGTCGAGTGGCGAGAGGGCGAACGGGGCGATCGAGGCGATTGGGTGACCGAGCACGTGTGCGACCGAGGACGCTCGAGCGATGCATCGACGTAAGCTAGCACGCTGCTGACAGCGACCGCGCCCTCTCAGGTGGCGGTTTTAGTTGTATCTTGTTCAAGATGGCGGTGTTGTTGACCGTGTTGTGCGAAGTCGCACCGTGCCCGAATCAGTCGGGTTGAGGTGACACGTCGAGCTGTAGTTGAGAGAAATCGAGTTGCATCTTGCGGATCGAATGGCGCATGTGAGCGATGTGAAAGCATGTGATGTCGAGCTGTGGTGTGGTGCGATCAGTGCCGTGCCAAGTCTAGTGGTGCGAGTGGTGCGAGTGAGTGGGGAGAGGGAAAGGAGCGTTGGCGCGCGCGAATGAAGTCGAGCCAATTAATCAGCTGATCAAGCGCGCGAGATTTCAAAGCCATGTATCTAAAACCGCAGTTTTTGACTGTATTGCCGCCATGTGGTGAATGTACCAGTACACTGTTGAGTCTATCCAAGCCGCCTGTAGTATCGTCGTCCCGATCAGACGTCATGTACGAACATTTCTGCATTTGCTGGACCATCAAAATCGAGCTACAGCCCGAGTACGATTTTTGTCGAGTTTCTCCGTGATGCTGAGCGGTTCATGTAGTATTTAAAAACGAGTGGGCGAGCATGACACTTCTTCTACAGAGCCGGCAAGAACAGACCGCTTCGATCTGACCTGCACACAAACCAAGTCTTCCGCAACACGCGGCGCCGTCAGCCCGACGATCTCCGACGATCTCCGACGATCTCCGACGATTTCCGAATGGGAATCTCGTTTCGGATCCCATCTCGGTTCAGCGCTCTGGGCTCAGGGGTAGCCCACAGAGTTGCGCGCCTCTCAAATAACTAGCGCATCAAGTTTGCAAGGGTCAGCGTCAAGTGCGCGGAGAGCTGGCCGGCAGCGGGCCGGAGGATCTAGCATTTGGTCTTTGAATAGTGTCTATATAGTCAGGCGGTCATTGCGAGGTCCGAGCAGATTCCTACTTCGCATGTAGTGGCAAGGGGATGAGCGCGACGGTTGGGGGCGAGATCGAGCTCGAGAGCTGAGGTTGGTCTGTTCCGTCATTCAGTCGGTTGATAGTCGGATCAAAGGTCGATGATGGGTGCGAACCTTCGGACGGGCATCGATCGATCTGACGATTTCCTTTCGGTGTAAACCTTCTCGCTTGGAAGGTTGCAGGGATATGTTGGTCGTACGGAGAGAAAGGTCCACTTAGCATCGTCAGCGAAAAGGCTCCGAGTCGATCGTCGCCGACCCGAGAGACAACTAAGGATCGACTCCTTCTCGTTGCTCCATCCTGTAGATAAACTTTTCTCAATCTCAAAACACTCTAATATCCGAACAAAACTTGTTGATAAGCGTGCAGCGCTGGATTGCGGTGTTGATGCCGTATTTTCATCGGGACCGTTTTCCGAGATCAAAAGGCGAAAGTTATGCCGCAGCACATGATCTAGTTCGATCTGGTCCTTTCGAACGGGTCACTGCTGCCAGCCATATGCCTTGAAGCCTGCCATATTTGAAGTTGCATCACTACGATCGAAAGGTCTATCACGAGATGACCACTGTGTTGAAGTCAATTTCGACTTCTGATCAGGACTTGAAAAGTCGCGTGAGGACTCGGAGGTCCTTTCGATCGCGCAAACTCGGCTCCTTTACTTTTCGCTGGTCGATCGGATAATGATCCGCCGACGCTCGAAGCAAGGACCTTCTGAATTTAATTTTGCAACATTGACGGATGATTCCATGGGGTACTTTGCGGTGCCAGAGCAGACTTTCAGTCAGGATCGTCGGTGAGGGATGCGGGTCGCACAGGTTCGACTTTGCGTAAAAGCCGAGGAACGATTTGGTGTCGAATCACGGCATACGCCTGCAAACAGCTCCCCTACACACTCGATTGAGTTGCTACAGTCGGAAATAGCCTCTAGAAGAAGGCTAGGGATGCAATCACAGGGTTGAAGCCAACTCTAAATGGACCACGGCGGCATGCCATCAGCTCGGTCGGCGTGAGCGAGGAGAACAATCGATCCAGTGACTCCGCAGAGGTCACGGCGACGTACTCAGATAGCCAAGTTGGATGGCGTTCAGCAGCTGGTAGTCCCATTCTCATGTGAGATCGATACAAGAACATTCCATTCGGCTCCTTCCCGGAAGCACCACATCGGAGGCCGCAGGAAAATCCGGCAGAAAGATCCGAAGGTTCTCAGACACGCACACACGAGCTCAAAGACCACATGGTATTGCATCAAGGCGCACATACGGAAATATTTGCACATCGAAAATGCAGGGAAAGGAGGAAACATCGCTCGAGCGGTTGGGCAAAGAGTCAAGGTGGTCCGTCGTTCTCAATTTCGAGGCGAGCCGGCCGGGCGCTAGGTCACCCACAAGAGTTCGGATGGTTGGAGAAGCCTCCTCGCACAGGACATCGGCAAATATCGAGTCTTGGGTGGCGGAGACAGCAGCGGCAAAGATGAGAGCCTGCATGCTCATCGACGAGCGATCGGTCGCACCGAGTTGAGTTGTGAGGTCGGGGCCGATGGAGAGGAGATCAGCGTCGAGCAGAGCAAGTCCTGCCAAAAAAGTCTGGATGCTCAAGTGGAGAGGCGACGACCATTCTTCTGGGAGACGGACTGGAAACGGTTGCGAGCAGTTCGGAGTCCAAAAAGTCGAGTTGAGCGCAGGCGGAAATCCAAGACCTGGTGGAGCAAATCAACCGTCAAACACGAGCGATAGTGCACAGACTTGCAACACGAGATGTGGAGGGAGAGGACTTCAGGTTGAGGGCATGCACTGACCTTTCGGACGTTTGCGCGCTTAGTGACTCCCAAACGAGTTCGTCGACACATGCGAGGTGAGTGCATGAACAGGCGAGGCGAGAGAGGATGGAGAACTGTGCGTCGCTGAGCGCTGTCCACGACCGAATGACCAGAGTCTGTACGAACATGCATGTCGCAGTGTTGGGATGGTGATTGTACGCAACAAGCTGGTCGAGCGAATCGCCGAGGTCGATTGAGAGTGCGAAGGATTGTCAACGTCACGCTCCGAAGACTGAGTCGAGCGCCGAGTGGCCCGGAGAAGCCCGAGTCATGACGGTATGGCTCACCGTGCACAACGGAGGATGGTCTTCGAATAAGCTGGGCCTTCGAGGAAAAGGTGATGGAACGAGGTGGTGTGCCGTGGCAAATCTCGAGGGCTTTGCCGGAAAGTCGATTGGTCGGTGCGATCGACGAGGTGGAAAACCCCGTGTCCAAGTCCGGTCAACTTGAACGGCAAGGAGACGAGCGGGAATGTGGGATGTTGAGGTGCAATGGGTGAAACGTAGACGCTCTGTGAGTTCGGGCGGATGACTCGACGAGCTGGATCACGAGGGCGGGCAGGTGAGTGATTCGCGGGGCAGCCGACACGGGGTGATACTGCTTGAGGCAATGCGGATCTCCCATCTCGACGCAATCGTGCTTGAGACTCGTCGTGGGATGTATCGAGGAAGGGTGATTTGCAACTCGAATGTAGGGCGTGCGAGGGAAGCTCCATTCGACTGAGCGCTCCCATTCCAGGTCTTCCGTGATCAACGATCTGCAGTACGCGGTGACACAGCATATCTTCGTCTCATCAGCAAGGAGTGCGAGTCGCAAGTGAGAGCTAAGATCGAAACAGCTCGCTGGGGGCGGTCTGAGCGAGTCATCGGAGGTGGAGCAGTTCCGGTCGCGATGGCTCAAGTGAGCAATCGACATAGCCCGGACGCAACTGTGGGTATCTTGGAGCTTCTTATCGAGTCGTTCCAATTGGGGAGGGTGAGGGTGTTGCAGTTGCTAAACGGTGTCATGCTTGCCTTAGCCGGCTCCAGGTGACACGCCAAGTGCCGGGTCGAGTAGGGTCGAGCCGCATGTACCGGGCAAGTGACGTTTCACCATGGCAGCAAGGCGTTGCGTCGCCGTGTCTTCGTGCAGTGAGAGGAAAAGTCGAGCTGAGTCGAATGGTGCGAGGGATCGGCGGATATCAAGTCTTGGGTGGCGGATGCAGCAGCGGCAAAGTTGAGAGCTTGCACGCTCCTCGAATCTGTCGCACCGAGTTGAGTTTTGAGGTCAGGGCCGATCGAGAGGAGATCGAGGTCGAGCAAAGCAAGTTTCGCCAGAAGGGCCTCAATTCTCAATCGGAAAGGGTCGACGATCATTCATCCATGAGCTAGAAACGGTTTCGAGCGAGTCGGAGTTTAAAGAGTCGAGTTAAGCGCAGGCCGAAATCCATGACCTGGTGGAGCGAAAGAAAAGTCAAACATAAGCAAGAGGGCACAGACTTGCCACACGCGGGGTGGAAGAAGGGAAAGCCTTCAGGTTAAAGGCACTCACTGACCTTTCGGACGTTTGCTCGTGTTGCGACTGCCAAACGAGTTCCCAAGCGAGGTGACAACCGAAGCGAGAAGGGATGGAGCACCGTGCGATGCTGATCGCGGTCCATGACCGCATGACCAGGGCTGCTGAAGCGGGTACGAATGCGCATCTTGCAGAGGTGGGATGATGATCGCACGAATAAAGCTAGTCGAGCGAGTCGCCGAGTTGGATTGAGAATGCGAAGGACCGTCACGGTCCGAGGCCAAAATCGAGCGGCGACTCGGGACTTTATGTTTCAACGTGCGCAACGTAGGATGGAGTTCGAGTAAGTTGCAAAGCAATGAGGAGTGTGCCGTGGAACATCTCGAGAGTTTTGCTGGGAAGTTGATCGGTAGGAGTGATCGACGAGGTTGAAAGCCAGTGTGCAAGGACGGTCGAGATGTTTGCAACGACGAGTCGGGACATAGACGGTCTGTGATTTTGGGTGGATGACTCGACGAGGAGGATGAGGTCGCGAGAAGGTCGAGTGAATCGCGACGCGGTCGAGACGGGGGGGCAAGTGCTTGAGCCGATGAAGGTGTCGGTCTGGACGTCGACGAAATCAGTCGAGTCATGAGATGTTCCGACAGCTCCCGAGCTTACCGCGTCGTTGAATCTCTTCGGTTCAATCAAGAAAAAGATGTGAGGGTTTGCATTCGTGTGATGGGTTGACGTTACGATGTGGGGGTGGCGGAGGAGATTGGCGTAGGTCGCAGTGCGTTCGGAGTGGAGCGACGAAAATCAATTCGAGACCTCAGCAAAGTTGAGCGCCTCTTCGATGGTGCTGATGAGGGATGCGCAGAGTATGGTCCTACAAGTCACAGAGCGGTTCGGTGCGAAGCTCGGTTGCCAGCGGGTCGGCCAACGCGCGATCTGAACTAGAGTGATGAGCAGCAAAGACGATCACGAGGTGAGCGAATGAAGTGAGAGCTTGGTACTATCTGAATGAAGAGCTCACCCACACTCATCGGTCAAGTGGCGAGAGGGCGACCGGGGTGATCGAGGCGATGCGCTGACCGAGCACGTGTCCGACCGAGTACGCTCGAGCGATGCATCGACGTAAGCCAGCACGCTGCTGAAAGTGACCGCGCCCTCTTAGGTCGCAGTTTTAGTTGTATCGTGTTGAAGATGGCAGCGTTGGACTTGCTGTTAACCATTTTGTGCGACGTCGCACCGTGCCCGAATCAGTCGGGTTGAGGTGACACGTCGAGCTGTAGTTGGATCGAGGTGCGTCTTGCAGATTGAAGGGCGCATGTGAACGATGTGATGTCGAGTTGTGGCGTGGTGCGGTCAGTGCGGTGCCGAGTCAAGGGGTGCGAGTGAGAAGTGAGTGGGGAGAGGGAAAGGGGCGTTGGCGCGCGGGAACGTGAAGTCAAGCCAATCAGCTCACCAAGCGCGCGAAGTCCCAAGGTTGAACCCGTCGACCCGCAACCCATGTACCTAAAACGGCTGTTTTTGGCTGCATTGCGGCCCTGTAGTGGATGTACCAGAATACTGTTCTGCCGCAGCGGCCTGTCGTATCAACGTCGTTCCGATCAGACGTCATGTACGAACATTTCTGCATTTTCTGGACCATTAAAACCGTGCTACAGTCCGAGTACGATTTTTGTCGAGTTTCTCCGAGATGCTGAGCGGTTTGTGTAGTATTCACAGACGAGTGGGCGAGACATTTCTTCTACAGAGCCGGCAAGAACAGACCGCTTCGATCTGACCTGCACACAAAGCACTGCAAGTCTACCGCCCCACGCCACGCCGCCAGCCCGACGATCTCCGACGATCTCCGACGATTTCCGAATGGGAATCTCGTTTCGGATCCCATCTCGGTTCAGCGCTCTGGGCTTGGCAGGGTTACTCGGTGTGTCGCCCTCCAGCGTCGAACAACCGGATTTCATCAGTGCACGAGCAATTTCCCCTGCACTGCGATTTGGCGATTTTGACCCCGGGTCGCCTTCCATCCTCGAGCAACCGGATTTCAGCAGTGCACGAGCAATTCCCCCTGCACTGCCACTTTTCATTTTCACTGGGGATTTGGGGTTCTAATCCAAAACGTAAACCGGAATTGGGCTGTACCCCACCTATGATACCTATATACTTGTGGTATCTGACAGGCTGGGCGCGCGGATGTCACATAGCACAAGATGCTCGCGCGAGCATCTTTGCAAGGCAGGCGCCGGAGTCTGTGGTATCTGACACGCTGGGCGCGCGGCTGTCGAATACCACAAGATGCTCGCGCGAGCTTCTTTGCAGGCTAGGCGCGGGCTTGTCAAATAGCACAGGGTGCTCGTGCGAGCTTCTTTGCAAGGGTCTCTCGGGAGTCTGTGGTATGTGGTATGTGGGAATTGCCCATATATATAGGGGTGCAAATCGCAAGCGAGAACTCAGATCGAAACAGCTCACTGTGGGCGGTCTGAGCGAGTCGTCCGAGGTCGAGCAGTTCCGGTCGCGATGGCTCAAGTGAGCAAGTGACATAGCCCGGACGCAACTGTACGTACCTTCGAGCTCGTTATCGAGTCGTTGAAAGCCGATTGGCGATGTTGAGGGTGCTGCAGTTGCTGAATGGGTTCCGCGCTTGCCTCAGCCGGCTCGGGTTCACACTTCAAGTGCCGGGTCGAGTAAGGTCGAGCCGCATGTACCGGCCAAGTCGTGTTTCACCATGGCGAAGAGGTGTTGCGTCGTCGTGTCTTCGTGCAGTGAGAGAAAAGACGAGTCGAGTCGAGTGGTGCGAGGGATCGGCGAATATCGAGTCTTTATCGAGTCTTGGGTGGCGGAGGCAGCAACGGCAAAGATACGAGCTTCCACCATCCTCGACGAGCGATCTATCGCACTGAGTTTGAGGTCAGGGCCGATTGAGAGGAGATCAAAGTCGAGCAGAGCAAGTCCCCCGAAGAAGTCTGAATCCTCAATTGGAAGAGTCGACGATCATTTATCCATGAGAGCTAGAAACGGTTTCGAGCGAGTCAAAGTTTAAAGAGTCGAGTTAGGCGCAGGCCGGAATGAGACCTGGTGGAGCGAAAGAAGAGTCAAACATAAGCAAGAGGGCACAGACTTGCAACACGCGGTGTGAAGAGAGTTAAGGACGTCAGGTTGAAGGGCCGCACTGACCTTTCGGATGTTTGCTCGCTTTGTGACTGCCAAACGAGTTCGTCGACACCCAACGAGGTGAGTGCAAGCGAAACGAGAGGAGATGGAGCGCCATGCAACGCCGATCGCAGTTCATGACCGCATGTCCAGGGTTGCCAAAGATTGTACAAACGCGCAAGTCGCCGAGGTGGGACAGTGATCGCACGTATCAAGCTGGTCGAGCGAATCGCCAGGATCGATTGTCGCAGGATCGTCACCGTCCAACGCCGAAACCGAGCGCGGAGAGGTCCGGAGAAGCCAGTCGTGATTGTACGGTTCAACGTGCGCAACGGACGATGGACTTTGAGTAAGATGTGAAGCGATGAGGTGGCGTTCCGTGGCCAATCTCGAGAGTTTTGCCGGAAAGTTGATTAGATGGTGCGATCGACGAGGTTGAAAGCCAGCGTGCAAGTCCGATCGATTCGAATGGCGAGGAGGGCGAGCAGGAACGTGGGATGTTTAGCACGAGATGAGACTTAGTGGCTTTGGATGGATGATTCGACGAGCTGGACGACGAGCGCGGGAGGTTGAGTGATTCGCGGCGCAGTCGAGACGGGGTGAAAGTGCTTGTGCCGATGAACGTCTCCGATCTTGACATTGACGAAATCAGTCGAGTCGTGCAACAGATGTTCCAACAAACCCCAAGCTAGCCACGTCGATGAGACTCTTCGACTCGATCAAGAAAGAGATGTGAGGGAATGCATTCGTGCGATTGGTTGACGTTAACGACGCGGGTGCACGATGTGGGGGTGGCGGAGGAGATCGTCACTGGTCGACAGTGGTGTTTGGGGGTGGGGCGACGAGGATCGAGTAATGTTTGCATCGATTGATGACCTCGGGATAGTTGAGCGTCTTGTCGATGGTGCTGATGCGCAGAGTATGACCATACCAGTCAGAGCGGTGTGGTGCGAGGCTCGGATGGCAGCGAGTCGGCCAATGTCGAGGGCGCGATCGGGGTGACCGAGCACGTGTCCGACCGAAAACGCTCGAGCGATGCATCGAGGCAAGCTAGCACGCTGCTGAAAGTGACCACTCCCTCTCAGATAGGATTGCCCATCGTATCGTGCCGAAAATGACGAGGTTGGAGGTGTTGATAGTCTTGTCGTGCGACGTCGCACCGTGCCCGCATCAGCCGGCTTGAAGTGACACGTTGAGCTGTAGTTGAGAGAGATCGAATTGCATCTTGCGGATTGAATGGCGCATGTGACGATGTGAAAGCATGTGAAGTCGAGGTGTGGCGTGGTGCGATCAGTGCCGAGTCCGAGTCGAGGCCAGTGGTGCGAGTGGTGCGAGTGGTGCGAGTGAGTGGGGAGAGGGAAAGGAGCGTCGGCGCGCGTGAAGTCAAGCCAATCAGCTAACCGCGCGAGATTCCGAAGCTCGGCGCACTCGGCCGTGAGATCGGTCTGCGATTGGCTCAGGTCCAGTCAACCTTCAAAGGCGTATATCTGTTTGAAACTCGAAAAGGGGTGCGAGAAAGCTTCAAGGCTAGAGAGAGCGAGTAATTCCGAGTTCAGCGCTTGGCGGCGGGAGTCGTTGCAGTGAACGAGTGAGTCGGCCGGCGTCCGCGGCGAAAACTTGGTCGATTCGTCCAGGTCACTGAGCATGCTTGTACAATTGACATTCCTTTACTGAAGGGCTGTTCTTCGCATGTAGACGAGCTATGTCGGAAGATTTGAGGAAAAGACATCGTATTCGGGAGCACATTTTTGATCCGAGTACGGGCGAGATCATCGCGCGATGGTTGACGAGACTCCGAGTCAGAGTCAGCCGCCGGGCGTGTCCCTGGAAGCATGTCTCACAGGCAGTCTCCCGCAGACCGCACTGCTGTGATATGAATGAAGAGATAATTATACCTGGTAGCGTGAACAGAGCCTGAGATTGGGCTTTCTTTAATAGAACGTCGGTGAAAAGGTCGGCACTTCGTTTGCGCACAAGTTCGGTCACCCGCCTTCGACGATGATCGCAATGCTCTGTGAGGTCGATCTGACGCCTTTTTCTTCCGTGAAAAGGGATTCGTTTGCAAAAGTACAGGGAAATGATGATGACGCGGAGAAGATCGTCCACTTAGCACTGTCGGCGAAAAGGGGCTCGATCGTCCGGCGTTCATGACTTGCACTATACATGGCCTTTGACGGGCAAAATCACCACTCGAAGATGATTCCTAGGTATTCGTTGATGTAATGAGGTATTAACAAGGTTTAATCTATACAGCCACATGTATTCTGTCACACTGACCACTTCGGAGCGAGCGAAGCCGCGGCGTTGCAATTGGTCGGATGTGTGCCAACATCTCCTAGCCATGTCCGTACCGCAGACCGCGCGACCGACAAGTGGACGGACATGCGGTGGGGTTGCGGTACGGACACGAGATCTGCGGTACAGACATGACAATTTCGATTCATCATGAGTACTAAAATACCCATGCTATCTTGTTCTCCTTGCAGACTCAAAGTGATTCTACTCATATAATTGCTCAACAGCATCAGTATTATCTGATATTATGGACCTAAAATCAAGGGACGGACATGTCCGTACATTTGTTCTGGCCCGACGACAAGAGGCAGTGGACCGCGCGCGGCAAAGTCGTCAAGGCCAAAACGACTAGTGTAATTGAATACACTCAAAGCACAATGCATAATAGCACAAATTAAGCATGTACACACCAGTTGGGATCGGTACAGATTTAAAATAAACTTATCTACGTCTACAAGTCCTCAAGTCTGCCGTGCCTCCGCTCCAGCGATACACCGAAGCCCGAAATGGGCTTCCCATTTCGGAGATCGCGAGCGCCGGTGGCCGAAGGCTGCGAGGGCCGGCCTCAAGTGCGCTGGTGGGAAGCATTTGCCCTGGTATGGAAAGTGCCCAAATAGTGAGATCTGTTTCGGCACCGGCCGGTGCGGGAACAGGGATCGTGCGCAGTCTTCTCCCTCGAGTGAGATCTGATTCGGCACCGGACGGTGCGAGAACTGGAATCTGATTCGGCACCGGACGGTGCGGGAACAGGAATCTGAGTCGGCACCGGACGGTGTGAGAACAGGAATCGGCACCGGCCGGTGCGGGAACAGAAATCGAGCGCAGTCTTCTCCCTCGAGTGAGATCTGATTCGGCACCGGCCGGTGCGACAACTGGAATCTGAGTCGGCACCGGACGGTGCGAGAACTGGAATTGGCACCGGACGGTGCGGGAACAGGAATCGGCACCGGCCGGTGCGGGAACAGCAATTGAGGCAATCTCTCTGCATGGCCACGAAAAGTTCGAGCTACACTGGGTCGTGCTGATGTTGAGTCGATGCAATGAAGATCAAAAACACAATATCACGTGACTTTTTTGCCTCTGGGGCCACGACCTAAGTCCAAGAGCTAACTTTTTTAAGGGGGGGGGGGGTGATTTACCTATAGACTCGCCGAAAAAGTCTGGATCCTCAGTTGGAAAGAGTCGACGGTCATTCATCCATGAGAGCGAGAAACGGTTTCGAGCGATTTGGAGTCTGAAGAGTCGAGCTAGGCGCAGGCTGGAATCTGAGAGCGAAAGAAAAGTCAAACATAAGCAAGAGGGCACAGACTTGCAACACGCGGTGTGAAGAGAGTTAAGGACGTCAGGTTGAAGGGCCGCACTGACCTTTCGGATGTTTGCTTGCTTTTGACTGCCAAACGAGTTCGTCAACACCCAGCGGGGTGAGTGCAAGAAGCGAAACGAGAGGAGATGGAGCGCCATGCAACGCCGATCGCAGTTCATGACCGCATGTTCAGGGTTGCCAAAGAATGTACAAACGCGCAAGTCGCCGAGGTGGGACAGTGATCGCACGTATCAAGCTGGTCGAGCGAATCGCCAGGATCGATTGTCGCAGGATCGTCACCGTCCAACGCCGAAACCGAGCGCGGAGAGGTCCGGAGAAGCCAGTCGTGACTGTACGGTTCAACGTGCGCAACGGAGGATGGGCTTTGAGTAAGATGTGAAGCGATGAGGAGGTGTTCCGTGGCAAATGTCGAGAGTTTTGCCGGAAAGTCGATCAGATGGTGCGATCGACGAGGTTGAACGCCAGCGAGCAAGTCCGATCGAGTTGAATGGTGACCAGGGCGAGCGGGAGTGTGGGATATTTAGCACGAGATGTTGAGGCGTAGTGGCTTTGGACGGATGACTCGACGAGCTGGGCAACGATCGCGGGAGGTTGAGTGATTTGCGGCGCGGTCGAGACAGGGTGAGTGCTTGAGCCGATGAAGGTCTCGGACTCGACATCGGACGAAATCAGTCGAGTCGTGCAACAGATGTTCCGACAAACCCCGAGCTAGCCGCGTCGATGAGACTCTTCGATTCGATCAAGAAAGAGATGAGAGGGATTGCATTCGTGTGATTGCTTAACGTTGATGACGCGAGTGAGCGATGTGGGGGTGGCGGAGGAGATCGTCCCAGGTCGACAGTGGTGTTCGGGGTGGAGCGACAAGGATCAAGTGATGTGTGCATCAATTTGAGACCGCAGGAAAAGTTGAGCATGTCTTCAATGGTGCTGATGTGAGTTGCGTGCATTGTGATCGCAGAGTATGGTCCTACAAGTCACAGAGCGGTTCGGTGCGAAGCTCGGTTGCCAGCGGGTCGGCCAACGCGCGATCTGAACTAGAGTGATGAGCAGCAAAGACGATCACGAGGTGAGCGAATGAAGTGAGAGCTTGGTACTATCTGAATGAAGAGCTCACCCACACTCATCGGTCAAGTGGCGAGAGGGCGACCGGGGTGATCGAGGCGATGCGCTGACCGAGCACGTGTCCGACCGAGTACGCTCGAGCGATGCATCGACGTAAGCCAGCACGCTGCTGAAAGTGACCGCGCCCTCTTAGGTCGCAGTTTTAGTTGTATCGTGTTGAAGATGGCAGCGTTGGACTTGCTGTTAACCATTTTGTGCGACGTCGCACCGTGCCCGAATCAGTCGGGTTGAGGTGACACGTCGAGCTGTAGTTGGATCGAGGTGCGTCTTGCAGATTGAAGGGCGCATGTGAACGATGTGATGTCGAGTTGTGGCGTGGTGCGGTCAGTGCGGTGCCGAGTCAAGGGGTGCGAGTGAGAAGTGAGTGGGGAGAGGGAAAGGGGCGTTGGCGCTCTCGAATGAAGTCGAGCCAATCAGCTAATCAAGCGCGCGAGATCCCAAAGCGATGTACCTAAAATCGTTGTTTTTAACTGTATTGCGGCCCTGTGTTGAATGTACCAGCATGCTGTTGAGTATGCGGCAGGTTCCCGTCGTGTTGTCGTCCCGATCAGACGTCATGTACGAGCATTTCTGCATTTTCTGGACCATTAAAATCGACCTACAGCCCGAGTACGATTCTTGTCGAGTTTCTCAGGTTGGCTGAGGGGTTCATGTAGTTTTTCACTAACGAGTGAGCGAGAATGACTCTTCTTCTCTGTAGGAGAAAGAATCGCTTCGATCTGACCTGCACACAAACCAAGGCAAGTCTACCGCGCCAGGCCGCGCCGCCAGCCCGACGATCTCCGAATGGGAACCTCGTTTCGGATCCGATCTCGGTTCAGCGCTCTGGGTTCAGGCTTACCCGGTGCCGAAGTTTCACGCTGTACTGCCAACTCTCAGTGCACGAGCAATTCCCGCTGCACTGCGATTTGGCGATTTTTCCAGCGTCGAGCAAGTGGATTTCACCAGTGCACGAGCAATCCCCCCTGCACTGCCACTTTTCATTTTCACTGGGGATTTGGGGTTCTAATCCAAAACGTAAACCGGAATTGGGCTGTAACCCACCTATGATACCTATACACTTGACTTGTACAACATTCGATCCAATCAAGTAACATTGCAATGCCAAGCAACTAAGGGAATTAAAATAATAATAAAAGTGCGACGAACTGATGCTTGCAAACTCGAGAGGGGTTATGGTGACGACAGACACGATTAAGCGAGGCAAGAAAGGGAGCATAAAAGACGAAACGTGGAAAGATAATGAACGAACGAATGAAGAAAGGGGCAATGCGATGATGATGATGATGATGCTGTATGCGAGCGTCCACAAGAGAAGAAAACCCTCGAAACGAAGATTTCGCCTACTCGTCGGGGAAATGGAACAACTTCGGCTTCGGCTTGCGGACCGTCGCTTCCCCATTTTGTATCCCAGCCTCCCCACTCCGTCCATCACGATTTGAAAGGTCCAAGGCAGCATAGGTTGCTACGCCAACGTCCTGCCACGAAAAGTTCTTCCTCAGCGGCGTCGACGTCGGTGCGGGCATCAGGCCGCGCGTTGTCACATTCGGCGCCGCGCTCATCTTGGGTGGTGGTGGCGCCCCATTCTCAACGACCGACACTCGAGCCCTCGATCTCGATCGACTCGTCCCCTTCGTCGAGTTGGGTCTTTGTGTCCGGTACGATTGCATCGGGGTCTGATCCGATTCGGAAGGGAAATACCCATCCTGATCGGCTTCATGCATGAGCGACGACAACGAGCGCGTCATGCTCAGATTCGCCATAGTCCGTCCTCTGATCGGTCCACCCGTTGCTGCAACACCTAAACCAGCCGATCCATTCGAGCTGGTGCAACTCGAGCTCGTCAACGCGGGCCCGTTCGGACTCTCCGTCGATGAGAACCCGTTAGATGACGCCGAAGGCGACGAAAGTGGTGGAGAAGCGGCTCCGCCACTGCCAATCGACAGCCGATGCCGTGATGTTGTTCTCCGCTTCGTCGTCGGTATTATCGTCGAGGTCGATACCGTCTCCGCGGTGCCCAAGATGAGACCGGTCGCGGTCGATTCCGAGAGACTTGCCGTCGACGCGCTGCGCGAGTTTTGCGAAAAGGCGTGCGGCGCGCGAAAGTTTTGCCCGAGGGAGGAGCTCATCAACGCGAGTGAAGCGGACGAGTTGGATCGCATCGGCGCTTGCGATATCGTGATCGACGAGCTCGGAAAGGCGACATCGGCCCCATCGCGAGGTGCAAGTAGACTAGATCGTGTGGGAACGCTGCGACCGAGCTGACCGGTGAGAGCACTTTGGGATCGACGCGACTTGGGTGCCGATGAGATGCGCATTCCCGCGACATAACCCGAAAGCTTGTCGGTAGTCTCACCGTTGAACGAGGGCAACTCGTCGGAAGAGTGTAACTGCGGTGCGTCGGAGTGGTGCCGTGGTTTGAACGACGGCCGATACAGAGGACGAGTTGGCGAGGACGAGATCTGCGTGAGTCGAAGCGACGACAGGGCCGAGCTCGAGCGATCTGTAAGGATTATCACCAACTTAGGAACGAAACAACGTTCGAGTATCTGAGATGGTAAAGTAACACTCACGAGGTATCGGTGCTCCCCTATCCGAATCCATCGAGGACAAGCTGGCCGAACTCTTGTTCCTCGCACCGGCCGCGAACTGCGACCTCTCTGCCGGATCGCCATCACTACTCGGCACGCGTTGCATCAGGCTCGGTCGATAGCTGTAACCGCCCGTCTCGGCGCCTCTTGAGTTTCTCCGCCGTGCCGCACTAAAGTCGAGCTCGAACGGTGAAGGCACGCCCTCGCTGCTCGCTCGCCTCGGGTCAATGACGGGGGATTTGGCCGAAGTGGGGAAGAAGGGGGTGGTGGGCGAGTGGGTCGATGAATGTGCTAGACTGGATGATGACCCGAATCGACGCGACTGCTCGCTGAAGGTTGATAGTACAGCGACGAGTTGTGGAGAAGGCGTCGTCGTCGCCTGTCCTCTGAGTTCGTCGACGCGCCGGCATTCCTCCGAACAATACAGTGCCGACAATGGGGCGACTTCGTCCCCATCATTTGAGACCTCTTCGTAGGCGTCGTCGCTGTCATCGACTGATTGTTGTGCTGAGGACCGCCTCGGAGCGTGGCTCGTTGTCGCGGCGGCGGGCAGAACGGGCTCGTGGTGGGGTGCTGCTGTTGTGGCTGTTGCTGTTGCGTCCCGGGCAGTGGGCGCGTGAATCTTGGTGCTCGGTGCGAGCGGGTGCAGACTGGTGTAGCTCTTGTTCCTCGAATGGCCATGCAACTTGGATGCGCTCTTGTTGCGCTTCATCGTTGGCGCGGTCGGGTGGTGGTGCGATCTCGTGGCGCCTCCTGTCGTGGTCGGCTGATGCTGCTGCTGATGCTTGGCCGCGACGACGGCGACGACGGCGGCTGCTTCGGGTGGCAAGGCCTTGAACCTGTCCGACTTGAGCGTTGTGGTCGAATTGCTGGAAGGATGTCGTGATCCGTGGGGCGAAGGCCGCTGTCGTGGCTTGGTCGGGTGGGGTGCGGCTGCTGTCGGTGGCGGCGGCGGCGGTCGTCGCGCGGCCGAGTCGTCGACGCGCCTTTCGCAGACGAGACAGAAGCGCTCGAACGAGTCGTCGAACGAGTCGAACGAGTCGAACTCGCCGCCGACCAGGTACGACGAGTCATCATCGACCACACCGGACGACATCGGAGAGCGTTCGGGTAAGGGTGGGAGGATGAACAGTCGTGCGATGCGAGGCGAGGCGAGGCGAGGCGAGTCGGCGAACGTGCGATGGCGAGAGAGGACGGTAGGACGGATGGAGAAGGCGACTCGAGAGTCCGGCCTCGATGTCGACGAGTCACGAGGAACGCGCACGAACCAGCAAGAAGCAGCGCAGAGCAGCGCTCGGTCAGGGCGAGCGCATGGCGAGCGCGTGACCGAGCCGCGGACAGAGCGCGCGCGCACCCGTGGCCGGCCAATCGGGGATCGTCAACGGTCGCAGGTGCGTCGGTCGATCAGTTCACGTTAGCGCGTTGATCGACGCCCGATTTGATCGGTTTATCTCCACCGTCGCTCTATCACGCTGCGTCGCACCGAGCAAACGCTCGCAACACCTTCGATGCTCTAGCGACTACATTAACATACGTCGTGTCCGAACTATGCTCATGTTCGTTTCCAAGATCATGCTTATCGACTCGCCCGCTTGGCCCTTCGAGCTCATGGCCTGGGCTTCTCCTCGTCTCGATCACCTCACCTCAAAACCAGATGCAGAAACGATACGATCGATGCGTAGAAGAACTGCAAACAAGGGTACTGAAATCAAAGTGAAAAAACATCCTGCAAAGATTGGGGTATACAATATTGACTGAAGAAAGGACGCGTTCCCCCCGAACCATAGTAGTGAAAAATAGAAGCTAATCCTCCTCCTCCTCCTCCTCGATCATAACCGGAGCCGCTCCCGCCGGTCGTCGCCAATACGGTTGCCTCCCTCCCCCCACTGCGCCACCACTAGCAGCACCACCTTGCTCTCCCCTCATCCCGGATCGAGCAGCAGGCGAATCGGCAAACTTGCGCAGCTCCACCAACCCTGGTCCACCGAGCGAAGGCGAACGTGCGACCCCAGTCCCACTCGCCATCTTGCTGTTTTCGATCGCCAATCGAGACGAAGGCGCTTGTCCGAACCCACCCGATGGCTCGTCGTCCTCGTCCTCCCATTCCTCACCTTCCTTCCAGACAAAGACGTCGCGAATCGGAGGTCGTCGAGGAAGGATCGACACCGACGAGGATTGCTGCGAATGATGCGCGTCGCTCTCGTGCGATTTTGACTTGGTAGCAGCGGGCTGCGAAGGCGCACCAAACAGATGCGTCGTACGATGGGCCGTGAACCGAGTCGGGGTATGAGGTCGAGTGCTCTCAAGGGACACGCGAGGCGAGATCGAGTTTGCAATCGAGACGTCACCCGTCGAACGACGCTTCGCATCGCCGGACAAGAGTCGCAGGGCCCGGTTACGCTCGTTCGACCGACGTTCCTCCTCGTCTGCTTCATCGGCTCCAGGACCGACGGTAGCAGCGGCATCTGCCGAAGACGAGTTCAGGTCATCGATGTTCGATTCGTCCTCTTCGATGATCGGCTCTTTGCCTTTGGAAGGCTCCTCGACACCCTCACCAACATCGACGTCGTCGCCGCCGATCGAGGACGAGCTCGAATGCCGTGTGTTGACACTCGAAATCGAGCGTGTCCGCGAGTGCGTGCCCGTGGTGTGCCCGTGGTGATGGTGATGGCTGTTTGCGCGCGATCTTGTGCGATGGACGGTCGTAGTGATGGGCTGATGTTTGGCAACGTCCTTGGGCGCTATTCCGTGACTCGACAAGGACGACGTTCGCCGATCACGAACTCGTCGACTACCATCATATGAATACGACCTGACCGATCCGGGCCTCGACTTGGGTTCGCTCGTCGCGATGCTCGTATCGGAAAGTCGCTTGCGATGCACGAGACTCGAGGACTGGATCATCGAACCTGAGCGGTTCACAGACGAAACCGACGAGCGTCTCGAGGTCGTCCCGCCAGCAGAACCGACGTTGAACCGATAGTACTCGCCCGAACCCGATCGGCCCTCCATCGCACTCCGAGTGATCGGCGCTGACCCCAGCGCGCTCCTCCTCGACCCACTGCGACTCAGCGTCGACGCGACCGAATCGACTCGGCCTAACGGCACTCCGCGTTTCGTCGCCGTAGCCTTTCGTCGATCATCACCGAACCACAGGCGAAGGTTCGAGAAGAGGTTGCCAGCTTTCGCGCCCTTCTTCTTCCCCGCAGCCTTCGTCGCCGCCGTGTGCGAAGTGCTCCGATCGAGATCGTGGATCGAGCCATCCTCACCCGTTGCAGCTGCGCTCGTCACAGTCGAAAAAGTCTCGTGCGAATTCGAATGGACCATCGTGCTCGAGCCGGGATCCGAAGTCACCTCCTGGAGTGCTGCGCCGGTCGATCCACCTCCTGCCTCGAGTGCCGAAGCCGACGACGCCATGATCGACGACAACGATGAGGTACTGAGCGGATTACCGGCCGATGCTCGACGTGGAGACGAAGGTGCCGACTTCGAAGGCGTGCCTGCCGCCGGCGTCATCATCTCCTCCGAGGGCAACGATCCCTTGCGAGCGAAGAAGCCGCCCGACGACTTGGTCGACCCAGCAGGCGAGTCCGAACGGTCCTCTTCATCGTTGGGACCGCTTTCGTTCGTGGACTTTTTGAGACCGATTGCAGATGTCGCTCGGGCCAGGAGCATTGTCGTCGAGGAGGAGCGCTGTCGCTTCGTTTTCGACCAATCGGGCGAGGCCACTGTCGTCGTCTCGCTCGTGGCCGATTGCGTACGCCCGACCATTGGCGGTGGACTGGCCGTCGGGATGTGAACGTTGAAGCGAGGAGGGGAAGGCGTCCTCGGCGTTCCCTTCGAGTCGACCGAGGCTGCGAGCAGATTGCGTTCGTACGACTTGGAGTGTACAACTCGCCTCTGCGGAGAGGGGTTCGTCCCAGCCGGAGGAAAGTAGTCGAAGGATGCGAGATTCAAGGACGACAGCGGCGTTTGATGCAAAAAGTACGACAGTCGCTCTTGGGCTCGCTCATCGGGTGTTTGTGGAGCTTCGCCTTGCGGTGGTCCGTTCTCGGGAGTCCTTGTCCGTTGTCTGGAATTAGTCGGACCAACGAGGGTGGGAGCTGGCGGTGTAGTCGAGGCGTTTGCGCCAGCACTTTCGTCAATGACATCGTTGGATGGTACTCGTCGGATCGAAGACGTCAAAGACCGCGGAAGTGAGGCCGGACTACTCGCCAGAGGTGCCGCAGCTTCGGACTCGAGCTTCTCGCGTTCCCTCTCGTCTGCCTTGCGCTTCAACATCCAATAAACCGCGGCGCTCGAGTCGCACGCATGCGTCGTAATGGAGTGCACTATCTGACCCGTGTCGAAGCCGAGTGTCGTCAACGAGTCGAGCAGCGCTTGCTCCTGCGGCGTCGTGAGGGGCGCCGGATGAGGTTCGGACAACATCGCAAAGTAGTCGACGAGTTGCATCGGCGATTCTTCGTCAAGCGGGAAAAGGCGCTCGGAAAAGGTCGATCCGACAGAGCGTCGTTTCGTGCGAGACGGCGTCCTCGAGTGCACGGCCGCCGGTGAACCCGTCTGACTCCCGAACGAGGCACTCGACGACGCCGACAGGTTGCGCTGAAGTGGCGGCGCACACAACCCAAGCAACGAGGCGTAACTCGGCACAGCGGGAATCGTCAACTCGTGCTCGTCGGCCGTCGAAAGAGGAGTCGTATACGACTTGCTCGAGCGCGTCGTCGTCGTCGGGATCGGATCCGAAGTCGTCGAGTGCGAGTCCTCCATGAGCATCGACGCGTCCCTACGAATGGTTGTCTGCGATGCGTTGCGATGCAGCAACACCCCATTGTCGTCGGACGAGTCCTGGTCAACAGCACGTTGCTTCCCAGCCTTGCGAGCATTCATGGCCGTCAAGGTTTCCTGCAGCGCCGCAAGTCCATCTTCTTCCGAAGTGAGCGGCGTCGTCGCACCGGATCTCGTTCGTTCAGGCTCGGATCCAGAGATGGACAAATGCGATGAATCTGCCGAGACCTCTGAGGCGGAGAGGTTGAGATGCCCGGTCGAGGAGGACGTGCTCGCCATGAGCGCCGATTCATCGACGAGCGGAGACTCGGTCGCACTGCCCTCTTCAGGGATTGCGGGAGGAAAAGCATCTCGTGTGGTATGAGGGGACGCGTCCCGACGATGGCCGTGGTGGTATAGATGGTGGTACGACGGCTCGGACGGAAGTTTTGGGGGTGGTGGGCGTGTGAAGAAGGGGTGTGCAAGAATCGCTTTGAGTGTCAATCGTCGCATCGGATCGAGTACGAGGATGTTTTGGATGAGATCAGTCGCGTCTGTGTACGTGAGGCATCGCTGTCAGTCGTTTTGAAGATGTTGATTGCCCAGGAAGGCCCGAGCCGACGAAACGAACCGTCGTCGAGCCAGGTTGGGATATCGTATTCGCACTTGAGAATCATCTCCTTCATGAGACCCTCGTCATCATCGTCGAAGGGTAGTGAGCCGGCCAACAGCGTGTAGAGAATGACACCGAGTGACCAAATGTCGACCTCTGTACTCTTCCGCGCTTGGATTAGCGCAGATATCCACACCATGCTGTACAGATTTCGAGACGCACCTTCGCCATGATATCTCTTGGCAGCAACGACTTCGGGTGCACAATAGCCGAGAGTGCCGACCCACGTGTCCATCCAACGCCCCTTTTCAAACTCCCTGCCAAAGCCCAAGTCGGCGATCTTGACGTTGACGCGTTCATCGAGCAGCACGTTCTCCAACTTGAGATCGCGATGCACGACGCCGGATTGATGGAGATGGGCGACGCCCAGGACGAGCTGACCGAATATGCGCCGTGTTTCCGAGGCTGAGAGCCGGCCCTTCTCGACGAGGTAGTCGAACAGCTCGCCGCCGGTGCAGAGTTCGGTGACGAGGTAGATGGACGACTCGGTCGCGATGATCTCGTACAGGGCCAGGATGTGGGGGTGGCGCAGTCGCCGATGGTGGTGGAGTTCTCGCGTCAACAGTGACAGTGGAGACGAGGCTGCTGCTCCACGATCGGAAGGCTGCGCAATCGAGGTGACCGTGAGCAAGGCAAGGGGAGCACAAGGCGCACGCGGTGCGGTGGGCACTGACGTTGACGGGCGAGCTCTTGGACACTTGCTTGATCGCGACACGGGTGTTGGTCAGTCGATGTACTCCAATCCTGACTTTGCCGAATGAGCCTGCACGGTGTCCGAAGCTCTCATGTCAGTGGCATGCACGCGACGGGCGGGGCGGGGTTGAGCCGGTCTCGATGAGGCGCCAGACGACTGACCTTCGCCAATAACTCTGCCCAAGGTGTATCCCCCGATCGACTTGAGCTCCTTCTGTGTCAGCTCAGCGGCGAGGGACGAATAAGCTTGCGAGAGCTGGCGGGTGGATGCATGCATGTAGGCGTGTGCAGGTGGGTGCCATCGTACGACGGTGCGATCGAGCGCGTTTCGACAAGCGGGGACGGCGCCATAGGAGATGAGAGCGGGACGAGACTATGAGTGAGATGGCAAAAGGACTCGGGTATGCTGCATACTCTGACTGACCTCGTGGCCTGCTCTGGTCTGCTGTTGTGCATGCCGTGAGCGCCGTCTTGAGCCCCCTGGCTGGTTCATCGCGCTGGTCGACGGTCACCACCCCCGGTCGCACCACAGCTATTGAGCACTACACGATTCGACGAGTCAGGCTGTCGGGGTGGAGCGCAGACTTTGAGTGTGCGCAGAGGGCAGATCGCTCGGGGTGATGGTATACCGACACTCGACTGTTACAAGTCGGTCGAACGCGAGCCTGCAGTGTGTGGGTGTGGTGGCCGAGTTGGACGCCCGAGGTGAGAGGGTGAGGTGAGGTGGTGGGGCGAGCACCTTACTAAAGTAACCTACTGTCGTCCCGGGTCTGCCAGGGATTTGAAGGGCTAGCGCTCCGGGGATATTCCACCCAAGCGGCATTAGTAACTGCTGGCATCTGCGCGTGAGGTCGCCGAATCCGATCCGACGGCTGCCAGTCCTTGAAGCTCGTCGACTCCCTTGGCCCGACTCAGGGTTTTCAAGGTCGACGCAAAAGATAGGGGAAAACACCTAGGTAGGTACCACTTTGTAGGATGTTGTTAAACATATCCTCCTTCGCGCACAATTTGCGAGTTATTTTCCTAGGAGCACGCGTGCTTTGATCGAGGTCAGCTGAGTCATCGTCCGGCGGCCGGCGGTTCAACTCGATCGATTACGTACAATCTGCAGCGTCGATTTTGCCACACGCGCGCGCCTGCTGTTGAGCTCGGTCTAAGACGGTCTTGCTGGCGCGCCCCCGACAAACGGGTCGTCGCCGCTCGGGCATCCTCGGGCTCAGTGTGAGTCAGTGTGGCCACTGGCCTTCCCGCGATCTCGAGAACGGACGGCGCTTGTCCTGTTGGCTTTTGCCCTCCCACACCATCGCGAGTACATCACCTCCCTGCATCACACCCTCACACAACTTCATCCTACTTACTACCTGTTTGGGCCTCTGAATCGGATTGCACTGCACGATCCCGGTCGCCGCCGTCTCGCTCTTGCGTCGGTCGTCGTCACTTGACTTGTTCGCTCATCGTCGTCGCGCGGCGCGGCGCTGCGGATCCGCTCCCGCTCCGGCTTGGCCCCCGACTCGAGCTCCCGGCAGTCTCCCGGCGCTAAACACTCCGCGCGCCAACACACAATCGACCCGATCTAGCCGCTCATCCTCTTGCGATCCTTTTCACTTTGCGATTGTCCTAGGTTGAGCTTTTCCACAGCTCTTCCTCCTCGCCCCCTCTGCAAACCGGCTGCATCGGTTGGACGATGAACCGCACGCCCAACTCGACCTCGACCATGGTCGCGTACTGGGTCTCATCGCTCGCGTCGTCGTTCGCCCCGATCCCCTCGCCGGGTCGCGCCTTCGCCCTCGCCGCTTCCGGGCCACTCGCTTCCTCGTCTTCCTCGTCCTCCTCGTCCTCCTCGTCCTCGGCATCACCTTCTCTCAACGTTAGCTATCCGACTCCACCGTATGCGGCCCCCTTCTACCATCTCCACCGGGAGCGCGTGTGGTCGCCGATCTCGGATAGCGTCGCGGCCGTCGCAGCGCCCTTCGTCGTCTACTGGGCCATGTCGGCCCTCTTCATGTTCATCGACGCACTCGACCTGCGCTCGCTTGACCGGTACCGGATACACGACCCGGAAGAGGCCAAGACCAAGAACCGCGTCGGCAAGGTCCAGGTCTTGCGCGCGGTGCTGATACAACAGGCGTTGCAGACCGCCTTGGGTCTGTACTGGCTCGCCGACTTCGACCCGACGCACGGACCATTCCGCGATCATGCAGCCTCGATCGCGACCTATGCTGAACGTATGGCCCGCGTCGTGCGTTTCCTCGTGATGTCGTCATCACCAGTCAAGCCGACATCGCCCATCATTGCCGATGCGGCGCATTGGCTCTACTGGTGGGGAGTCCCGATCGTCCAATTCGTTTGTGCTGCGTAAGTAAACGCTCTCATGCATATGCCAAACCATCTCACTGACTTCCATCACCCCACTCTGGTCTTTCAAAGTTTCGTGCTCGACGGGTGGCAATACGGGTGGCATCGCTACTTCCACACCAACAAGTTCTTGTACCGTCACGTGCACTCGATCCACCACCGCCTCTACGTCCCCTACGCCTTTGGCGCGCTCTACAACCACCCGCTCGAAGGCTTCGTCCTCGACTCGCTGGGAGCCCTGATCGCGGAGAACGTCGTTGGTCTCACAACACGTCAAGCGATCCTCTTCTTTGCCATCTCAACAGCAAAGACCGTCGACGACCACTGCGGGTATTCCCTCCCCTTCGATCCTTTCCAACTCTTCTTCGCCAACGACGCCGATTACCACGACGTGCACCACCAGATCGCGGGGCTCAAGTACAACTTCTCGCAACCCTATTTCATCCACTTTGACTGGGTTCTCGGCACACGGCTGACGAGGGAGGATTACGAAGCCAAGAAGAACGGGCGGGTGCACCCGAGTAACAAAGTCAACGGACCGAACGAAATTGACGCCCCGCCAACATCGCAGCGGAATGGGATCGCGTTGAAGGACGAATAATGATTTTTTTCGATTTTCTAAGAGCTTTTGGAAGTGAAAGCCCTGCGTTTTGTGTATATACTCTCGTCGTCTCCTCATCGGTTCCCATGTGTGCACTTGTTCGTCTTTTTACTACTCGTCAGGTCATCTACACCTGTCTCGGATGTTCTTTTCTTGATCGGTCTTCCTTTGCAACGTAATTACAACGCCCGATTCCGATCGATTCACACTACATATCCGTCTTGGCTTCGTAGAGAGCATCTACTCCTCGATCAGGAATTCTTTGACCACATCATCCATCCTCCCGCTACTCCAACGCTGTTGCTCGACGTAACTCGGCAGATCCTCGGGCTTTGCAATCGCTTTCGGAATTGAAAGACAGCCGTAACATAACGAAGAATCGAGAGAGTTCGCTGAATCGTCGTGTTTCGATTCGCTGATTCCGATGGCCGCCGTCTGGGGCTCGGCATCCTCTATCGATCGAGTGACGGAAGCAGGGTCGGTTTCGAACAAGTCCGACATGGTGATCGCCGTTCGCCACCGATGAGCACCTTCTTGCACTGGCCTGAAATAAGCAGACCCTCCAAAGAAACTCAGTATTTTCACAAAATCCTCAGTTCAGCTCACGCCTGCACTACTGACCCTCCGCAAATCGCACACCCTTTCCAACTCTCACTCCCCATCTCCCCCTCCTCGATCCTCATCCTCGCATCCGTACTCCTCATGCCCAACTTGTGCACCGTCGCCAAAACGGTCTGTACCGTACTCGGGAATTCCTTCTGCAAGCCGTTCACGAACTTGGCTACGACAGCTTGGATCGTCGGTCCTCCACCCGCAGCTTCGCCTCGGTCGGGTCGGGCAACGACGAGTCGCTTGACTCTGACAAGTTCGTCCATCTCGGCTCTAAGTATGCCCGAAACCGGCCGAGCGACCAACAAACCATTTCCCTGTGCCTTCTCCCCCTCCGAAACCTCCCACTCGACCCCAACCTCCTCCCCAATGGCATACCCCCTACCCAAAGCCATCCCTTCGATCGTCAACTCGGCCACTCGATCACTCCCTTCCCCCGTGACCAAGACCTCACATTTCTCTTCTCTCGCCTTTCTTCGCAAGAGGGTGAGTAGGAGAGATCTTTGGAGTGATGCAAGGGATGTATGATCGATCTTGGTCTTGCTCGGGGTTGGGGAAGGTGTTGGGTGGAGTAATCGAACGAGTTTTTGATGACGCTCGACAGCGGTTTGTGAAGTGGATTCGGGGGTGCTGGGGTCGTTGAAGATTTCGGATAAAAGGAGGGACATGAACTCGACGTCTTTGATCCCGATTGAGTCGACGAGGGTTTTGAGGTCCTCAGTGGATGGCTTCTGCTGAGCGTCGAGCAAGGGATCATGGATCAGCTGCGACACTTTTTGTCGACGTCAGTGGCACCGACGCGCCGTAGACAAGTACTCACCTCTTGATGAGCCTGTCCATGCTCCGTATCCATCTCTACATGAACCACAAGCAGCCCCTCAAAAGCCGGTGGTGCCTTCGATGAAGGATCACGATTCGGAAACCACGCTTTAAGCAACTCCAATAAAACCCTGCCCAGTCCCAAACGCATGAGGATCCGAGCTTGAACGCGGCGCACCCCAACCTCTGCCTACACGAACTCACCTCGACCCTACCCCTCCGCTCATACCCAATAAAACCCTACTCCTCGGATACCTTACCCCTCCCCCTCCCCCTCCCCGCTCCTCTCTCCTCGACTGACGTTGCCTACCCGAAAGGGGTGAATGATCCATCGAAGTTCCGGTACGGGAAAAGTAACGTACGCCTTCTGCGGAGCGTTTGAATTTCGAGTAGAGGTACGCTTCGAAGCATGTTCTGCGGAGGTGTGTAAGTTTGGTTTTTTGGGGTCAGGGTTGGGTCGTTGGAGGTTGGAAGGGGGGGGGGGGGGGGAGATGGAGCGTACGAGCAGTAGGATCCGGCGAGGATGAAGGCGATCGCTGGGAGGGAACAGCGTCGACATTTGGTCGGTGTCGGTGTCGAGGTCGAGGTCGAGGTGGAAGCTACTACTGTGTTGTTTGGGGTATTACGCGGATGGGGATCGGTTGCACGGGAAAGGGAAGGGATAGGGATGGGGCAGCGCAAAGGTGGGGAGTGAAAAAGAGCCATCGAATCAACGAGACCGAACAAGTGTAAAAAAGCCTACGGTACTGACCTCGTTCAGGTTCGGTCTCGTCGAGGTCGAGTGGGTCGGGTTGACTGCACGACATGGTCGGTGTGGGGGGCTTTCGGTATATGAGGCTGAGCGAAGGAGTTGCAGTTGTGAGCGCCGCGCGCGCTCGGGGTTGGCGATTGGCGCCGAGTGATTTAGCGGTCCGTGCGAGTGAGTTGGCAGTGAGTTGGCAGTGAGTGGCTGCGAAAGGCTGCGAGTGACTAATTAATAGCGGACTCTTGCGGAGTGAGTGGCGCGTGCTTGCGCGTGGCTGCCGTGACTGGCTTCCGTTTCGCAAACCATTCCATTCGCGATCGCGCTCTATCCCGCCTCGGACCACGACTCTGCTTCCCTTGTGCATAGCACTCGCACACCTCGAACAAGAAAACACACACCATGGGTCGATCAGCCAAGATGGCCAAGCGCCCAGTCAGTCCTTGAACGCTCTTTTCACCCTTTTGGAGAACGGAACTAAAGCTGACCGTGAACATCATCCCTCCCTCCCCACTCACCACACCTCACCCCATCCACGCCCAACCCCCTCCGCATCCCCACTAGACCAAAGCCGAAAAGCTCTCTCGCCAAGTGAACGCGCCCATATCTACCCTCAACCGATCCCAACGACTACGCTCCCTCTCCCCCGATCTCGCCACCACCTCCACCTCCACCTCCACCTCCACCTCGACCAGCTCCACCTCGATCCCCTTGTTCAACACTTCTCGGAAAGGCGCTCTTGTCCCACCAAGACCCCGAACAGCCACAGTAACCACTTCAACAACCGACCTTACCGAACCCGACTTGGAATCGGACATGAACTTGCACCTGAGCGCACCTTCAAGCACAAGCATCGACCTCGTCTCTTCCCTCTCTTCCACCACCACCACCACCAACACCCCAACAGCAGCTCATTCACATTGGTCTTCCGAATTCCCGCTCTCCAAACAACAACGCAAACCCTCCACCACCTCGGACAAACTCAAGAAAGCTCAACGTTCCATCTCGAACGACGCGCGAAAAGTCGATCGCAAGATCACCGGTCGTGGAACGGGGGTAGTAGGAGGAGGGGGTAAAGGTTTGAAGGGGGGAAAAGACAAGTTCCGCTTGGGGGTTGATTACGTGACGTTGCATGAGAAGAGGAATGGTGGCGAGAGGTTTAGTAAGAAATTGAGGTAATCGAGAACGGGAACGATCTCAAAGAGAGGGCGTTGGGAGTCGAAGTTGGGGCGAAGGGCACGAGGTGTTGTGTACAATATGCATATAATCGGACGACGAGGATGAACAGTATCCGCCTTGATTCCGAGCATCACCTTCAGGAGACCATTCCGAGCTATCTCTATACTCGCCGACCCAAATCAAAAGTCTCGGGCACCTACGGGGACTAGCATCGCCCAGGGGGGGGGGGGGGGGGGGGCGCGATTTCGAGAGCTCGAGAGGGAACTCTTGTCACCACTTCACTCGCAGTTACTCTTCCGATCACGCTTGACGCGACGAAGCAAAATACAGGACAACTCATTCGATATAACAGCATCAAGTCTGACTATTTAGATTCCAAACCAGCTCGACGACGATCCCCTCGACGCGACGAGGTCGGTCGCACGACTGCGCAAACGGGTCCGCGCCCGAACGCGATCATCACCATCCGTACCGAATTCGCGCACAAGACTCGAACTCAGGACTCGGCAGATTCCTCCCCAAAGTCTCATTCAACAGCATCACTAACCCAAACCTCGAGACATCCCTCGTCGTTTCCCCTCAAGACCCCCTATCTCGAACCAGGGCAGTAAGCCGCACACAAAAGTTTAAATTTGAACTTGAAACCTTCGGCACTCAATTCCGAAGACGATATCAAATCGCGCGAGATCGAATAAACGGGTTCAAAGATTTTTTTCCTCGCACCATTGGAGGAGTCGAACATCAACATTGGAATGATGCGAGTGATCGAGTGAAAGCGCGGAAATCTGTGCTCAGTCAAATTTGATGAACAGCACCATCGATTTTCGGTATTTGGGATAATAAGTGCTTGTTGTATTACGAGCTGAGCTCGATGTGTTTCACCAGAAAAGTAATGGTCGCTTCTTGAGATTTTTTTTTTTGGGGGGGAGACGATGAGTGCGAGCTCGATGATATCGAATCCATGCCCTAGCTCGTGCTCTTCACCCGTCAGGCGGGCGTCTCCGTGGACGAGAGCTGGGCGCTGGTCGAAGACGAGCGAGAAGCGAGAACGTACGATTCTCCTTCACCAACCCTGGTGCGATACCGATTCCCTCCTTCATTCCATCGGGTTCATCCTCTTCCATGTACCTTCTAGAACCGGACAGGCTTCCCGGAACGTTCGAGAGCCCCCAAACATATCTGCCCACCAATGGAACCCACAACTCCTTCCGCGGTGAAGTCCAAAAAAGTTCCTTACCTCTCCCTCAAGTGAATTTGGATCAAATACACTCTAGCACCCTTCCCAAACTCCTGAACAGACTCTACTGATTTCATGGGGAGGTTCATCAAGTACTATGGGCTAAGTCTAGAGCATTCTTCGGTCGACTCGGGTCGGAGGAGAGCTTCGTCGTCCTCATCCACCAAGTGGGCGACCATACTAGCTGTCGCAAGATGGGTTTGATTACTGACTTGCCAGCAGCGCTACTTGATGATATCAGAGCTCGACATACATGACTCGATGGAAGAAGTGGGCTCTTTATGCAGCTAGTATACTGTAATGAGAGCACTCGACCGCCAGCCTAAGTTCGGATGATATTCCCTCCGCCTCTAGTGCACCCCTGAACTGATCAGAACGAGCTTCTTGGTTGCGTGTCTGGGTTCGTCATTCCCAAAGGGTAAGCCAAATAACAATAAATGAGAACCGCAAGATGTGACAGAGATCGATCCCTCGGTCCCCTCGAAGCTGGTGCACGTGTCGACGGGGGTGCCTCGCGACGAACTTAGGAGCGCCTTGAAATTATTATCAGAGGCAACTCGCTGCGCATGTGAAAGGCCGGTGACGCGGCGGTGGTCGGGGCGACAACCCCCCGAACACCCCATTAACGGCGCCACACCAGCATACATCGCGTCTCCTCAGCCAACAGCACACTCTCAAAACCGATCCAATGCGAGGTCTCAGCGACCGAACGAAGCCTCTAGCCTCAGCCCAGTGTTTGCCTTCGTCGCATACGGGGCAGGGGCTAGAGGCTTCGTTCGGTCGCTGAGACCTCGCATTGGATCGGTTTTGAGAGTGTGCTGCTGGCTGAGCAGACGCGATGTATGCTGGTGTGGCGCCGTTAATGGGGTGTTCGCCCATCGATCTCACTTCACGGCGAAGGGAGAAGATGAGGTCTTCGATTTTTGGGAGCGTGGTGGCCACGGCGAAGGGAGAAGATGAGGTCTTCGATTTTTGGGAGCGTGGTGGCCGCGGCCTGAACGCTGGTTGAAGGTAGATTTCCAATTGTTGTAAAGTTGCGGCATGTTGAGGAGTAGGCGTGCGGTAAGGATTTGTTCGAAATCGATGTTCAGGTTTCGCATTGAGTTGACAATGATGCGGACATGACCAGCCCACTGATTGAAGCCCGATTCGGTCGTGGGGATCGGCGGAAGGTTCCGGAACTCGCCAACGAGGGTCGCGGCGGCTTGAGCGTCGCTGGGGCGGTAGCGACTAGTTAGTTCGAGCCAGCACTCGTGTGCCGTGCCTTTCATCTGGCGAATCGGAATGATGTCCGAGGAGCAGATCGGATCGATGGAAGCGATGAGGACCCGCGATGCGTACTCTTGTCCGCGTGCGTAGTAGGCGTCGGTCCATTTCACGTTATCTCTGGCCCCCGGTGAGGTAGTCGTAGACGTCGTCGGGAAGGAACATGTTGAGAAAGCCATCCCATTCGACGAAGTTCTCTCGGCCTTTGAGCATGTAGGCTTCCGGCACGACGATGGTGGACGGCATGCCGTCGGTCGGTTTTTCTTGTTTGGCGGGCGCGCTGGCAGCCGATTGCGAAGCCTCCAGTCGCGTGATTTTGGCGACAAGCGCGGCGTAGTCAGCCTGAAGGTTGGCCCAAGGCCGCGGCGTCGGATGATGATGTTGTGTCTGGTGGTGGTGTCGGCTCAGCCATTGGTGGTGGGACAGTAGTGGATTTGTCGGAAGCTGTAGTAGCTTTAGCGTCTTTGAGCAGCTGGTAGCTCGTTGGGCTCATAACCTATGAGAAGTATGGAGGACTGGATCCCGACTCAAGGGGTTGAGTACGAGCGCAAGATCGAGGATGGAAGATGGATGAAGAAGGAAGAGACAAGTGCCCGCGAGGCGCGCGACTTCAACCCAAGCCAACGTGTCAACCGAGTCTCGATCAGGCGCTGGGATCCGGCGTAGAGGGTAATAGGCTAAAGAAGGAGTGCAAAGTAGGAGTGGAATAGTGGCATGAGAAGTAAATAGAATTAGAAGAGAATCAGTATGATTGGGTTCTGACACAACCGAGCGCCTAGCATCGAGGATCGAGAGCGGGTCAGAACGACGTACAAGGTCAAAGTACACCTACGATTGGGATCGGTCGAGGTTGTACAGACGGCTTTTTTCAGCGGCGAGATCCCTGGGCCGCAAAGATCAGCTTTCCATCTCTGCCTTACTCTGGTCATTTTGTCGGTCGGAAGGTGACACGAAAGTTGATAAATGATGATGAAATGATGGCACACAAAGTCAAAGCACCTACACAGTACAGGGATTTTCTTCCTGTTTCGTCTGCACAATCTTTTCAAGCAATTTTGCCAAATCCGCAACAAGCTGGTCATGAGAAAGCTCACCTGAGCCCCAGCGCGCGTCAAGGTATGACGTCTCGCCCGCTTCGCCGTGTGTGAAACCGTATGAACCGAGGCCACAGTGGTTAGCGATTATCGCGACAAGTTCGGGTAGATCCTCCCAGCGTTCCAAATACGGTTTCAGGAATTCCTGTCGATGCGCTGGGGCTCCGATGAGCCCCTCTTTGGAGAGAAAGGCCAACCACGAATCCTAGTTCCAGAGCTTCCACACCTGCTTGGCATCTTCGGCCATTCCACTCAAGTCGCCCCCACCATTGGGCCAATTGAAAACGACGAAGAGAATGACATAGACGAGCGACTCGATTTGGTGCCAAGGCTGAAAGAGTGTACGACTAGTCGCTTTGAGGATATACCTTGCACGGAAAGCGAATGTGCCCTGTGGAAGAGTGAAAAGAAGTGAAAGGCTATGGTCGAGCGGACTGACATCGAAGCTTTGCAGAGTCAAGGAGGAGGCTCACAACTCGTTCCATACGCGCAGCTTCTCCAACAGGGCCGTCCATGGGTATGGCGAGGTCATAGTCGATCAATACACCCTCCCCGTCGGGTCCGATCATAATATTGCCGGGTGAGACATCGCGATGCAGGATGCGCATTCGGTAAAGGCTGCGCAGACCTGTACCGAGGGAGTTAAATATTCAGTTTTGCCATGATCGGGATGACCTTGACCAGCGCGAAATCGCACCGCACCTTTGACAGCTCCCAGCACTGCTCGTGTAAGCGCTTCAATCGAGTCGACGGCCCAGAGTGGCTCGAAGCAGCGCTCCTGAAAAGTGACCTCCATCGCCCTTGGCTTGAGCCCGGTTTTTTCGGCGCATTCCTCGGCGTCCAGATCGCCTTTGAGGAAGTGGGGCACAAGGGTGAAGTCTTGTCGATGCACGTCCACAAAGTTTGTGAGCCCTTCGCGCTCGTGGGGTGATGCCGAGGCAATCATCTGCCGGATCCGATCGTGTTCGTTGCAGCGCGCTTCTTCCACAAACGACACCGTCATTGCGTATTCGCGATTGTCACCTGGTCCGTCCCGGATCGCTCGGACCCGTGAAGCGGATTTCTGCAAGCCGAGGACCTCTCCACTGCAAAAGACCGTCTTCTCAATCTCGATTGAGCCCATCGTGGGTACTTTGGCGAGGTGACGAGCGAAAGATGGAACCCGCGGTGGAAGCACAGCGGTCGGGAATGGCAGCGGCGGGCCGTTGGGTCCTCCAGCGAGGCGATCTTGCCGAGATGAAGATCATCCAAGCTGAGCAGACGCATGATAAACATCGAGAGGTGTCCATTCGATTCGGTGCATTCGATGTCGGACGAGTAGAACAGACCAGATGGGGTGTGAAGGTAGAGGGTCAAGATCGAGCCGTTGAGCGTGAAGCCGAACGTGTGAGAGCGGATCGGTGACTCGGCAGCGAGCATGCGCAGATGGTGCTTCAATCGCGTGGCCGGGAATACACACTCGTATTCGGAGGTGTCGTCGCTCTTCTTCATACCACCCAGTACGCCAACCGCCGCGATCTGTTCCCAATCTCGAAGAACATCTGCCCCATCCTCGACGTAGCCGTGGGCCCAAGCGGCAGCGAACTCGGGATTGGCGCCGAAGGATTGGCGCGAGAGCACGACGAAATCGGGAAGCTCGGCGGGATCGTACAGGTCGCTATCCTGGCCGAGAGGGGTTTTGACGAGTCGTCCTTGCGGCTCCTGTGACACGTCAGAGTGAATCATTGACATAGATTAGGAGTAGCGGCGCATCAAAGAGTTCACTCACCCATACAGGTTCGCCTGAATGCCACGTGATTCCGGGAGCCGGCTCGGTTATCGTTGACTCAGACTCGCCGAGGCGCGCGACCCGGGTATCGACGTCGGGGCCGAGGAAGAAGTCCTCCAGCGGAGGCCACTTGATTTCATGGCCGCGGAAACCAGTGTTGTCCTCCGAGCTAGAAGGGAACATCCATGTGCGTAAAGCCCAAGGCCGCCGTGCGGCAAATGAGTAAGCCAGAGGTTTCGGTGGGGACGACGACGGCGACGGGATCGGTGATTCTGTGGGCCACCCCTTCGGTAAACCTCCCGATGACGCAGAAGCTGCACTCGTGGAACTATATGGTCGGCGAGATGCGGGCGAGGACGTGGTCGAGGTAGGTGAGCCGGAACGATCCTGTTCGGTGGGGCCCCGGGTAGGCAAGGATCCGGGAGGCTGTGCATCGCCCACGTCGGCGTGAGCGGAGCCCTTCCCCTGCGGGTCAATCATGACACGCCACGAAGAGAGGAAGGGTGAACCAGAACTAAAAGGAGAGGCCAGGGAGTGCCACTGCATCTTTGACATCACGAAGGACGAAGATAGGAGAGGTGAGCCGGACGAAGGGGCTCGAGACGAGGGCAAGGGCGAGTGACGAGTTGAGAGGTGTTCTAGGGACTTCTCACAAGAGGCGAGGACGAGGGACGAGTGCAAGGATGTGACCTTTGACGAGATTCGAGTTGCAGAAGGGAAAGAGAGAAGTGAGCTACGGAACTGGGAAACTAGACCAGAGGAGTCGGGGACGAGGTGGCGAGCTTGAGGAGGCGAGGCACGAGGATCACGTAATAGTGTTGAGGCCAAGGATCACGTAATAGAGCTTGGTTGATGTTCACGTAAGAGTCGGGGGCGAGAGGGTTGTGAGCGTATAGTTGGAGGAGAAGAAGGCAGTGCAGGTGCCGAAGCGGGGAGAGGAGGTCCGAAGCGCGGGAAGGCCCAAGTCACGCGGATGACGTGGGTGCTGAGAGGCCGAACTTGGAGTGGCGAAACTCCCATTCGTGACAGTACCCCCGGGTTAAGCGTCGAGCTCCGCGAGATGTTGGATACGGTCAGCGCCAGGCTTGCGAGGTTTCGAGCGATGGAAGTCGAGGACGAGAGCATCGTCATCATCGAAATCGGAAGCGTCAACCCACTCACGATCCTGAGGTCCATAGCCAGTCCAATCAACGAAGTATTGAAGCGAGCCATGGCGAACGCGAGAGTCGAGGATCCTTTCGACGACGAAGGCTTCCTGGCCGTCAATGAGGTCGGGCGGCGGCGGCACAGGTTGCTGACGAGAGGGCAGAGTGTTGGGGCGATAAGGTTCGAGGAGCGAGACATGGAAAACAGGATGAATGCGCATCGTCGAAGGGAGGTCCAACTCGTAGGCAACGGGCCGCAAAATGCCGACTTGGGTTTGCAACAAGACCGTACTATGACGTACATCATGTGTTGGTCTTTCCTTCTTTCCTTCTTGTTCCCCTTGTTCTTTCCTTTCCTTTTTTTCTTCCCTTCTCCTCTTTTCTTTTTCCGCTTCGCTGGCAACTCCTGGCCTGGACATGGGTGGCGGCCCCAAACTTCGGCATGTCCGTCCAGCAGACCGCCGTGTCCGCAACCGCGAACTGTTATTCTCAACAGCTTTCTGCCCTGTAGAACTCAGATTACGAATAGCGAATTGCTTCTTGTGAAAGGCTCTGGAAGCGCAAGCACCTGATGAGTTTGTCTGATGGACACGAAAGAACTGCATTGTTATGCAGCTTCTACGCAAAGAGTCAACTCTTCTTCCGTCGAAACGAATACTCACTTCAACTTATAGTTCATGCACTAGGTTACTCAAAGCGCAGAGCACGGACACAGTCTGTCATTTCATTCTTCAGAGAGATATTGAACACATTCCCATTCTCGCCATCAGGCTGCTTCGGCAAGGGCTCTCAGGCGTGTCTGGATGTTTTTGTACGACATCACACCGGTGTCCCAGAGGTCACAAAGTTTGGCCTCAAGCTCGTCTCCGTCGAGGTCAACATAAGCTGCGGCAATCGAACAGTTGTCTTTCAGGATCGTGAGAACGTCCTCCACGCCAGACCAACGGGACGCGCATGCGGCCAGGAGCGTCTTGAAGCCGATCCGCGAGCTCAGTCCGTGTTTTTGGGCTGCTGCGACTCTTCGAAAGAGGGCACGTCGGCAGACCCAGATTGAAAAGCCGTGCGGGACGCCACATAAAGCAACGACTCGATGTCGTGCCAGCGCCCGTGCACCACACTCTCGGTTTCGGGTACGAGCAGGAGTCGAGAGATGTAGGGAAGCGTGCCCTGTGGTTGATCATGGTACAGGGGAAGGGTAGGGAGGAGTTAGGTGAGACCAGAAACGTGTCGAGGGCTAGCACGGACGCGAGAACGTTCCGAGCGGCTGAGGCGACACGTTTCTTCAATCGTTCGAGCCGTCCTGACCGCCAAATTGTAATCGATTAGGACTCCATCGCCGTGCCGGTGGACCATGCCGTTGCCATAGGACACGTCACGGTGAATGAAGCCATATTCCGACAGCTGACGGTGCCCTGTCACGCAAGGCAAAGGGTCGTTAGCGTAGGCACACCCTTCAGCGCGCTGCAGATCGTGTTGAAGTCGAAAGCGGAAAGCCCAGCGGAGAGCGGGCGGGCGGGAGAATTTCGCATTTGGTATTTGGAAATTGCCCACATAAATAGGTCGAAACACACTACTGAAGTGTAAGGCGCCGCTCCGCTTACGCCTCACGACGACCTCGAGCCAACCGGCCTCACGCTTGCCCTCGCGCGCGGCGCCGCCGCGTCTCTTGACCATAGTCCTTTTAGTAGTCTTTCTTCGCCTGCGAATTACATCGTTTGATCCTTTCAGTTTGGACTCGGAATCAATGAGGCTCGAGAGCGATCTCGTGCCTTTCATGAAGCTTTGGCGCTCCTGTCTGGTCTATGGAGGCTTGCTTTCGTTATAGCCTCGCCCACTCCTGTCGTCGATAGTATCGGGTTCGGCAGGATGATGTCCATTGGTCAGCGCATGCGGGATCTAGAAGCTTGATCACAAGGCCCAGTACGAAGTCTAGTTTTACATTCAGATTCGTCCATTGAAATTGCAAAACAGGAACGCAGATGTCGAGCACGGTTCTACTCGCAAAGTGTCTTGAAAGCCGCCTGGACATGTTCATACGACATCTGACCGGAGTTCCAACGCGACGCAAGTTCTGGCTCAGTCTCGAAGTCTTCCAGGCCCGAAAAAGAAAATTCCAGCGAGCAATTTTGCTGCAGGACACTCAGAACCTTCTCCGCGCCAGACCAACGAGATGCGCATGCGTTCAGGAGCTCCCTGAAGCCGGATCTCGTAGACAGCCAGCCTTTCCTGATTGCTGCATTGTTGAGCTTTTGGGCGTTCCACGCGTTCCAAATATCTGCAGCGTCCGACTTTTCGAAAAGGGTCGCGTCGGAAGGTTCAGATTGAAAAGCCGTGCGGGACGCCACGTAGAAAAAGGACTCTATGTCGTGCCATCGCTCATGCACCACACTCTCGGTTTCGGGTACGAGCAGGAGTCGGGAGATGTAGGGAAGCGTGCCCTGTGGTTGATCATGGTACAGGGGAAGGGTGGAAAGGAGTTGGGTGAGACCAAGAACGTGTCGAGGGCTAGCACGGACGAGAGAACGTACCGAGCGGCTGAGGCGACACTCTTCTTCCGCCGTTCGAGCCTTCTTTACCGCCAGATTGTAATCAATGAGGACTCCAGCGCCGTTCCGGTCGACCATGACGTTGCCATAGGACACGTCACGGTGAATGAAGCCGTAGTTCCAAAGCTGGCGATGCCCTGTCACGCAAGGCAAAGGGTCGTCAGTGTTGGCACACCCTTCAGCGCGCTGTCCCGCTCTGCTCTGATCATGAGCACTCACCCTCAATCGCACCCTCGAGAGCGCGCGCGAGCTGCTTGGTGTGTTCGAGCGTGGCGAGTGGGTTGTAGCATTCTTCATGAATGACGACCTCCTTGGCCCGCGCGGTGATACCGTCGAGGGATTCGTCGCCGGGGCGAGACATGTAAACTAGCACATCGCACACTTGAGGTCGACGAAGGCGCGGAGCTGGGTTGTCATCCAATGCCTATCAAGGTACACGTGCCATCGATGAAGCAAGGCAGTCATCGATCGAGCGTCACGAGCGGCGCCGACATGGCTCCCAAGATCCGCCGTCCACGGCTTATCATCGCGGTCAACCGCCACAATGCCACAAAGCGATCTTGGAGATGACAATGCCGAGAGAAGGAGCCAGTAGCGAAATCTGGAATACAGGCAGATCGAGACCCTCAATAGGACATGTTCAGGAGTCGCCGATAACGATCAGGCCGGATTCAACGTAGGTCGATCGCGATCATTGGACTACACGAACGAGTTCGGGTCAGTGGTGACAGTTCGAATATTAGGTCTTTCCTCTGTAATCCCCTCTACTATGCTGACATACGTTTTCACAACATCTGTCATGAGCCAGGAGCCGTTCGAGGAAAGGTAGTAGTACCGTGAGTCATCTCCCGACCTATAGCGAGTTCGCCGTGCCGCTCGATCTCGTGTACTGAATTTTTGAGTTTTCTTTGGTCCCCTTCCTCAGAACGCAATCCAAACGAAATCCGTTCATGTACCGATACCAAGTCCGACTACTGCAACGCATCTATCCGTCACTTCGAGCTGCCCTTGGCTTCGAGTTTCAACTGCCGAATTCACCTGTCCAAGATCCGAAAGAACGCCGTTTCTCGAGTAAGCGGAGCAGCCAACAAAATCGATCCTTACCAGGAGGAACCAAACATACTTTACATGCATCAGACGGCAAGCGTGTGGAGGAGTCTTAGGCTCCCTCGGCGATTGAGGATGGACGAGATGTGCATTGGGACTGCGGCGGAACGAAATCGTGACCGATGCGAGCACTAAGGATCGGAAGAATCTGGACGACCCAGATAGGCTCCAATACCTGCCATCTAACATGCCTTCACTTCCCGCTACCAGTGATCTTTTGCATCTTGCATCGAAGCTCGCAAGAAGAAAAATTGACATAAGCTCATGCTTGGTGGACCGTATGGCAAGATTTTATGACCTCGGCTTGATCAGTATCGGCATCGGCATCGATCGGCATCGTACCCCGCGCTTCTTCTATGGGCTTCCTGACCCAGTCTCTTAATGGGTCTCGAATATTTGATTGTACTACTCTACCCATCATTCAGAACGTGCTCCGATGGACACGAGCGCAAAGAAAAGGTCCTCAAGAAAAGCAACTCGAGACTCGTTGATAGTTCGGATTGACCTCGCCAAACCTGCGATCTCGATTGACTGGTGCCTCACTCTAGCCAATGAAATTCCGATCACGGTGAGATGTTGGCAGCGTTTCTGTGAAAGGTATTTCTTGTGGTGCAAACCGTACTCCACACCTTCAAAGCCTGCTTTTTTCCATTGCTCTCGACACTGCTGTCCAGGCCTTGAAAAGGCTTTGAATTCAGGCCGCTGCGAGCCGGACCGCCCGCTTGTTTTTTCAAGCGGAGGCGTTGCATATCTACATGTACCTGGAGTGGCCGTATTGGCTACACCGCGAAACATCCACTGCCTTTGGAAATTTATGCAACAAGAACGAACTACGACCACATCATGTGTTCAGCTCTCCCCTGCTCTCCTTTATCTCATTTATTTCCGTTTCTTCTTTTCTTCTTGTCTTTTTTCTTTCTGGATATTCAATTACAAAAGCGGCAACGTCGCCCCAGTAACCCCATCCCCAGTGACGGTTTTTCGATATTTACTCTTCTACTTGGGTTCGGAAATATCATGTACTCTCTTCTCTCTCTTTCTCTTTGTCCTGTTGATGGCCTGTGCGTCGGGAACAAACTCGTGGACGTCGGCGGTCGAGAGCCGGCGTCGGCGCCTGCCACAGCACTCGGGCTCCGAGTCAACGTGCCAACCTTGAGCTTGAGCTTCAAGAACGTCGACCAAGTTCAACTTCCCCGCATCTCGCCAATCTCGTGGTCCTACGAAAGGAATTGCGGCTCCATCGACGTTCTCGCCGAAGGCGAAAGAATCGTCCACAGAATCACTGATGAGTTTGCCAGCAGATTCAGCGATCACGTCGCCAACAGGATCGCCGAGGGTCCCGCCACGGGTGCCGTCCCCGGCTCTGGCTCGCTCGTTCGCCGCTCAACAGCCATGGGTCCTGCGCACATGGATGTATCCTTCCAGCTCAGAGGACAGAACCGGATTCCAGGGCCATGAAATCGAGTGGTCCCCATTGAGGGACTTTTTCCTGAGCCCAAGCCCCAGTCGCGATCGTACCGCGGCGGACTCGGGCCAGATTGAGTCAACGATGAATCAGAGCCTGGCGCCGAGAATCACGTGGCATTTAGGTGATCCGAACTTGGTGAGCATCTCTTCCAATGCAGTGTTGCTCCTACTCTTGTTCGAGGTTCCTGATCTACGCGCGATCTGGATCGGACAGGAACCACAAGGAAGACTTGTGAAAACTCCTCTTCGCCAAGATCGCGAAGCCTACGATCCCAACGAGTTTCCGGATTTCGTCGTGCTGTCGCGACAGGCCTTCGACGCCAATCCCGAACTCGCTTCGGCTTGGGCCCAAGATCACGTCGACCCTGAAAAAGACGATTTCCGCAACTGGGAACAAGTGGCCGCGATTGGTGTACTGGGTGGCAAGAAGGAATGCCAAGACCCCACCTTGGATTCGGCGTGGGTCTACCCGGCCACGCGAGTGAAGCATCACCTGCGCAAGCTCGCTGCCGAGTCACCGATCCGCTCTCACACGTTCGGCTTCACGCTCGACGGCTCGATCTTGACCCTCTACCTTCACACCCCTTCTGGTCTGCTCTACTCGTCCGACATCGAATGCACCGAATCGAATGGACACCTCTCGATGTTTATCATGCGTCTGCTCAGCTTGGATGATCTTCATCTCGGCAAGATCGCCTCGCCTGGGGAGCCCGACGGCCCACCTCTGCCGTTCCCGGTCGCCGCGCTGCCGCCGCGAGTGCCAGTTTTCGCTCATCACCTCGGGGACGAGCCGACGATGGACTCGGTCGAAATCGCGCAAACGGTGTTTTGTAGCGGCGCAGTCCTCGGGTTGCAGACGTCGGCGTCGCGAGTTCGTGCGACACGGATGGGTGTCAACGGCGAACAGGAGTATGCGATGACCGTCTCGTTCGTGGAAGAGGCTCGTTGCGACGAACACGATCGGATCCGGCTGCTGATTGCCTCGGCATCGCCTCAGGAGCGCGAAGGTCTCACGAACTTTGTGGATGTGCATCGAGAGGTGAATTTCAGCACTGTCCCGCACTTCCTCAACGGCCATTCTGACGCCGACAGCGCCGCGCTCAAGCCGAGGGCGATGGAGGTGGCTTTTCAGGAGCGCTGCTTCGAGACAATTTGGACCGTGGACTCGACCGAGGCGCTCATTCGAGTCGTGCTTGGCGTGGTGAAAGGTGCGTGTTTGGTCTCGCTCGGATCAATTCGAGTTGCAGTGGACGTTTGATTTCTGATGCCGGATTGATCTCCTCCTCCCAGGTCTGCGTAGTCTGTACCGCATGCGCATCCTGCATCGCGATGTCTCATCCGGAAACATCATGGTTGGACCGGATGGAGAGGGTGTATTGATCGATTATGATCTCGCCGTGCTCATGGACGGGCCCTTTGGCGATGCAGCACGTCTGGAACGAGTTGTGAGGTCACCTTCTCGTCCTGTAGCCTTTCAGCGCTACACCGCTGACCAGAGCCTCTTTCAATTATCGCGCACAGGGCACCTTCGCATTCCGAGCACGGCATCTTATGGAATTTTGCGGCAGTCTCCTGCATCAACCATGGCACGACATCGAGTCGCTCGTTTACGTCATCCTTCTCGTCGTTTTCTTGCAACCCACGGGACCAGAAAGCTGGGGCAGGATGTCGGAAGAAGCCGCGACGGTGTGGAAGAATTGGAACTGGGACGAATATGCCTACGATACCAAATGGGTACTTCTCCAACGGCAGTCAAACCGGAGGGAGCTGCTGAAGCCATATTTGGGTTTCTGGGAAGGCCTTCCCGACCTCATCGCTATTGTGGCGAAATACTGCGGACTCAACTTGTCAGCTTACATGTACGGCAGTGTCGAAGCAGAAGAATACCTCAAGAGCGAATGGGGTTCAGGTGAGCTCTCGCATGATCAGCTTGTTGCGGATTTGGAGAAATTGCTTGAGGAGATTGTGCAGACGAGACGGAAAAGGGCGTCGGTTTCGCCTGTCATTGTGTAGCTGCTTTAGCTTTGTGTGCCATTCATTTGATCATTTCTCCAACTGTTGCATCTCGTTCCGACCGCCAAAACGACCAAAGCAAGGCAGATGGTATGGAAGTGGATGAGAAGTGATGACCAAAGTAAGGCGTACTACCTCGCTCTGTTTCGCTGTAACCGTCCGTCATCGCGCCCGGGGTCAACCCTGCATGACAGTTGACTCAACAGCCACCTTCCTACCTTCGCGCGATTCACCGGTCTTTTGTAGGCCCTCTCTCCCTTTCGCTGCTGATATTGATGAGATGCAATACCCCTGGCCCTGCTGCCAGTGTGGAGACAGGAATCTGTAAGGCGCAGGGCCCTACGGGAAATCCACGCAACCGCAGTTGACCGCGGTTGGACGATGGCGCCGAAGTTAACCGCAGTTCAACCGCGGGCATCGCGGTCGGACCGTGGTTGCTTCGCGTCGCGTCGCGTTGTGCCTCCCTGCGTGGCGCTTTCTTCCTCGTCCCTCTTACACGCCTCTGGAACCTACCTTTCGCCATGCAACCTTCAAGTCCCGACGAAGATCGCTTACAGATCCGTAAGCTTGCTCGTAAAGAGGCCAACAAAGCTTATCTCCACGAACTCTCGGCGTGCCTCGACGACACCGCGCAGCGCATGGCTTTGGACGTTCGGATATCGTTCGCCGAAGCGCGTGCTCAGCTTCTCGCAGATCTCTATGCGGAGAATCCTCTCCGACCCAAGCGCGCAGTCTCGGCATGGAATCATTTTGTCAGCATAGCATCAAAAACAGCGCTGCCGTCTCAAGCCGCGCTCGAAGATGCTGGTGAGGCTTCAGATTCCGAAACGGAGCGTAGGTCCACGCCAGCCCTCGGACTTGAGCCCACTTGCAAAAGCTCGCGGCTTGCTGACTTCACCGAATGACGATCGCCGCATTACGATGTTCCTCGACGTGAATCCACCAGCCGCTCCTCGACCTAAGAAGCGCTCGCTGCCCGAGGTGTCGCAGGCGGCGAGCAAGGATTATGCCCGAATGACCGAAGATCAGAGGGAGGAGCTAAGGAAGGAAGCCGATCAGACCGTGAACGATGCAGCAGGTGAGGCGATCGTCAAGAGGAAACATGCGAAACGTATCCCCGAGATGAAAACGATTGGACGAAGGGTACGCATGAGTTCTTGGCGTGCAGTGTCGAATGCGTCTCGCGATGACTTTCGCTCGCCCGATATGTGTCATTGACATGCGATTTTTTTTACTTCAACACCCCCTTTCTAGCTCCATCAGCTGTCGAAACTACATGGGGTCAAATTCATCCTCGTGTATGCATCATACGATTGGGGCGAAAAGGCACTCGTCGGGCACAGCCAATCAATATTGCCGCATGGCCGCACTTGAATTGCAATCACTGTGTATGGGTTTAGAAGGATTCATATCGCTTCATGGTGAGTTATATAATAGTGTATGCTTTGTAATTGCCTACATTGCGTCAAATTCTTGTCAATTTACGCGTTTGCTATCAGCTGCCCCGCCCATGTTTGTGCCTTTTCAATGGCAGACAGGCTTGGGAGGCAACAATCGAGATCGAGCAAGAGTCTGGTTGGGTGATTATCTGGACGCTAGCCTCAGTAAGCGGCTACCTTTCGCACCGTGTATGTGGTGTGTGACTGCGGCAGTCATGCTGAAAGATCTCCCACTTGGGATCGGGTATGGCCGATCTTGCAGGGCACGCGAGCGCTGGAAGGGTGGCAAGCATGGCTGCCGTCAACGCATGGACGACGTCTGGCGTAGAGGCGTTGGAGGAACAGCAGCAAGTGCAACTGTTGGGGTGGCCTGTGACGGTAGCGCATAGTGCTCCTCGATACTGGACAAAGGGGGATTGTGAACTACTGACGCAGGCAGCGAATGCCCGTATATTGCGCTGGGTTAGACTGGATGTGGAACGTCGATTCTGACCTGGCACTAGCCGAGTCCCTGTTGTGGTACTTCGCGCTTGGGTCTTTCCATGCGTAATGCTAGTTTGGCTATAATGTAATTTGCTTAAAGTCTTACCTCACCAGTTTCACTGGCCGCGTTTGGCTGCGCCAATTCCCTTTGCTCAAAAGAGCCATCTAAAGACAAGTGCTGCGCAGAATATTCCTGTGGCCGGAATTCGTATCCAGGCATGTCAGACCGTCATGCCTCTCCAAGTCCACCGTATCTTGCCATTCCAGGGCTAACTTCAAAACCCGAACGTCGCTCGGTGCGCGCTCGGTGCGCCAATCTACAATTCTGAAAATTTCGTTCCGCAGGCAAGTATTTGTGCGTTCCTCCTATTACAACACGCCATTAAACTAAAAGACTCAATGGTAGCGTTACAACAGCTCCCCATTTCCTTGACTAATCTCTCCAACACGAACTTCCCATGTCGAGCACCGCCGAGCGACCTCCGAGTCTGCAAAGGTTCCGGGCTGGGCTTGGATTCGAAGTACAGGTGAATATCCGATACAGCTCAAAAACGCGATGTTGTTCGAGCCTTTCTGATGTCATTCCATCTATCCCCGACCGATTCAGCCTGAATGGGAGGGGTTTGCTTACTCTGCGCGGGTAACAGCGTCGGTGCAGCCGGGATCGAAGCAATCTCGATACAGCAACAACATTAAAGTCGCCTCGAGCCACATGCCATGGGCTATTCATGTTGATGTCACCAAGCACAGCGATGTTCGAGTCTTTCTGATGTCATTCCATCTATCCCTGACCGATCCAGCCTGAATGGGAGGGGTTTGCTTACTCTGCGCGGGCAACAGCGTTGGTGCAGCCGGGATTGAAGCAATCTCGATACAGCAACAACATTAAAGTCGTCTCGAGCCACATTACCTGGCTATTCATGTTGATGTAACCGAGCACAGCGATGTTCGAGTCTTTCTGATGTCATTCCATCTATCCCTGACCGATCCAGCCTGAATGGGAGGGGTTTGCTTACTCTGCGCGGGCAACAGCGTTGGTGCAGCCGGGATTGAAGCAATCTCGATACAGCAACAACATTAAAGTCGTCTCGAGCCACATTACCTGGCTATTCATGTTGATGTAACCGAGCACAGCGATGTTCGAGTCTTTCTGATGTCATTCCATCTATCCTTGACCGATCCAGCCTGAATGGGGGGAATGTGCCTACTCTGCGATCTATCCCGACCCTCGGCTGGATGCTGCGCAGCGCACGCCGGATCTGGTAGGTGTCCTTCTCTCAATCCAACATCCAACAGCTTGAGTCGGCTGTTGCATCCTTGATCAGCACGTTTGCTTAACGTACAGATTCAACTGAACCACTGGCTGAGCTGGTGCAATACATCCTCTTGAATTCAATTACAAAATACGATCAATATGAAGTAAATCCCTTCAGTTGGCACCTATAATTCGCAGCCACTCCTTGCGCGATAACCCTTGAGCCTCATAATCGTACTACTCGTTATCATCGTCCTTCTCTTGGTCGTCCTGTTCTGGGTCGGCCTCTTTGTCGCCCTCTTCTTCTTGGTCATCCTCACAGCCGTCCTCGCACCAAGGTTCTTCAAGCTCATCCTCCAGCGCATATTCTTCCTCACTGCCTCCCTCTTCGTACTCAATGTCTAAGTCGTTGTCGTCAACACCGGCAGCTCGGCTGAGGTGAACTTCAGGATCTGCGTCGAGCTCAGCTTCCCCCTGAATTACATCCACTTGCTCGGAGAGTGCTCGTATGATTTCCTCAAGGTCGTCGTCAGCCTCGTAGTCGGCCGGATTGTCGTCGGACGCCAAAGTCGGCGTCGCGACGTTGGAGCCAGGAGGCGGAGTGGGTCCCCGAGCACGGATTTTGGACAGGTCTCCCAGAAGGCACAATCCTTGCGTTCGCTTCGACATTCGCAGGCGATCCAAGCTCTGAATGAGTTGACGAAGCTCCTGGCACTTGTGGACTGCAATCGCAGAGAGAGCACTCTTCTTCCAGGCGGGCAGCTGAACATCCTCATCAGGTGGATCGAGGTCGCGTCGTTGAGGTTCAGCCGAGGTCGAAGCCAAGCTGTCCCAGTACTGGAAATTTTCGTGGGCCCACTCCCATACTCGTCTATCAGGTCAGCAGAATCAATAGTAGTCAGTCAAAAAGTATGATTGGAAACAATGACGCAACGTACTGGTACTCAAGCTGTAATCGAGCCTGCTCCTCCAGAGCTCTCTCGCGTCGCGACACTGCCGCTGTCACACTTCTGGCGATGGAGGACGCCCAACCGAGGTTCGAGCCAGTTCGAAGCATGCCGTCCTTGGCGAGGAGTTTCATCTGCAGACGGACACAGACGGACACAGACGAAATGAGCAGGACGACAAATGAACATTCGTGTGGATAACGTACTTCTTCAAAGGTATACTGTCTCCGATTGCAGGATTCAGCCAGCTTGTTGTACTCGGTGAGAGACGCGGCAACGCGTTTGTAACGCTTTCGAGCGGTGTCACTGTTGCGCGTATCGTAGTCTGCAGAACCGGATTCACGTCAGAGGAGTCAGTCAGCATTTAGAATCGGAGAGCTGGAGTCAGAGTCAACCCAGCCACTCACTCGTTCCAATGCCATGACTGCGATTTTTCAAAGCTTCAGCTTCGAGGATCATTGCCAAGAAGTCACGCTCGAGCTTGGCCAACAGTTCTTCGATCCTTTGCGCGACTCCTCGCGCTCTGATCTCTTCGACTCCGCGCCAACCGAGGCCCAACCGTTCAACATCCTCGCGGTCCTCTTCGGTGAGTTGCAGAACCTCGTCCTGTATTAGCTCGGCGATCGCGCTCGTGTAGTTGGCGATGCTTAAAGCGACCATGCCCCCGCGGGAGCGTGGGACGCTGTCGAGTTGTTAAAGGGAATCAGAGCTAGTCAAGAGTCACTCAGAGGCTCGACCGGGATCGACTCACCCCGAATTCTGCTTTTTCAACATCTTGTCACGGTTCTCAAGCGCTTCCAAAAGCTCCTTCTCCCGCAAACCTTTCGCAGTCAGCTTGCTTGATGGAGGCGAGGCATTGTGCATGAAGTATCGACGCTCTTGCTCGAGCCACATATGTCCCGCGTCCGCACAAGCGTCTTGCGAGGTAACGTTTTCAGCCAGCAAGCTGATCGCCTCAAGGCTGGCGATTGCTTGCGCCGACGCGGACTTCCAACGATCTGACAGCCAAGTATCTAAAGGCGAAGGCGCGAATACCATTTAGGTTGGGCAGCCGAGCAATGAACAGCGACTGACTGACCTAGACGCAATAGAACCCGAAGGCTTGAGTACATGATGGCGTGATGAAGAGTGCTTTTACGATTGTACTTCGTTGCTCGGCGCGTTGACGCGGCAAAACCGTTGAGGAAGGACCAGAGCCGTTCACAGCCTTCAAAGTCTTCGAGTCCCGCGGCGTCCATAAAGCGTGGGTGGAATTGTAGCTGTAGAAGCACCGTCGTATATTGACAGAATCGTATAAGTACGGCTGAATTGTGATGCGCAAATTCTATAGAGCTCGAGACTTACCTGGCATGGGCGGCTATGAGTATATCCGTGCCAGACTCCGCAACAAAAAGCCACGGCCGGGTTGGCAGCCGCTTCCCCCGAAGGTCTTGAGGCGTCGGGGTCACGTTGGCGTTTCTCAATCGACTCCGCTGTCTCGAACGTCTTGGTGAAGACACAGCCAATGTCATAGCCTATTAACAGGCGATCGCGCGGTGAGAATGCGTCGCGCACTCGTTTGATCAGGGCCAGCGGGTATTTTGATCTGCACCAGAGCCAAGCATGTCCGTCAGTTGGAAGCCGAGCGGGGCTGTCAGCCTCGCAACGAGTTCACCTCTCTCCGCTTTGGATCATGTCGCATGCCGCCAAAACGACCCCATGGCGACATACGGCAGCAACTATTCCAGTCTCGTCCAAGTCTGGGAGGGCCCCACCACTCTGAATACACGTCAAAGTCAATTCGCTGCCGCCAAAACAGGGGCGCCATCGAGTAGAACCGACGCACCTGGTCAGACCGTGCAGCTGTCCAATTTGATGCGCAAGCGCCTTTGTCTCCTTCGGCCTTCTGCTCACTTGCAGCATTACGACGGCCTTTACCTTTACGAGTCTGCGAAGGGCAAGTGGTGATAATATTAGCGGCTAGAGAAGTTCAAATGAAGACATTTCAGACTGAAAAATGAAAAGAATTTTGAGCCCAGTAAACACGAACATACTTACAGCTATGACCTCGCTTTCGTCGACAATCTCCGGCGGAATGAACAGCTTTGACGGAAAGGTGTGCTTGTCGGGGTGAATGTGCTGTCCAAGTTTAGAATACCGTGTTTTCAGACGTTTTTGCGAGGCATTGCCGTCAATCGCGACTTGGGCGGTGTACTCCAGTGGAGGCTCCTCTTGAATCTAAAGTTTGAAGAGTCCGGCAAAGGCACATGAGTGAGGTGGAAGCCTAGCACAGCATCTGGTCTCTCACTTTGTGCTGGCATGCAGGACACCTCATTGCAAACTGCCTGGTTGGAGGGATTGCGCTTTCGATGTAAGCCACGAAAAGTCGGAAGGCAGCCAATGCGTCCGAGAACCGTTTTGACAGGTGAGCTGACATGCGCGTCTGCATGAAATGACAGCCGTGGCGCGCGTGTCAGCGCCTTCGATAGTGTACATGTTGCGAACCCTACTCAAAGTGATGGTGCTCACCCGGTGATTTGCCTCTAGCAGATTTGCTCCAGCATAAGGCGTCGCTTTCGCGACGTAGTGGTAAGCCATGTGGATCTTGATAAACGGAATGAAGAAAGCATATCGTGGTGCGACTGGCGTTGCAGGCATGTAGCCAGCTGCCAGGAGATCGGAGATCGCGCCTTTGTTGCTTGGAACAAATGAAACCTTCTTATGTGCTGTCAGGCTCGTCATGACAGCAGCGTCGGTGAGCAAAATATGCCGGCATACAGCTGTCCGAGGTACTCATCAATGCGCGGAAACCGATCAATTGAACTCACCAGAGAAGTCGATCAAAATGACTTCCATAGCCTTGTTCGAGCCCAGAGGCACGCTTTGCAGCGGAACGTATTCTCGATCATCCTCTATGGCTGTCAGGAAGTCATCCACCAGCTTGCGCACCACACATCTCCAATTCGTGATCGCCAGCCAGGTATTCAGGGCATAACTTCGGACTGCCCGACGAGGAGGCACTCGCTTGCGGGGAAGGGGGCGTCCAGTCGAGAAAGATCTGCAGCAGAGACAAATGTTGAATCCCATGACATTTCAGCAAAAGCTCCTAAGAACGAGTAAGAATCCGATAGCGCTCGATCGTACAAGTCTAGTTGCTGATGGCTCGTGTCTAGAGTCGGTTGGACGGATGATGCGGATGTGAGCGCGAGGCCTGAGAACCGTATGGAAGTGTAAGAGTAACCCTTAGTAAGGCCACTTACAGTCAGAGGGGCCCGGAGAGCTACCGGGTCCGTTATCACCCCCATAATCACGTTGGTCGATATGGTTGTAGTCGCTGTAATCGTTGTAATCGTTATCGGGGTGCGAGCCCGAGGCCGCCCCAGCCAAGGGGTCCGGGGTGGTCTCGCGAGGGCCTACACCGGCAGCCCTGCGTCTGGCTGCGGCCCGTTCCTGATCGCCCTGCTGCATCAAACGTCTTGTCGTGGAAGCACTAAAGCTGTATCGGAGGTCGGTATGCGTCGTTTTGACGACAGCGCGCCATAGTCGCGGGTTATCAGGATCGTGTATGCGGATCGAGGTCTTGTAGCGTTTGGGGTTCTTGATGTGCAGCATGACATGCAGCCGGATCTGTTGAGGCCGTAGAAATCAAAATGGAGGTGGAACAAATGCTGCTGATGTGCTTGTGAAGGATGCGAAGGGTGGACGGAGACAAGCCGGGAAGCAGAATGAGGCTCAAGTAGCCGCCAGTCTCCTCAAGTCCTCGGCTGTCGGTCTCGACCCTTATAGATGGATTAGCAGCAAGGGTTGCTTCAATCTAATCCTTTGAAGTGCGCATCGCACCGCTCTACAGCGCTCGTAAACTCCGTTGAAGTGAAACATAATCTCTCTGAAATATCCAAAAAAAATTGCTGTGTTCAACATAACTTCTTGCAAGTACTACAACAGCCTGCAGCCCAGGCGGGTGCATGCGCCCAACAAGCCAAGCATCTAAGCTATGCTTTTTATTTTTATTTTTGGGCATATTAAGCTGTTAGTTTAGGTTAGGTATAGGTGCTCAGCGGACGAAAGGCGATTGGGACGGACGGCGCTCAAGTCGGTCCGCGAGGGTCAGATTTCTTTCGATGCTTTTTCTGTACAAATGCAAACCCGAAAATGACTTTCAATGCTTTTTCTGTACTACTGGTATATTGGTGAGAGTTTTGTCAATATCCTCAAAGATCAGAGGGAGGGGTGATGCGGAGCAACGTGCGGCGGGTGGGCCGACGAATAAAAGAGCCCCTATATAGCATTTGAAATGTCAGTACATACTGTGTATGCTCCGATGGCATCCACTTGCTGGAAAAAAATTATGACTGTGCTTGCAATGACTACATCAGGATATGTGCACTACTGCCTGCCGTGTGGTATAAGACTCTGACTATGTGTATAAGACCGTGACAGCGAAGACAAGTCATTGCACAAGTTGCTACTTCAGTGTGAAGCAGTGGTGGATCTAGACACTTTCCAGAACGATCCAGAACGATTCAGAACGATTCAGACGATCCGGTCATTCTGTGAGCGGTAAAGTCATTTAGACAGATCTAGCCGCGCATCGGGAAGTGGTAAAGTTGCTGATGTGCCCTGGCACATCATCATCATCCCGGCCTCAGGAAGAAGACTTCTCTACGTGATGAGCTCTCAGGGCAGAAAGATGCCAATATAACATAGTCTTTGGCGTTCAGTTTGGTGAAATACACGGGTCACATGTCACATGTCAACCACGTCCTCCTTGGCCCTGCAGCGGACGCTTGCGCCCAACGCTTGCGGTCATCTCTTTTCGGTATAGTGGCGGCGAGGCCATTCAAGACGGTTCTGCCTCGAAAGTATACGCTCATGCGTGCTACGAGCGCCAATACAAGAGACGCACACAAATCAGACCTGTCGCTGACTTGTTGGCCATCATCCTCCGTTCTCGCCGGCGCTGCACAGGCATATGGAGAAGGAGGATCGGCGGGTGATCGGCGGGTCGAGTCGATCAAGGTGCTGGAGGATCACGCGATCACGTCTGCCTTGACAACTCTGGTGCAAGCGATCCTGGAAAAGGTGAGGCAAAAACTTCTTCTTTCCGCTCATCTTCTTATCCATGTCGTGAGCAAGTAGCTGATCTCGCCGCACTGCACTGCAGGCTTCAACTTCGAACCGAATTCTCGTCGTGTGCGGGGGGGCTTCAAATGCGATAATTCGGACCTCGCGGGTTCAGGTGGCCTCCAAGAACGACTGCGTCGATGCTGTCGGCCTCTTCCCACACGCGAACACGCCGGAGATGGTCGAGGCGTGGAAGATGGGCGATGCGACGAGACAATCGTGGGAGGCACAGCATAAACGCCGGATTCACGACGATCGCCTTATGGACGACGTCTACATCGTCAAGCGTCAAGGAGCTCAAGGTGAGTAAGTTGGACCAAGTCCTAGCCGACGCACAGCTCTATCGGCGGGGTTATCGGATGACTTCGACGAACGGGATTCAGGAATGGGTCTATAGCTTGACGCTTTGCGGCTCGATGTTCCGTGTTCAAGTTCACAAACCAAGCGGAATCATCAGGACCGAGGCGATTGACTGCTCAACAGAAGCAGGATTTCGGTCGTTCAAGCGGTTTTTGCTGCGTATCCTTGAGGAGGATCTGAAGACGTTCGGCACCGTCTCGTCGGCGCCGAGGTTTCCCTTCTCACGTTTTCAGATCGTCCTCAAGGATGCGCAGGATGCGCAACAAAAACCGCTTGAACGACCGAAATCCTGCTTCTGTTGAGCAGTCAATCGATTCGGTCCTGATGATTCCGCATGGGGTGTGTACTTGAACACGGAACATCGAGCCGCAAAGCGTCACGCCATAAACCCATTCCTGAATCCCGCTTGTCGACGTCATCCGATAGTACCGCCGATAGAGCTGTGCGTCGGCCAGGGCTTGGTCCGACTCATTCACCTTGAGCTCCATGACGATGTAAATGTCCTCCATAAGTCGATTGTCGTGGATACGGCGTTTGTGTCGTGCCTCCCACGATTTTCTCGTCGCATCGTCCATCTTCTATGCCTCGACCTTCTTCGGCGTGTTTGCGTGTGGGAAGAGGGCGACCACATCGGCGCAGTGGTCCTTGGAGCCCACCTGACCGGGCGAGGTCGGAACTATTGCATTTGACCCCCCGCACACGACGAGAACTCGGTTCGAAGTTGAAACCTGCAGTGCAGAACGGCGAGATCAGCCGCCTGCTCACGACCTGGATCAGAAGATGAGCGGAAAGACGAAACCTCACCTTTTCCATGATCGCTTACACCAGAGGTGTCGTGTCGTTCTCGGCTCCCCAGACGTGATCCTCCGGCACCTTGATCGACTCGACCCGCCGATCACGCTGCGGATCGGCCTTCTCCACATGCCTGTGCAACGCCAGCGAGCGCGCGACCATGTTGGCCAACTCAACGTCAAGTCTGATTTGTGTGTGTCTCACATCCCTTCCGTACCCGAGTTGGCACTGGAATGCCAAGCTCCGTTGCGGCGCCAGGGACAGGGGGAGCGAAGGCGCGGCAACTCCAGTGAAGTTGCTCCCTCTAAATGAACTCAACACTCCTCCATTGGTAGTTCATAAGAGCAGCTCCCTTGATTGTCCCGCCTCACTCCTCCGCAAAGTCTCGTGTAGTGACCATATTCACTCTCAACCCTTTGAAACCCAGCTTTCCATCCTCCTTGACGTCCAAGGCGCCATCATCGGTCGCTGCTACTGCCTCCGAGACTCGGTTGCAGGTTCGCAGACTTCGCATGTGCCACTGGGTTCGCATGCTGACACATGCCCCTTGCGCCAAGGCTTCTGCCGGGGAGAGAATCAAGCCTGAGTAGCCTCACTGAACAAGTAGCTCATTCGGCCCTTCAGAAAGCTCGAGTCACCTTTCAGAAAGCTGAGTCAGTATTAAGCAGTTGCACTGCCTCGGCACCTCCCTCGGTGGTGTGGTGCCCCACACGCTGTATCGACGGTGCAGTGGGGCGTGTGACCAATCGAACAATTCAGCTCCCTTCATCTTTCTTTCCGAGTCAAATCATTGCCCTTAAAAAACTTTATGGGCAGTCTCCCTTTGAATCATCGGTCCAGACCACAAAGAGGGGCACCCCCCGACCGGAATAAATCTCTCTACATGGCGAAATCGCGGATAGAGGGTGGTATTACACTGTCCCGAGTCTTAAGTTTGATCAAAACCGCGAGTCACAAATCAACCGCTTCCTCCTTCGCCTTGCTTCTGCCGTTTCCCATCCGCCGAAGCATCATCGTCCCTCCCTCGTTTCCCACCGAGCGCGCCGCCCATCAATCGTCCCAAAACACCGCCTGGTGTCGAAGACGGTGGTGTCGCTGGCGCCGCAGCCGTACCTGTACCTGTAATCCCACGAATCGAGAAATTGGCAGGAGTCTCCGAAGTAGCGGCGGCTCCCGGTCGACTCGGCGATGCGCCAGCAGCGGCTGCACCTCGTCCTCTGCCTCGGCCTCCTCGGATCGCTCCACGTCCTGCGGCAGCGCCGCCTCGAGCTGGTGATGTTGCCTTGAGAGTAAGCGTAGATGTCGAAGGTGCAGCTGCAGGTGTGGGCGCAGGTGCAGGCGATGAAAGGGCAGGCGTAGCTGTAGCGGGAGTGGCGGTGGCATCGGGCAGAGGGATTCCGTTCGCTTGGAGAAGTTCGTGCGCTGCCTTGAGCTTGACATCGGAGGCTTTGAGCTTGGTTTCGACCGCCTTCTTGAGCGCCGTCATTAGTGTGCCCTTTTTGGTGAACTCTTCCTGCATGTTGTTGCGCGTCTCCTGCAGTTGCGTCGCAACCCGTGCCTCGTTCTCGGTTGCTTGCTTAGCGAGCGCTTCCTTCACAGCGGCTTCGATCGCTTGCTGTTGCGAAGCGAGTCGACCGGCTTCAAGGTCCTTGAGCTTGGCAGCGACAAGGGCATCGACATCGACCTCCGGTGCGGGAGCAGGTGCAACCGAGGTGGTTGCAGCGGCTTCAGTTGCGGCTTTCACTTCGGCTTGGGCTTGCGCAAGTTCAGCGGAAAATCGTTTCGTGATCTCCTGCTCGCGCGTCTTGGCGTCTTCGGCGAGTTTGGTCTTGAGTTGCTCAAACTCGGCCTGCATCGCCGTTTTGGAAGCTTCAAAGTCACTCTGCACCTTGGCGAGCTGCTCCTCGAACCGTTTCTTCGCATCGGCATCGTCGGAGGCGGTCACAGTCGTTCCAGCAGCGGGAGCGGCGGCAGTCGCCCCCTCTCGGGCAGCAACGAGCTCGGTGCGAAGAGAATCGAGTGTCTTGTTCAGCTCGGCCGTTGTCGTCTCGACGGCGGCCGCGATGGCCGATTCTCGCTCCGCAGCAAGTCGAGCCTCGACCTCGGCAACCCTGGTTCGGACGAGCTCCTCGACGGCAGCAGGATCGCCAGGTTGTGTGCCAGCAGCCGCGACACGTGCCTCGACAGCCTTGGTGATCGCCTCCTGGTTGTTGGCTTCGAAAGTCTCCTTGACTTTGACGAGTTCGTCGATGCGCGTCTGCAGAGCAGCAAGCTGCGCCTCGTACTGCCTGTTCTCGCCCTTGAGGCGCTTGTTGTCATTGAAGATGGGCTCCTCCCTCTTTTGATAGTGCTGTTGTAACAAGTCGAGAAACAAAAAAATTAGGCATGCCACGGGAATAGAAAACGCAGACGCTAATGAGGACATACAGCCACGCGGTCCTCCAACGCCTTCTTCTCCGCCTCGAGCGCATTCAATCGATCGTCGGCGGGTTTGCTGACGTCATTCTGTTGAGCCTCGTGGGTCGCGATGCGTGCCTCGAGTGTCGCGATCGTCTCGGTCTGTTGTTGAATACGCGATTCAAGCGACGCCTTTTCGACTTGAAGTGCCGAGAGTTGGTTCTGCGTCTCGGCGGAAGCGGCGCTCGCGGTCGAGGCGGCCGCGGCGTTCGAAGCGGCGGTGATCAACTCGCCCGACTCAATCTTCGCCTTCAGAGCGGCGAGTTCGGTCTCGAGCGCCATCTTCTCCGAGCGAGTCGTGCGAGCTTGGACCTGAAGCGCCTTGAATCGTTCCGAAGTCCGATTCGAGCTTTCGCGGTACACCTCGATCAAGCGCGCTTTCTCCTCGGCGTCGGTCTGCACAGTTGCCTTCTCCTGTTCGAGCTCCTGCAGCCTTTGCTTAAGCGGGTCGAGTTCAGCCTTGAGTTGCTCAACCTCGGTTTTGAGCGTCGACAGTTCCTCGGGGTCGATGCGTTCGTACTTGGCCAGAATGGTCTGGTTGCGCACCTTCCACCGCTCGTTGTCCTCCTCGAGCAATCGGATCGTGTGCTGTTTGGCCTCGACCTCGGCTTGCAATTCCACGACGCGCGACTTGAGCGGCTCGAGCTCGGCGCGCATCTCGCCGTTGCGCTTCTCGAGCGTCTTGTTGGTGCGCATCATCGCGCGGTGCTCCTCGCGCAAGGTGTGGTTGCTCTCGCGCAACAGTTCGGACTGGTGGATGCGCTCCATTAACTCGGCGTGTTGCGTCGTCGAAGCCGATGCGACCGGACCGGTCTGACGTTCCTCGGCCAAAGCTTGGCGCACTTCTTCGAGGTTGCGAGTCGTGAAGTCAAGCTGGGTGCGCAGGCGCGTCGCTTCTTGCTTGCTGAGATCGAGTTGGAAGTCGACGATCTCCTTCTCGCGGCGCAGGAACGTGATGACGCCGAATAGCTCGTCCGAAGGAGATGCGGTCGAGACGGCAGCATCGAGTCCTTCGACGGCGGCAGAATCGGCACCGGGTGCACCCGTCAACGTCGACTTTTGCAACGAAGCGGCCTGCGCAGTTGTCGATTCAAGATGTTGATGGAGAAGAGCATTCTGACTTGTGAGGTCTTCGCATCTGTTTACGGGATCAAGGACAGGGGTTATCAGATATGATCGACGGAGGATAACGAAATAGCACAACGAGCGAACACACCTCTTCTTGACGTCGGCCAACTCGCCATCCAATGCCGCCTTCTGTCGAGCCCAACTCTCCTCGGAAGCCGCCAAGTTCGTCTTGGAGACCTCGTTCGCGGTCTGCGCTTCCCTCGTCTGCCGTCGCGCGTGCTCGAGCTTGCCCTTGACCTCGCTCAACTGCTTGACATCCTCGGCATGGGCAACAAGTTCGCGTTCGTACTTTTCGTGGGCGTCCTTCGCTCGTTGCGCCTGTTGTCGCACATCGTTCTGCGCTTGGAAACTGGCGTTGCGTGCGTCCTGCTCGTGCGCTCGCACGGCCGCGAGCGAGTCCTCGAGCACCTTGCGCTCCTTCTCGAAAGCGACGCGCTCGGCCTCAATCTGGGCGTGCAACTCCGAGTTCTGCCTCGATTGGTCGGTGAGGTCGGTCGTCAACGAGTGCAGACGCTCACGCAGACTGGCGATCTCGCCGTCCTTCTCGGCGATCTGAGTATCGACGGAGATCTTGTATGCGTCGTAGGTCGCCTGCAGTTCGGCCAAAGCGCCACCTTGAGCGTCGGCGATATTTTGCAATTCGCGCGCGTGGACGACAGAACGTTCGAGCTTGGCCTTGGTCTCCTCGAGCTCGATGCGCACATCCGCGAGCGTGATCTCGAGCTGCTCGGTTGCACTGAGTGAAGAAGCTTCTCCTCCCGCTCGAGCGGCGGCCGATCGACCTTCGTAAATGGCAAGCTTCTCCTCCCGAGCCGTGACCTGCAACTGAAGATCCTGCACGCGCAAGTCGAGGTGGGTCCTCGACGTCTCGGCCTCGACGAGCTTCTCGCGCGTCGTCGCATACTCGCCTTGCAGCTTGTCCAACCGTTCCTGGTACTGCTTGGACTCGAAGTCTTTCCTCAACGTGAGCTGACGACTCGCCTCGGTTTCGGTGTCGAGGCGCGTCTTGAGGTCGCTGGCCTGCGATTCGAGTCTTGTGACTTGATTCTCGAGACGACGACGAGCATCGTTGCCGGATCGTTCGACCTCGTTCTGCATCGACTGGAGGTTACGCATCAACTCGGCGAGGTGAGCACGTTCCTTCGAAAGCGCCGAGTTCTCCTCGACGAGGCGGGCCTGCACACTCGACGTGACCTCGCGCTCGGTCTTGAGGGTCGTATTCTCGTGGCGCAACTGATCGACCTGACCGCGCAACTCGATCAACTCCTCGGACAAGTTGTGCGCGACGGCCTCCTGTCTTGCCAACGTCGACTGTAGGTCCAAAGCGCGCTTCGAAGCTTGCGCCAACTCATTCGTCTGCGTACCGTAGTTCTCGGTCAAGAGGCGTAGTCGCTCGGCGGTGTACTCGGCCTGCGCCCTCGACTTGGCCAGCTCGGTGCGCGTTGTCTGAGCCGCTTGTTGCGCGTCCTTGAGGTCGTCGCGCAGTCGTTGCGAGTCGATGGCGATCTCGTTCTTGTACGCGTCAAAGTTGGCCTGCACGTCCGCCAACAATCGATCCGAGTCGCCACCGGCAGCAGCACCGTTCGTCGCTCCTCCATCGATCGCGCCATGGCCATTGGTCTGATTCGCGAGCATCCGACGGAACATGTCGCGCTCCCTCGCAAAGCCTTCGATTTGGCGCTGCTGGTTCTCGATTTCTTCCTTCAGACCCAAAACGAGTTCGTGCGCCTCCTCGATGGCCTTGTTCTCCTCCCACTTGCGGCGGCCGAGCGCGTCGTCGTCGAGGCGTTCCATCTGCGAGCCCATCTCCCTCGTGATGCGCAACAACTTTTGGTTCTGTACCTGCAACTCGTTGATGCTCTTGAAAGTGACGAGGTGAGCGGCGACGATCGCATCGGTGGAGAGGTCGACTTCGGCGCGTTTGATGATCTCGTTCTCTTCCTCGTCGTCGTCGTCGGCCGAACCACCCGAGACGACCCCAGTGACGAGGGCGTTCTGTCGAGCAAGGGTGCGCACCTGCCGTCCCAAGTCACGCAGTTGGGCCTGGAGCATCGTGTTCTCCCGTTTAAGGTGTTCGAGGTCAAGACGAGTCGACGTCGCGCGTCGATCGCTCTGGTCCCGTTCGGACGAGACGAGCGCGAGTTGAGCGGCGAGTTGGGTCGCCTCTTCGGAGATGCGCTCGTATTCGATGCGTTGTTCCTTCATGAGCGGTGCCTACTCGTTTCGTTCCGACGTGCTTCGAGAGTCAGTTTCCTGTGATTGTTCCGGAGGATCGAGACAACGTACCCTTTCTTCAATGTCCATCAACACCTGCGCCAAGCACTCTTGCAACCGCTTGTTCTCGGTCCGTTCCGCGACGAGCTGCTCCTCCATGCGGATGTACTCGGCGTAGATCTGCGCGTAGCTGCGTCCACCCTTCTGGTTCGAGACGGCCATCTGCGCCGAAGGACTGAGCGCGAACCGACCGGGCGATCCCAAGCTGTCGTCTCCCGCACCGCCGGCGGAAGTGACGATCCCCCTCTCCAACGCGGCGCGCATCTCGACGAGCTTCGCCTCGAGCTCGTCGCACCTCTCGCGTTCCCTCTCCAACTCTTCCACTCTCGCGGCCTCTTCCTCTGCCAACCGTGCACGTTCCTCCAGAAGCGAAGCCTCGACATGTTCGATCCTCTTCTTTCTCTCGGCCTCGCGTCGATCCATCATTTCGACCAAGCGCTTCATCCCGGCCATCTCCAGCACGAACGAACCCTCATTCGCCTCTCGCTCCTGCTTGACCTGACTCAACTCGGCGGTCAACTGCGTGTAGCGTTCCTGCAAAGTCGCATGGGAGGCCTGCAAGGTCGTATGCGCGTTCCTCAACGCGGCTTCGTCCTCTTGCAGGGTCGCGAGCTGGTCGTTCAAGCGCGTGATCTGCACGTGCGTCGTGCGTCGTGTGGTGGCGTATTCGACTCGAACCCGGTCGAGTTCTTCGGAAAGGAACGCCTTGTCGGATTCGAGCGAGGTGACGGTCGATTGGAGGGATTGGGTCTTGAGCAGCGCGGAGCGGGCCGAGGTCGTTTGCTCGAGCAGAGCGGCTTCGAGTTCGGAATGGGAGGCTTGCAACGAGGTGTGCAACGCTCGAAGGGAAGCGAGGGACTCTGTCGACGATAGCGCCAAAGAAAAGAAGAAAAACGATCAGCTACTGCACGGTAAGGAATCCGTCGCGGGCGAGGACTGACCGGCCAGCTCGTTCTTCTCCGCCGCTTCCCTCTCGACGGCCTGCAACAACTCCCGCCTGACCGTCTCCGCCTGTTCGACCTGCTTCCTCCTCCCTTCCTGCCTCCCCTCGTCCTCCCCCTCCCTCTTCCTCCCCTCCTCCATCGCCTTGCGTAACTGCCCCACCTCCTGTTGCAACTGTTCCTCCCTCTTGCGTCCCTCGTGCACCTCGACCTTGCACCCATCCACCTCCGATCGCGCAAGCCGTAAAGCGTTATCGAGATCATGGATCGTAGCTTCGGCAACGAGTTGACGTTGACTGAATTCGGCTCGAAGGGAAGCGAGTTGCGAATCGAGTGAGAGTGAAGAAGCGGCTTCGTTCTCGTTCGAGGTCGAAGAAGGAGGAGGGGGTACGACTGCCGTCGAATCGTCGTCGTCGTCGTCGTCGGCGGGCATGGTCGCTGCTCCTCCACTCATATAGGGGGGCACAACTTGGAAGGTCCAAAGTGGTGGTCGTCGTGTTCCAACCTCAAAAAAGTGTCGATAGGATGGGGATCGTTCAACCCCGTCGTCGGTGGTGTGAGCCAAGCCGGGGCGCGTACGTGTGGTGTGGGTGTGTGGGGTGGGGAGCAAGCGAGGATCAAACAGGCGCGCGCTCGGGTCATCGCCGCCGGCAAACTATAGCCCGAAATAAATGATTAGTTCCAGGCCTAAATGCGCATTCCCGACTCTCGTCGCTCGGGCCTTCGATCTCGGCTCAGATCACCCATCTCACTGAAACGTCATCAGATATTTCATTCTCATCACCTCTACAGAAACACTCCAAAAACCCTACCTCCCCACCGTCCCTCCCAAACCCCCTACGACGACACCCCCTACGGCCTTGCCTTTAACAACCGATTTCCACACCATCGCCCCGGCGGCGAACAAGCCAACGACGCCCGCCGTCGCGTAGAGACAAGTCGTGAAACCGGCGTTGGCGGGTATGCCTAGTCCGAGGAGCGATCTCGACGAGTTGGCGTTCTTGCGGTTCGAGTTGGGGATCGAACTGAGCCTGGTTAAAAAACAAAGATCCAAAAACCGGCATTCATCGTCAGTCCAAAACCGCAAGCGACGGGGCCCTCCCACCCCCCCTCTCTGGTCTTGAAGAAGACCAACGTACGGATGCGTCGCGACGCTCGTGATCGTATGGAACAAATCCGCCAATTGCGCCTGCTTCACGCTCACGGCCACGGGGACCTGTAAGCCCAATTTGCGACAATACGTATCCGGTTGAACCTCGTGCCTCTGTTGCGCCAAATCGAGGTCGGATTTCGTCGCGACAAAGAGGGAGGGGTGGTCGTCCAGTTTGAATTGTTGCTGGACAAAAGGGCGCCCCCCCCCGAATAAGGTAAGGTATCAGTACCGGCTCGCCTGGTGAAAGCACACGTCCTCGAACGTACCCGTAAATTGGAGATGTAGGAAAACGAATTCGTATCCGACGAATCATAAACAAAGATCAACGCATCGGCCATCGCCAACTTCTTCGCCATCCTCAACATTTCCGACTCGTAATTCGAGCCAAACTCTTGCAACTGCGAATCACAACCCCGACCAGCGTGTTGTTCAGCCTCTCGCCACTTGCGATCGAAACGATGCCGATCCCGACTTGGCGACGAACGCAAAAACTCACCACCAAGTACTTTTCCCCGCCACCCCATTCCACACTACCGACGACGGTCTCGTTCCTCATCGTCGGTTCGTGTCTCTCCCTGAAGCCTTTCCCTACGAACGCCCTCAAAAGGTTCGTTTTACCACTACCCGCCGCTCCGAGCACGTAAGCGAGAAAGACGTTCCTCTGTACGGTCCCCTTCTTCCGATCCTGCTTCCTCGGGCGGGTGATGATCAAAGCCGAAGTCGGATCACTCGACTTTAACCCGGGCCCTATCCCACTCCCACCATTCGCGCCCGAATGAGAATACCCCAAATAGGCCAAATAGGCCAAGGTGACCCTAGGTTCCAATAGGGTGGTCATACTCCACTGCGCCAACCAACCTTGCAGCGTCACGTTCCCTCCATCGTTCGTGATCGTCGTACCGGGGAACCCATTCGCGAGCCAAGGGTTACCGGGTGACGTGGAGAAGAGGTCGTCCAATTCGCAAGCGGCCAACGCACCGTCGCGGTCCTTGTCGAACGTTTCGAAAATGTCGGTGAACCATTGGTAACCCTTGGGGGAAAGTTCGGCCGTACAATCCGCGGGGATGTCGAATCTGGTCCCCCCGAGTTGACCGGAAGCGCGAATCGGGGTTTCCGATCAGCTAAAGGGTTTTTTTCCCCCCCTTCGACTCGCCGGGTTGAATTGTTTCGATACTGACCTAGGATGCAAGAAGTCTTCCCTCAAACTGAGGTCCTCACCGTACCCAAACGTCCTCAACGCCTTCCACGTCGTCTCCAACCGTCCCTTTTGTATAAAGTACGTATGCAGATAGAGGAACCCTTCCTCGGTCAAAGCGTCGTCCACGATCGCCGGTTGATGATCGTCTTGCGTTCCTCGACTGACGACCTCTTTGATGCCCGCTAATTCTCGAGCTTGAAGAGGTGCGTCGAAGCATACGCGTTGAAAATCGTTCAGTTCGTCGTCAGAGAGGAGGCCGTCCTTGTTGATGTCGCAGAGTTTGAAGATGCGAGAGAGTGCGGCGACGCAAGCCGGTTTCAAAGTCTGTCCGTCCGGAGGAAGCGTTTCTTCAATCAGTCATCTCTCGACTGCGCTGCTCTCCGACGATCGAAACATTGATCCACTCACGTGCTCCCTCGTATCGTACAAGGGTGCTGTCGGATGGAGGACCGCGTTCTGGGCGAAATAAAAGCATTCACCGACGTTCAACGGCAACTTGGCCGAGCATTCGACGACCGTTTCAACCTCTTTGAACTCGTGCATGATCGGTACGCATTCGTCCTCGAGGGCCTCGTTCGTGACTTGGCCCGAACGGAGGTCGATCTTGTTGCCGATGAGGATCACGGGGACGTTGACGCCGAGCGAACGGATCGTCGGTAGCCAATAGGTCGGTACGCGATCGAACGAGGTGGGGTTGTCGATGGCGTCTGGACAAGTTGCAGGTCACACCAGTTGGGTTGAGTGTCCATACCGGTCAAAAAAGAAAATCCCGAACGGGGCCGACCACACTCACAAACGATAGCGACGACGTGAGCCTTGCGAATTTCGTTGACCAAATGAGCTCGGTCTTGTGATCGAGCTGAAGCGGAGATCGCACCCGGTCAAATTGCCGATCAGCGCAATCTGTCCGGGTCAACCCCCCCCCCCCCCCCCGGCACGCCACGCGCTGCTCACCGCTCTCGTGGGGCCAGACTGACGAGATGTATCGATGATGATGGTCGTGACCTGATGACCGGGCGTGACCGACGGAGGGATCGTCACTTCGGGTAGGACCGTGCGCGGCGCGAGCTTGACAAAGTGTTCCCTGTGGGAGAGGTGTGTTCTCTGAGCATCGATGCTGTATGATATACCTAAGAATCGACCGGCATCTTCCTCTGCCTAGCGCGCGATCCGACCCCAAGATTTGTTGGTAATGAAGCTGAAACTGACTTTATGAGCGAGCTGATCAAGGTCGACTTGCCGACGCCTTCATCGCCGACCAAGCAGACCCGGATGTCCCTCGTGCTGGCCATACCGGACCACGCCGAATGGGAGGCGCGTACGGGGAGAAAAGAGGGGAAAAGGAGGGGCGTGGAGAAGGGGGAGAGGGGGAGAGGGGGTGAGCGGGTGAGCGGGTGAGCGGGTGAGGGGTGAGGGTGATGAGCGGAGAAGGGAGAACAAAGTCGAGTTGCCGTTCAAGCTCAAGTGCAAGGAGGTCCGAGACGGTCAGAGCCGGCTCTGCCGTCCATTAGAAGCCGACAAGTCGAGCTAATGTCGAGCTAATGTCGAGCTCAAGTTGGGGGAAGCCGGTTCGACGCGCGTGCGATCTCGGCTGGCAGGTCTCGGCGCTCAGCAGCATTTACTCACTCGACTCGGTCCCTCACACGCCCGCCCACACTCACACCCCGACCACCGCCCCACTGCACCCGCACGCCACTCCAGCTCCCACCCCGCAAACGATGGTCCAGATCCAGGAAGTGACCAACGAAGACGCGTGGTCGGATGCGTCCTCGAACGCGTCGGACGACTCGCTCTCGGCCGCTCAACGACCCGGCGCCGCGCTCGACTCGGACGACGATCACGACGACGACGACGACGACGACCTCGACCTCACACCTTTTGACCCCTCCACCGAAACGTTTTCGAGTCGTTTCTACGCTCTCAAGGACATGATCCCCCCCTCCACCCGAGCCTCACTGCACACCTCCGCGTCCACTCTCCATTCCTGGGCCTGGAGTCTCGGTACTTGGGGAGGCAGTGCGGCGTGGATCGCGTGCACGAGTGCGATCTTGGTCGGTTTGCCCTTGATGTTGGCCATCGAGGGGGAGGCAGGTTTGGTGCAGCAGGAGTTGCAGTACATGGGGCAGCAGGTCAGTTTTTTGTTCTTTTTACTTTGCGCGAATGCGACCACGAAAACGAGATCTCGCCCACCCATCGGCAGATTGTCTGCTCTGCCCGGGAAAGACCCTGCTTATCGAATACGATCTATGATTAACATCCAATGTTCTCCCTCGACAGGCCGCGACACCGCAAGCGCAAACGCAATTCGCCCAACCGGCGCAACCGGGCCAGATCGTACCCCCCGGCTTTTAAACTACCACGTACTTTGATTGGGAAGCAAGACAGAACAGCAGCGAGTAGAACAAGCGATTAGGACAAGTTCACGTTGCTGTGAAAGACACGGCCGGAGCGGAGGAAGAGACGGGGGAATGCGTCGCAGGTCTCTTTTTTGTATCATAACGTCGGCTACGAACTGGCCCCTCATATTTTTGCTTGCAAACTCAATCTCACCACACATCCCCGATCATCCTTCTGCGCTGATAGCATGCCGAGTGGCGCTCGTCTCTGCTCCTCCGCTCTCTCCGGTGACGCCACTGCGACGCCCTTCGCAGCCGCAGCTCCAGTCAGCTCCAGTCAGCTCCAGTCAGCTCCAGTCAGCTCCAGTCAGCTCCAGTCAGCTCCAGTCTGCTCCAGTCTGCTCCAGTCTGCTCCGGTGGTGACTTGTCGCTCCGAGTCCCTGTCTCTCTACCTGTCACTGCTCGGGATAACATGTCCCTCCTCCGACCACGGATCCTGCCTCGTACCCTGCCCCGTACTCTGCCTTCCCGCGTCCCGTCCCGCACGCTCTGGACCTGTAGCACCTACCTCAGCGACTGCGCTGAGCCACTGCTCTCTGAACTAAAACGACGTCATCCCTCCCCGTCCACACCACCCTCCTGCGCCCCCTCGACGCTGTTCTGCCTCTCCAAATCGACCCCCTTTTCCTACCTATCCGAAATTCACAGCCACCTCACTTTGCAAGGGCATCGGGTCCTCGGCGCCCTGACCGAAACGCCGTGCATTCCCTCCTCCTCCAGTCGACCTCCCTACCCGTTCTCCCTCTCCCTAGCCACCTACACGCCCAGCTCTACCACCCAAACCAAAGCTCACGCCGTATACTCGACCCTCCTAGGCCGGCCCAACATCTCGCTCGGACGTGAACACAAATCGCCGCGCTCGCTGCATTCGGACGACCAGGACGAGTTGTCCGAAGCGGCCTTGCGCGCGTTCTTGACAGGCGAGCAGGGATGGAGTTTTGGGGTCAATAACTCGAGTACGAAGGCTGGTGAGGGGAAGGCGGAGGGGAAGAGGTGGGAAGGTTTGGAAGGGATCGAGTGAGTTGCTCTCTTTTCGAGCGTCGAGAAAGGAACCGATCGATCTCCCCCCACTTCTCAGCTGAGCATTCTCCCCACTTGACCCCTGTCCAGTCCCGCCCACGTCAAACAACTCATCTACATCACCTCGGATCGCTCCACACCCCTCCTTCAACTCCTCTCTACTACATACGCCAACACCCAAAAAGTGCGTTTTTCAAAACCGCGAAACCCCCCCACATGCCACTGAATATCCTTCCCTCACTTTCTCCGACACCCCACCCCCCCACAGCTCGGTCTAACCGCCTCTTCAACACCTTTCCACTCCCCCACGGGTCAACCGTTCACGCTCATCACACCCGATGGGGAACTACATTCGACGGGGGCAGTAGCGATAGCGATCGTCGACGAGACCGCTCAGACTGCCAAGCGCAAAGGCGTTCCAGTCGGTTACGAAGGTCTAGTCCCTTTCGGTCTGGGGGAGGACAACGCGTTCGAAGTGACTTCGTACGTTTCTCACAGAACACCACCAAAACTATCTAATATATACGGTACTGAACCTATCCTTCTACCCACAGTTCAAAAGGCAACATCATCCTCACCCTTTCGAGTCAAAACGCCGCTCGCCTCCTGCTCAACGCCGTCAACGCTCTCCAAGCATCCTCCTCCAACCCCTGCCACCCAAAACCCAAAACATGGTCCCTCTCCCAATCCGAAAAAGACCAACCCTTCTACGCCGCCGTATTCCCCACCAAACCTCCACCATCCCACCCTTCGGGGACGATCGACCTCTCCGCAGCTTCTTTCGTCTGTCGTTTAATGGCAGGGGATCCATCCCGAGGCGCGATGAGTTTGGATACGGAACGCGATTTAAAAAAGGGGGATTGGGTCGTCGTCAGTTTTCAAAAAAAAAGCTTTCCTTTTGATGTGTGGGCTGCAGCTGATGATCATGCATTGATTAACGCTCACGCAGTTCCTCCGACACGATCCCCTCATCCCATCTTTATCAAGCCGTACCCTCCCTTCCCCACTCTTCCAATTCCTCACCCTCCCCTCATCCGAAGACCTACCCAAAACCTCATCCCCCACCTCCACCTCCTCCCGAGTTCAAATCCTACCCCGTTTCCTAGCAGCTTCAGAGAACGGCGTGATCGTCCCCGCTTCTTCAATCAGTACGGGAGCCGGTACGGATTGGGTGTGTTCGATTGTGGGGAGTTGGATTGGGCTTGAAGAGGAATGAAAATGATCACAAAGAGTGGAGGAGGTGATTTAGCAGGATTCTATTTCTTGGTTCGGGTTTTTGAAGTGTTGTACTTTTTTGTCAAGGTGTGATTAGGGGTTACGTATGCGTTAAAGTAGAGACCATCACGGTCGAAATGCAGAGGAAGGACAGACACACGAACAAAAGACGGAAAGACGACACAAAAATGCTACAAGCGAGTATGACGAACTGATGGGAGAACAGGAACCCAAACACAAGCTTCAAATCCCGACCCAATGACCCTTCGACCCTTCAATCTCCTCCGTGAGCCGACCTCTTCCTCGGCGCCCCCGGCCCCTGCCCTACATCAAGCCCGCCCGATCCACGACCATTGATCTTGTTCTTCTCCGGCGTTACCTGTTCCTCATCCTTTCCCCCAACCGCGACCCTCGCCTCTAGACCTCCCACGTGAGGGTTAGGCAACTCGCCATCCTCATCCTCTTCAGGCTCCGTCTCGGTCTGCGGTTCCTCGCCGTCCGCAGGTGGTCGTTCGTCCGAAGAAAGGGGCCCTTCAGCTGGCACTTTCGACGTCGTCGTCAACTTGTTCTTCGCCTCCGCATCCTCACTAGTCTTGACTTGAGTCTTGACCTTGATCATTGCTGATCCATTCATCTTCGTCGTCGTCCCGTTCGTCGTCTTCTTCTTCGACGCCGCAAGAGCCCCAGCCTTAACGCGACCTGTCATCATCTTCTTACTCGCCGCCGCACCACCCGTCTTGGTCCTCGTCGTCGATTTTTTCACCGCCGGTTTCTTGACCATTCGTTCCTTGCGCTTCTTGGGATCCGTTTCGGACGAGGACCTAGCTCCTTGGAGGTGTTGAAGACCGGTTGCGGTCATCTTGTACGACGCTCCGATCTATTGATTGACGGGAAAGCCCCCCCGACCCCCCGCACCCCAACGACTCACGGTAACGTTGAATCATTCCCCGAACTTTCCCGCAATCGTTTAACCTACCTCTCGACCAACTCACCAATTGCAAAATCCCTTCATCAACCGCATGCTGTATAAAAAATATCCAGGGTATGAACTACCGAACAACTTAACCCCCCTCAAGCAACGCAGCGGGGATTCGACGAAGACCGTTGCCTTGCCCGCATTCACTGACAACTGACCTCTAAAGCCCTCTTGAGCGCGTTCTTGCAACCCGTTTTGGTCATATCGATCTCGTACGCTTCTTGAACGTATTTTTTGATCTTGACGTGAGCCAATTTGGTACTGAAAAAAACAAAAAAGAGGAAAGAAGAAGGTCCTCGCGCCTGTCAGCCGTTCGGTTCGGTTCGGCAGTCGCGTCAAAAGGCGCGCGATGTCAAAATCCAACGTCCGCCGCCGATCAGGTACTCACTGTCGATCCACATTCGCGAACGCTTCCTGTAGGACCAAAAACCAAAAACCAAAAACGAGATGTTGAGATCTTGCCCCCCCCCGCTCCCCCCCCCAAGTCAGTCAGCACCGAACCGATCGACCACGTCGCGTCGAAACCCGATTTCAAGTGGGGGCCCTGTAAGTTGTGGCACCCGCTTGATCGATCGGACTTGAACGTCATGGGGCGTGTGGCAAGACGACTCACATAAACCATGTCAGCGTAGGAGGGGTGATTCTTGACCATATCTTCGACAAAGTTGGATGTTGAGATGTTGAAGGTGAGGGGGTAAGATGAATCTGGTGGCGCTGAAACGCACAAAGAGACTCGGAGGGTGATGGGAAGAACGAGAGAGAGTCGCTTCCGCCCGACTCGGGCCGATTCGAGCCCCACCGCCCTCTCTGGTTGCACGGACCTCCTGTCGGCCACCGCGTGAGCCGAGGCGGAGGGAGGGCGCGTTGATCTCATCAAGGTCGCGGCGAAGTGGATCAAGTTGGTTGTTCCTGCACGGAAACGGGTGGAACTCGAAATTATTTTCATGTTGAGAGTCTTCAACCCAATTAATATGACCGCAGAGGTGATTCGGCGGAATTAGGAGACCAAGAGCCTCCTCCTCCCGAGATGCGAAAAAAGAACCGGCGGCGGCGTGACCGGCCCGACGAAACCGACGCGTGATCAACACGATGTGCCTCGCTCGTCCCCACCTCGCTTTGAAATCGAACCTGAACGAACGCTCGTGAAAATGTCCTCGGACGCGTGAATTTATTCGGCTCGAGGTGCAAGTTCAGCCTGAGCAGACCTTCCCATCGAACTCGGTCGAGCAGAGTCCCGGGCAGGTGGAGACGGTCGAGTCAGAATCACAATCCTTGGGAAACTTTCATGGATTTTATCATCTTAATTTTCTTTGTGGTGCATCGCATCGTGCGATGGAGTCGGTCAGTTGAAATCGTTTCTGTGAGATTCTCAAAGTACTTTAATTCTCTCTTATTTCCTTCTAGCATCATGGCCCCTGTGTCTCTTCCCTTATTCTCCTGCTTGACCCGGCTTTGCCGTCTATCTTCCGCATTCTGGCCAGACTCGCGCACTTGCTCTCAGCTAGCTGGCCCCGCGCGACTCTCTCTCTCCTGCTCAAGCAACTTCTTGGTCTGGTCTCCCTTGGTCCGTCGATCAGAGACTTACCACTGCTTGAGCAGGTCTGTGCGTTGCTTCTACCTCTCATAGTTTCGGCTTAGCAAAGGGGTTATCACCAGTCAGAGGCTGAAGAGCTGGTGTCGCGGCGGGAGCCGGAGATGTTCGCAACTCCGCACCTGCCGGCCTCTGATCTGATCTGCCAGCCGACCCCTCGATCATCGGCGCTTGGTAATAAACAGTGACATATGCAATAATTCACTGTTGTGTATGCGGTTCTTTTGGTGTGCCGTTGTTAATACGTAGGCGGCTTCTTCTCTTCGATTTCCTTTTTGCCCGAGTCACAAGTAGGCAGGAACAGAGCTCCGATGTAGCTCCTGACCGGCTTGCACTGGGCTAGCGATCCCCGCCGTGGAGAAGAAGCGCGTTCCCATGCAGAGGCGATGTATCTTCTCAAACTTACGTCTTTATGGGACGAGCTGGAATGCGGAATGAGACTTCACCCATTTTCGATATCGAGCTTGAAGACTCGGAGATCAGCCACAGGGCCGACCAGAGGCCGACAAGAGCCACAATAACCTATGACGGAGTCATGACTGACATGACTCGAGACAATAAATCGATGCCGGAGGGAGATGTGGTTGTGCCCGGTGAGCATCGTCGATCGATCGTCGCGATGGCGATGATCCGACTCGGCGCTAGAGTGCTTCCCTCGGCTAAATACCTTGTTTAGCCCGCCCGCAGCGAACTGCGGCGCTTGAGCCGAAGCGCTTTTGGCTCTCCTCCCGCTCAGTCCTCCCGCTCACTTCTCCTGTATCAACCCAAGCGCAGCGTCCCGTGTTCAACCCAGCATGGATCATAGAATGTATCGATACTTTGAGGCTGTGCTCGCTCGCATACTTCCCCCTCTCCACCGCAAGTACGGCCGATCCCAACTTCCAGTGGTCAGTCGCCGTCTCGTTGCGGTCAAATGTGCACGCCATATTACCGACTGCCTTGGCTGACCCCCTGATTAACCCTGATCTGTAGAAATCTACTGCCGGTGAGCTTCCACTTCGTCGAGCACGATCATCCAAGATGTTGTTGCTACAGTACGTCATGGGAATCCTTCCTTACGAGGTTTCGATCGAGAAGTGTGCCAAGTTCGGCAATGGATCTTCGGTTTCACCCGCTGCCGAAACGCTTGAAGTTGTACGTACAGACCCTCGCGGGTTCCGTTCGCCCGAGCCTATCGACTGTAGGCATTAGTCTGGGCTCCGATTGTTCAAGCGGATGCCATTACATTTCTTGCAAAGCGAACTGGCTGACCTCGGAACGATCGCACTCACTCGGAGCCTCCCCTCAGGTGAACATGTCCAATCTGCCGCGTTCAGCACATGCCTGGGTCCGTCTCATCCTCCCGATCTCCTGTCATCACACTCCTCTAACAACCAATTTTCGATTCTCCATTGCATGGCGCGCGTTACCTCCTTCGCTCGATCCCGCGCAGTGGGCACTCCAACTTCATCCCCCGCACACTGCAGTGCGATCCCTTTGAACACCTGTACCGCACGGTCTCGAACTTCGACTCCGCGATGGTCGATCAACATTGACATAGTCAAAGGTGAGTATTGGGTGTTTTTACTCTTTCCCTTTTTCATCTAGATGAAAAAAATATGGGTGTTTGAGCTAAATGAGTGCGCTCTCTGCACAGTCCTATCCTGACTGCGCAGTCCGAAACCGACGATTCTTGTTCGAGCACGGTCTCCTTCCTAGTCACTTTTCCAACGGCAGTCTCATGACCGATTGAGCCGAAGTGTGCTCGTGGACCTCGACGGGATGGTAGATCTGGGCAGTGCGTCTGCGGCGTCGGAACTTGCAGAAAGTGCAGTAGGTATTCGACTGTCTAGCATGGCCGGTTGAAGGTGACTGACGACTGCGCGACGATACTACGCAGGGCGTCTTGACTTTCCTGGCTAAGGGAGGACATCCGGAAGAAGGACGTCGCCAGGCTATGACACCCCATAGAGGGGTTGACTAACGTCCATCAGTTCTTGGTCTGCAAACCCCCCGGGGGGCCTAGCGGCTCAATAAATAGGCCGTGGGAGCTTGCCAGCTGTGGACGAAGTACAATCAGGGGACGTCGCAGATTGCCATACGCCAATTTAGCCCAATCCAGTGCATGCTTTTCGAGCAGATGGCGATCTGCGATGTTTCGTGATTGAATTTCGTCCACAGCGAGCAAGCTTTCAGCGACATGCTCATCGAGGCGGTAGGTCCTCCCGGACGCTTGCAGACCACGAACTGGTTGATGTTGGCCAACCCCTCTACGAGGTGCCAGACTGAATGAGGTGCTATCACCTGGCGACCTCCTTCGTCCGGATGTCCTGCCTTAGCTAGGAAGGCCAGGACTCCGTGCGTAGATAGTCGCGCAGTCGTCAGTCACCTTCAACCGGCCATGCTAGACAGTCGAATACCTACTGCACTTTCTGCAAGTTCCGACGCCGCAGACGCACTGCCCAGATCTACCATCCCGTCGAGGTCCACGAGCACACTTCGGCTCAATCGGTCATGAGACTGCCGTTGGAAAAGTGACTAGGAAGGAGACCGTGCTCGACCAAGATCCGTAGTCCTAGGTGATTTATGCAGGATTGTCTATTCTAGGTGACTTTGTAAGGCGCCAGAGTGAGAATTGATTTCATGCAAGGACAGCAACCTTGTTATCCCGAGAAAGAAGGATCGGAGGGTTGGAGAGCTACTAAGGAGACGGGAGTGGAAGCCCAGAACAGACCAAAGAAAAGAAAGGATGAGGACGCTCACGCTCGGAGAGGCGAGCTTGAGCTCAGCGCTGGGAAGGATTGAACCCATTTGTATTAGTTCCATCCTGAAACCCATACATCACACAAAACTCACTTGTGGTTTTGGTCGTGGTTGTGGGTAGCCTGGTGCACCGGTTGCTTAAGCGCGGACCTCGTCAGCAGCAGCGCGCCGGCGCTTCCAACGACCTCGACCAGCAGACCGGCGGCGAAAGTGACTGTCGAGCCATCCAGCATGACGAAAACCATGGTATCAATTGATACCACGATTACGAATGCGATGATGCAAGACCACATCGCTGTACACGAGTGTGTTGCGGATCGATTTATGAGGAGGTCAGTCAGGTCCGACAATCGAGGTTACGAGGGGAAATCGAAAGCCACCTACGGTTGGTTCGCACGATCGCAGCAGGCCGACTCCAAAACGGCCGGTCTTGCCACGGACGAAGTGCAGGGACTTGAGCGGGAAGAACAAGGCCCTGTTCCGGCTGCTGCTCTTCATCTCGATATTCTTCTTCGTATTCGTCGGCCGATGTTTGAGCTTGCTGCATGGTGTGTCAAAAAGGTGCAGTGAATGGTGAGAAGGCGACGATGGTCGGCACCTTGCGCGCCGCGCGCCGCGCGTCGCCCGGCCCCATCGTTCAGAGCAGAGCGCGCAGCATTCGGTCTCCCACGCGTCAGATGACCCGTTCCCGCCAGCAAAGCGTGTTTCACTGCTGATTTTCCAACACCTGGCCGATTATCCGTTTCGTTTACCTTGACCATACGGGCGAATAAAGCTGTTAATAGAGCCCTTGTGGGCTCGTGGCATCCGTTTCGAGCAGTCGAAGCTCAGCTTTTTCATCTACACCGTAGGCACTAGCATCTGGGGATGTACGAGCCATAATGCTGCGAGCACTCGGGTAATTCTGCTCGGTTGATCTCTCGTCGTGCCCGATCCTGCCCCAAGCTGTGCTTTCCGGGCGATTGGGTGGTGATCGATGACTATTGCCGAGCAACGGCTCCCCCCGATCGCTTCGTGCCAGGCCCGAGGCCGCTGCGCTCAACCGTCCTCGGAATGCTCGATGCTTGACGTGATAGCTTTGACCCTGGTCTTGAAGAGTGTTTTTAGTGATGATCAAAGTACCAACTACGAGACCCAACATCAATCCCTTGCATGATTTTACTTTTCCCGCGACGTCATTTGAGACTCCTGCTTTTTTGAGTTCACGGCCCCTGTTGCTCCTCCGATCGGCGATCTTTCGCCTCGGAGGTAGTCAATCGCCATGCCGATCAGAAGGTACAGGGCCTCGTTGCGCTCCGAACGATTTGTCATCATCATGAACGTAGACTTCGCACCCCGTGTAAAGCGCTGACTCGCAATGCTATCGCACGGTTATTCCAGCTCACCCGTTGAATCTGCCAGTCCAGGTTGAGGGTGAGGAAGTGGTTCTTGGCCTCTAGCACTCTATACTGTATAATTTTTTTCTGCATCTGAGTTGCCCTGTAACATCCGATTTTTGTCCTTGGCCATGTTGATGTTGACACCAACTCGAAAGGAACGTTGGGTGACTGCAAGTCTACCTGCGCCGTGAGATCCGTCGGAATCCGTCGGCCTTTGCCGCGGGTGGGCATTCTTCTGCTAGAAGAGAGGGACCTAGCCTGTTGGAATGTTCTGTCTATCCGCGGAGGCGCGATGTGGAAGATTAGACGAGGGAAACTTTGAATTATTTGCTTCCTCTCTCACCATGTGATGAATCTGAGAACGTCTTCGTGCACTCGCTACCACCGACACGTGCTAAACCTCCGGTGGGGTGCCTACTGTTCTTTTCGGCCTTTGCTGCAAGGATTTGACGCGCCGATCGAGCTCGCGCGCTCGGACCTCCCCTCCCCTCTCTCCCCTGCTGAGCTATAGCTGTGCCTCACACACACGCGCGCTCACAGGCGGTCACTCGCGCTGCACGTTCCCTTCAGGGTCTTCACTGCACCGTCGACGTCTCCACCAGCCTCTGCCGCTGCGTTTACCACCTGTTGATACGGGTGCGTTTCTCACTCCCAAGATCACCTCACAGTTGACGAAGTCGCTGACCGAGCGTTTCATCTTGCAGGACGTTTCTCAGCTAGCCCGAGCAGCCGCTAGCTCGTCTAAATCCTCGACGTGGCTCTGTCCAAGAGTAACTCGGGGTAAGTGTTATTGGTCACCCAAGCTTGTTGCACGGTGAACTTACCACTTCGATTCCTACAGTGATCTTGCTAGTCCTGTACGGGCAGTTAGTCGGTAGTCCTTGTTGGACCACTTATCTGACTCGCACCCCCTGCATCTCTCAGCAGTCCGTTGCAGAACCCCTTTGGCTTGAGACGCAGCCTCTGGCTGCCTCCGCCGCATTACAGAGATTCGCTTGTTCTTGCAAAGGTATGCTGAGACGAAGGTAGCTATCCCCACTCTTACCAGTTGCAGCCAACTGACATCACCCTGAGCTTGTTCTTGCAAAGCTCCGTCTGATTGATCCCACCCTCCATCCCTTGTCACTCGCGTGAAAACTACTTCATTCTTTCAAAAAAAATCTTCCTTTCTCTTCTTCGGTTCAGTCTGCCTTCCCATTACGTTCATTTCCGTTTCTTCTGGCTTCCATCTCGCTACACTCGCTGGGTTTCAATCTCGTCTTTCGTTGTCAGACGCCCTTGGATAGTTCGGTCTTGTTGAACAGTTGGACACACCGCTAGTTGTCCCTCATCCCGCTGCAACTTGACTCATTTTACCGCTACACGTCGCGCGAGCGGTTCAGGGAGTCGAAGATGGAAGTGGAACCGTAAAGTCGTTTTAAACAACGCGAGCTGAGCTGACTGGCCATGATCGGCTAGTAGCCTGGTGCTCCGGCGTGGCGGGATCCCTGCAGGGAAAGCAGACGCGATCGATCCTCTGTAAGGGAAGTTTGAAATCGATCTTGACGTGTGCTCAGTACACAAAGATACGTCACCACCATCTGCTTATCAAGGTCTACGTACTCGCTACCCATTTATCGTGTACTGCAGCACAGTCACCTCAAGTCATTAGATTGTCCGACGATGACCTCGCCCGACGCTTCGGATAAACTGCTGAGCTCGTCAAGCTAACCCAGATCGAATTACAATACACAAACACAATGAAGAGAGCTCAAACAGGGACTACGCGTTTCCCTTCCATCCTAGCAGCTGGGGCTCGGTGGCAGGGTCGGGGATGGCCCGATCCACCGCTCGAGGGAGGGAGCAGCGCAGGGACCCCAATGATCTCGGAGTCATCCGGAATGATCATCGCTCTCGTATCAACCGTATTCTCGAACTCGATATCCTCACTCCCGTCAAGCCGAATTCCACGCTCTAGTATCGTGAGAGGAAAGCAACGGGAGCCGGGTGAGCGTCTGTCCGGGTGACATAGACGCGGAGAGGCGTGGAGAAAACTCACTCCTCAGGTGTCGCAACTCGTCCTCGGTGAAAGCGCCAGTTTCGGGTACACGTAGTTCAGGAAAAAAAAAAAGATTGGGTAGGCGCGGAAGCCGCGGAAGGCTTGGAACCGAACATGAGCGCCCTGCGATCGCGCTCGATGGAAGGCAAGTCCGGCAAGCGCTCGTTGAGATTGTCGGATCGGCGAAGCGGCGGGTCGAGCTCGGGGTGGCGGGAGTTGTATTCCTTGATGTATAGCTCGCGGGTCCAGTGCAGAGCTGGAGAGGATAGAATAACAAATCACTCGTTTGAACGTCAATGGGGCTATTCTGGTCCGCCTTAGCAACGGGACTAAATTCGATACGCCACTCACCTATGCCCGTGTCTTGGATGATCTTATTCCTGTCGCTGCCAGCGCGGCTGCGTGTTGCCCATTGCTCGCGCCAAGCGATCCACATCTCGGACGAGAGAATGTTCCAACTTGACTGTTGGCGTAGCTGGGCATCCCTCTGTGCGTTGTACTGTGCCAAGGCGTCCTTATACGCGACCAGCTCGACCCAGGTTGCTTCGCCGACTGCTTGCCAGATCTGCTCACACTCCTTGTAGTAGAGGAGGGTGCAAAGCGGCAATTTCCAAAAAAAGGCTGCGAGACTGTAGGGGAAGAAAGGCTCGCGCTTGTCGAGTAGCATACGCAAGGAGATACCCATCTCGACTGTCGACCACGCCTACGATGGGACCGCGTTCGAAAGCCGGCTCGTCTCGTCGTACGTACGCCGTGGACGATCGGCGATGACACGTGATCGCGTGGTCGAACTTGCTGCTTCCCGGCGCGGCTGGTCAGTGTTTACAGTTCGAGTCCAGACAGATCGACCGAGCTCGTTCAGCGAGCTGAGTGTGTCGGCGAGGCTGAGATGGCCGTGTGGGAGGGACTCAGGAGGCCTGTGCCGAACGGGAATGCCGGTCGCGTGTGGACCGTAGCCAGGGGAGAAGTCTCAACTGGGAGGGACGACAGGTAATAGTCAGAGTCTCGTGAGTTGTGTGACTTCAGACAAGGAGCGCATTGGCGCGACCGGTCAAGCGTGGAGCGGCAACAAGTTGCTGGCAACTTGAATCTACTTTACTTGAATCCTTGAAGCTGCTTAACTGAGAATGCGGATTTGAATTTCAGCTAGCCTACTCAAACAGAGCGACTCTACTACTAATAGAGCGCTGGACCTCGATTGAGCACGAAAAGCTGAAATAATAGTAGCCAGAATGCTACTTGACGCTGACTTGAAACCTCTCAGCCAACCCCCACTTTGAAGCTACTTGAAAGTTGATGATGCCTGGACTCGGAGCGGCCCTGAGGCTTGCACTGACCGTGCCGGCTTGCGTCACCACAACCGGCGTCAGGAATCTCTGACTCGGGAGTTGATCAGGCTTTTGCGCTCGGCCACCATCATCGTACGCGTGAAGGTGAAGGAATCGGGGGGTGCTCTGGTCCCGACTTCAAGTTGGATTGCTTTAAAGTGGGTTGGAATGACACACTTTTCGACTGAATCAATCACGTTTGGCTGTAACGGCTTTCTTACTTTTAAGAATGAAAAACCATACCTTCTGCCCACAGGAGCCCTCACCTTAGTCCGAACTTTCCCAGCATGTGCGGGTCACGATGTAGAAAATGTCGCGTAGAGGGTCTGGCAAGACATCTCAGAGCTAAGTGCAACAGTCGTCTCCTACTCCACAGTAGCCGTGCGGAAAAAAAGACTCCTCCACCAGACCAGATGCGTCGGTCAGCTCTGTCCCAAAGGACTCGAGAGCTCGACCCGCGACCGAAAGACTAGTTCTGTTCGAGGAGAGCGTGGTTGAAAGTTTACAGGTGGCCCAAGGAACGGGCATTCTCGTGCGGGTCGTCTCTCGTCTCCAAGCTTCCCGGAGCTCCCTTCCTCCCCTCCCGCAGCGCAGGGGCTCCCGCAAGAGATGAAGGGTGATGCGAATGGTCCTCGACACACGGGTATCTTTGCCAACACGCACTGCAATTTCATTCGAACGCTCACACTACGGAAACAGGACCCGTCCTGCTCTATCCCTGGGGACTCTAAGCGGTTCACTCTCTCACGCGTTCCTCTGCCCCATGCTCACGAGCAACGCATTCAAGTCCGAGGCCAACTGGCCGTGCGAGAATTCGCCGCTTGCCCAACGAGGATGGCGTCTTCGTCGACCGGCGCAGCCCACGAAGTGCGCTGCACACCCAGACCACAGTACTTGGCGACCGTCTGGACGAGCGTAGCCAGATCCTCCTTCCAAAACTCCTTGAAGGGCTCGAACAACTCTTGCGGTCCCCAAGGTGCTAAGAAGAGCATCGTCTTCGAGTCGACGGCGCCCCATTTCGAATTCCACAGCTGCCAAATGCTTCTGATCTCGTCCGAAAGCTCGCTCGAGTCGTCGGGGCCATTAGGCTGTATGAATACGGCAAACATGGTCACGTAGACGAGTGACTCGATATCATGCCATGGCTGGTGAAGAAACGTAGGTCGGCCTTTGTGCTCCTCCACCAGCTCCCGCGCGCGATATGCAAGCGTCCCCTGGCGTTGTCCGTCCCGTCGGCAATGATCAGCAACGATAGAGTGCGGCGGGCTTGGCAGACGCACCCTTGATCAATCGGGGAAAGACACTCACAACCTTTTTCTTGCATTCGGCTTCCCCCTCTGGCCCGTCCATGAACACCGCAGTGTCGTAATCGATCAACACGCCGTTGCCGTCAGATGCGACCATGACGTTCGGGGCAGATACATCCCGATGAAGGATATGAAGGCGGTAAAGGCTGTCTAGGCCTGCAGTGGATTGGGTGCCACCGTGATCAGCCAATGACGCATGGAAAACGTATCACAGAGGAAGATTGAGCGCCCATACCTCGAACGGCGCCCAAAATAACGCGCGTCAATGCTTCGGTCGAGTCGACGACGCAGATGGGTTCGAAGCAGTGCTCGTGGAACGTCATCTCCATCGCGCGCGGCTTGAGACCCGCCGCTCTGAGGGGGAGATTCGAGGGGAGGAAGTGGGGGACGACGACAAAGTCACTCTCGCGATACACGTCGACGGTGTTGGTGAGCCCTTGTCGATCCTCGGGTGACGCGTTGGCGATGGCGAGGCGGATGCGATCGTGTTCATCGCAGCGAGCTTCTTCGACGAATGAGACCGTCATCGCATACTCGACGTGCGCAGTCGAACCTTCGCCGCCTGTCGAAACGCGGAACGCCGAGGTGTGACGTCCAAAGATGGAGTCGGACTTGTAGAGTGTTTCGAGGAATCTGATGTCTTCGAGAGGAGGGGAGCCCGAGAGACGCTTGTCAAACAGCGGAACGCGAGATGGAAGCTCGCACGACGGAAACGAGAACGAGGCCGAATCCACACGGTCACGCAGTGAGGAGATGATGCCGAGCTCGCGATCGCTCAGGCTGAGCAGTCTCGCCAGAAAGGTTGCAAGGTCACCATTCGCTTCGGTACAGTAGATTGTGGGGCTGCAAAAACGACCGCTCGGAGTATGGAGGACCATCTCGAGGATGTTGTCACAGAGGAGGAACCCGAACGCGTGAGATCGAAGCGATTGCGAGACGAGCGCGGAAAGGGATTCTCGTAGGCGCTCAGGGCCGGACAATATATCCGAGTCGGAGTCGGATGGATCGACACTCGACGTCCTGCTAATTTCGGCAACGGCAGCAACTTGTGACCACGACCGCGTATCATCGTAGCCGTCCTTGTCGTCCGATGTCCAGGTAGCTACCAGGCTGGGGTCGGCCTCGAAGACTTCGCGAGTGAGGAGGACGACATCCGGGATAACCGAAGGATCATAAACTTGGACGCTTTGGTTGTCTTCTTGAAAGCTCAGCAAGCGACCTCGACTCTTCTGTTCACTCGGTGGTCAAACTTAGCTCGGGCACGTTCACCAGAGACCGATGGCCATCATGTGCCGGTGCCCTGCGCGCACTCACCAACCTCGGCTTTCCGTCTTCCCACACGATCTCTGGGACGACCGTCGTGTCAATGTCGTCGGTCAGCGGCGCGAGGAAAAAGTCCTCCAATCCCGCCCATTCGATCTCGTGGTCTCCGTCATGGCTCTCGCCCAGTGAGGAGCCGAGAGACCTGAGCCTAGTCACGCGACTGACACGCCGAGCATGGGGTGGAAGGTGTCGGTTGTGCCACTGGCTCGTACTGGCAGAGCCGAGGGGCGCTCGCTGTTCGTCACTGCATCGGGTCTCCCCGAGCTGAGCGTGGGGCATTATGCGTTAGTGAGGAGGCAAAGGTAGTTGTTGGGTACTGTACATGGGCAATGGCTCGTCAATGTTTGAAATCGAGACATGGCAATCGAAACTTGCCGTGACACGGCAGCGGCGCGTTGGCGTGATTCACATGAGGGTACTCTGACAAACTGGACTGGTCTAGGTGAGCAAAATTAGAGGCTACACGTTGATCTGGGATCGCGGATGTCGGTGGTGACTATGTAGTGTGCAGCGACGAAGCAACGATTGAGGCAAGAGGCCCAGCCGCGTCAAGGCGCGCCTGTCGAGCGCTGTCGAGCGGACCGGATCGATGATCTTCGTCACACCGGGTATGACGACAGCTGACGGTTGCCACTGCACTGGCAGGGTCCTCATTAGACAGGATAATCTCGCAGATATTAGAAATCTATCTAAAAAAATTGGGCTCAGTGCCCTTATATCTGCCATCTTAGTCAAATATCTTAGATTGGATTAAGATGAAATACAGCTAGTGGCTCGAGAAAGGATGGGGCTCGGGTGAGCTCTAGATCTCTCACGACCATCTATCAGCCAGGGCTAGGGTGACCCCACCAAATAGAGCAAGGTTTGAGCGAACATCCTGCAGGTGCTTGTTGGCCACTTCAAAGCAACGACGATGTTGCATAGGGGCCTCATCCCAGACGACCAGTTCACATAAACGCATCAGTTTTGCGAGATTGCCCTGCTTAGCTACGAGTCTGTCGACCACACCGCACCTTCAAGCGATGTGATGTTTAATCACAATACATTGCCTGTCGCCTCGCCGTCCAGTAGCCCGGATCACCAAGTAGCTGAGCTCTCGGAAGGTGGTGAAAGAAAGTAACCAAGAACACCTTACAGCTTGCATAGTGAACACATACACACATGTCGCAGTCTCGTCTGCATACAGCCCTTCTCGTCGTCCCATCGTTTCCAGCCTCGCGACTCCTCGGGGCGAGCGTCGAGCTCCACCCTCATTACTTCTTGAGCGCTTTCCGTCCTTCCTCCGTCTCATCCGCCGAGGAACGCACTTGCAAACCAAAGCAAAACATGATCGTCAGTAGTCCGTTTTTCCATCACCGACGTCCTCCCTACCCCACGGCGTAAAGGACTGACTGATGGTCAGTTTGCCGTGACTGATCGCCTGCGTCGCGATCGTCTTCTCCAAGCTGGTGTGGTGGGATGATGTATTCTTCTGTGCTCGATCATATCAAAAAAAGACTGTGAGCCGATCGACCACGTCATCGTGAGAAGAGAAATTGGTGGAAAACGTACTCGATGAACGATCGCCTGCGCCACGAGCGACTGCCTCTTCGGAGGGATCGTTCGAGCTGTACACACCAACCCATACACCTCACAAGTCAGCTCCACATACCAACAGCTATACTGATCACCACCAGAATCCTCGACGTCCCCCCTCCCTCGCCCGTCAAAGCCCCGATCACCTGACCCTTCCCCCGCGTCATTGAACATCCTCCAAGCGTGCAAAAGCGTGCAACGTACCACCTTTCTTCGGGTCCTTGTTCTGCAACTTCTTCTGCGTCGTCTTGGTCTTGGCTTTGGCCGGCGCTTTGGTCTTGAAGCCTTGTGCCATAGCGGTGTGGCGGGGCGTGCGTGATGGGAGGAGGTGGAGAGCGCCGTGCGAACGATCGCAGTGCTTCGCAAGACGTCAGCGGCCAAGTTCGCTCGCACGGACCCTCGCTCTGCTCGGTCACTGGGAATAAAATAGAATTTGTAGTTGCATTTGCGATGAGAAGGAAACGAAAAGAGACGAAAAAAGAATCGGGACAAGGAACATGAACAGAAAAGAAAAACTAAAGAGGAAGCACAACGGGAGTGGTCTAGCCTGGCACCATCATGGAGAGGGAGGGAGGGCAGGGCAGGCAGCAGCGATTGGTGAGGAAAGGATCCAACATCGAGCACGAATCGTCGATACAGAGCGAACAAAGAAAAGACCATCTCGAGTCTCCGATCAAGCGAGGTACTTGTACAGATCCCTCTGCCCGTCAACGCGCTCGAGGTACTCCTTGTCGATCAAGACGTCGATCGCCTTCTTCACGTCGCCGAGCTTGGGCTTGAACCGGGTCTGCAGCTGCGCGAGCGTCTCGTTGATCAACTGCTGGTGCTTCATCTCCTTGCGTGACTTCATCACTCGCACGATCGTCGCCTGGATCAGCATCTTGCGATCATCGTCGACGTGCTTCATCACGTCCGCGCTCTCCGTTTTCTGCTCGGCCTTGATCGGCGCGTTGAGGTTCACGCGGATCTTTTTCGACTTGAAGCCCAGGTTCAGCTCGTACATGTCGTCCTTGAGGTCGACAACGCGTTGCTTGACGAGCAGCTGCAGCACCGGCTTGAGCGCCTCGTCCTCCATCCCTGTTCCTAGCTTCAGGTCCTCGTACGACAGCGAGTCGCCGGAAGTGTTGAACTGGAGCAGCACGACGGTCTGGAACATGGACGTGACGAAAAAGTACTTCTGCCCCGTGTACAGTGTTCGCAGTCTGAGAGCAAACATTCCATGAATTCAGCTTCAATCTAACCAAGCATCAGCAGTCCCCTCTCGATCGGACTCACTCGTTTCGGCAGTGCTGCCACAGCCACGTCAACTTTCGACCGCTGTGCTTGCTCATGTAGTACCCGGTGAAACGATCGTAGACCTGCTGCAGCTCCGTCGGAAGCTTCACGCCAGTCGACGCCGCACCCAGAGGCCACGAAGAAGTGCCCAAGATGGAAACCTCAAAGTCAACTGTGAGCGTATAACTCGCTCTGCCTTCAGCATCGTGCAATATGGACCACGATTTTCAGAACAGTTTGTCCGACGCTCACCTCCCAATTCAGACGCATCATGGGTCTGTGACATCTTGTCCTTGAACTGGGCGTTCAGATCCTTGTTCAAGGCCATGTCCAGGAACATGCGTGTCAACTTGCTCGTGTATTCGAACCCGCAAGCGTCCTTAAGCCGGGTGATCATGCTCGATTCGGCGTCATCCGAGGCCGAGGTCGCTCGGATCAGTCGGTTCGACAGCATCTTGGTGTAGAACTTTTGGAAAACGTCCTTGTCTTCGATGTATTTGAAGACCGTCATCTGGTTTCGAGGAACAATGCGCCGAGTGAGTACGGTGCACCCGCATACCTTCAGGCCCTCAAACTCCCAAGGTCACTCACTGTCTCTGTCAAAGACTTTTCGAGATCGTCATCCTCGCTCGCCTTGTTACTCTTCTTCAACAAGCCATCAGCATGCTTGGCCAGCAATTCAGGACTCTTGTTCGCGTTCAAGCAAGCCTTGTTGCGATTCACGAACTCGCGGCACGCACGATCCAACGAGCCAACGAAGCCTTGGTCGCCTTTGAACGCTTTTTGGACGAGCTCGGCGTTGTTCGAGTGAACGGAGAGCAAGGCCTCGACGTAGGCTTTCGGTTCAACACCCTCAGCGGATTCGCCGACGACCTTCTCGACGCTAGCGAGACCGGCCTTCTTGACGTGCTGCTCGAAGCGTTCGCGTAGAGGGTCGAGTCCGTTGGGAATGCGCGAAAGGAGGAGGTACATGCGCTTGAGGTCGCCTTCCTGTTCTTGATCGAGGAGCTGTGGGCGGCATAACCGTGTTACGAGTCAGTGACCGAAACCTGTGTTTTCGAATGTCGACTCACACGTTGAAACTCTTCCTGCATCTTCCCTGCGTGGTTTTTGACGAGCACCTCTTCGCATTTCGACACGAGCTGTGAACTCCCCAAGACGTCAGTTTCTTCCTTGTCAAACCGAATGGACGGCACCCTTAACTCACCCCTTTCCTTGTCGAAGCATGCAAGTACAGATCAACCCTGTTCTCCTCCTCGGCGAGCCTCATCTCGGCCTTCTTCATGTATTCGGTGACCGAGTTGGCGCCGATGTACTGCTCCGATTCGGAGGTGTAGTACAGGTCTGTTGCGGCGAGGAATGGCCTCTCGAACGCGTCTTGGTACACCTCGAGATTTTGTTTGTTGGTGTCGCCCTCGTCCATGCCCAATGCGACTGTGTGTGACCGGGTGAGCATCAGCAGCTAGTTTAGTTCGCATGCTCACGCCTGCGCGGCATTCGTTTGACGACACCAGTCGCCGAAACGTACCCAATGAATCGACGACCTTCTTGACCAAGTCGGTCTGGATCGTCTCGCCGTTCCTCTGCTTCTCGATCAACTTGCTGACCGCGTTGGACAGCTTGTGGTTGTCCTGCACGTGGGTGTAGAAATGGTCGCGCCACTGCACGAGCGCGAGGATGTACACCTGGTACACGTTCTTCCTCCCTTCGTCCTTTTCCCGCTTGACCCAGTGGCGATTCAGGTACGTGAACAGGCGGTTGACGTAGGACGCTCCGGTGGTGTAACGGTCCCATTCGCGGGTGTAGTACACGAGCAGCGGTTCGTCGGTGAGCGGTTCGGCGGCGGCGCTGACTTGCTTGAGGTGCGAGACAAAGTATCGGTTCAGGTGCTTGTACAGATCGGATCCCATCAAGTTCGCTCCGCCTGTTCACAGGCAGGGTCAAAAAGGGGTGAGGAGGACGTAGGGCACTGCGTAGGCACGACGGGATGGACTGACTCCTTCCTCCACCTGTGCCGATACCGATCGTCTCGTTGACGCCACCCGAGTTCATGCGGCTGCTGGTACAATAGTTGTACGACACCGTGTAGAGCTGCGTTTTGGATGGAATGGGAAGGCCGAGTCAGCACTCCGAGGCGTGATCAGATCCGAGCTCGGACGAGATCAAAGGGAGGGAGGGAGCCGAGGGGAATGGCCGCGTTGGACTCACGTTCATGTACTGAGGGTAGCTCATGCCTTCGGAGAGCCTGGTCATGATTTGGTCTGTGCATGTGTAGAACGAGGGAGCGCGCATGAGCACCTGCGGGGGAACGGGGGAGCCAGATCGAGATCGGAATAGGAGACTGACCGACACCCTTCTCGAGCACCTGCCATGTTGCGTTGAGGTCTGAGCGCACACAAAGGTGATGGGAGTAAGTGTGGGATGCAGTGTGGGTGTGGTAGGCGTGGGTTGGGGCTGGGCTGGGGTGAGGACTGACCACGCGAGTCGGGGATCGCACTTGCAGCCGGCGCCACTGAGAGAGAGTAACGAAGGAGGTGGTCAGATTCCATCGATCGTTTGCTACAGCTCGCACCATCCGAACTGACTGATGAGGTAGGGGGGTCGACGCTAGCCCGCGACGGAGAAGATGAGGCAAGAGCGCGAGCACGGGCACGAGCACCGAGCTTCGACTTGACGCGCTGCGCTGGGCTAATCGTGGTTCTGGCCCAGATGTCAATACGAAAATTCAAAGGCTTAATATTTGGTTTGCACAGGTATGGGTGCTATTTCTCCAGTGCAATTTAGTACCTCGGGTTTCATATTCGGCACTTCACCACTGGAGATATGAATTGTTTGCTCAGCGTGGACCGACCTCACCGTCAACTTGGTGCCGTCGGCAAGGCGAATTTGCCCCTTTCACTTGGACGCCTCAACCGATCTGACCGACGCCTTTCAGCCGAGAAATAGAAACCGATATTCGCTCCCAAGTATGAGAGGATCACACTGAGCCAGAGTCTCCCACAAACCCCATTCTCCATGCCTGGTTTACGCATGATGTCGCAAATTGTCCACTCGTGTCTTTGCCTTGCTTCTTCAGGGTTCCCAACGAGAAGCGAAATTTGATACACGATCAGGTGAATGGCAAGCAAAGCTGAAAATTCTACACACTGACAAACGGATCCAAACACTTTTCCTGTTTCTTCTGTACAATCTTCTCCCGGAAGTTCTCCAAGTCCGCAACAAGCTGGTCATGAGAAAGCTCACCCGAGCCCCAGCCTGCCTCAAGGTGTGGCACCTCGGCCGCCTCGCCGTGTGTGAAAGCGGATGGTAAACCGAGGCCACAGTGGTTGGCGAGTATCGCGACAAGTTCGGGTATGTCCTCCCAGTGTTCCAAATACGGTTTCAGAAATTCCTGTCGATGCACCGGGGGTCGGATAAGCCCCTCTTTGGAAAGATAGGCCCACACATCCATATTCCAGAGCTTCCAAACGTCCTCGGCATCTTCGGCCATTCCACTCAAGTCGCCGCTCCCCTCGGGCCGATTGAAAATGACGAAGAGAATGACATAGACGAGCGACTCGATTTGGTGCCAAGGCTGAAGGGGTGTACGACTACTCTCTTCGAGGAGATACCTTGCGCGGAAAGCAAATGTGCCCTGTGGAGGAGTGAAGAGAGGGCTCTGGTTCAGCGGACTTGCACCGAAGCATTGCGGAGTCGAGGAGAGGCCTCACAACTCGTTCCATACGCGCAGCTTCTCCAAAAGGGCCGTCCATGAGAACGGCGAGATCGTAGTCGATCAATACACCCTCACCGTCGGGTCCGATCATGATATTGCCGGGTGAGACATCGCGATGCAGGATGCGCATTCGGTAAAGGCTGCGCAGACCTGCACCGAGGAATTTACTTATTCAGTTTCGCCATGAGTGGGATAACCTTGACCCAGGCGGGATCGCAACGAACCTTTGACCGCTCCCAGCACTGCTCGTGTCAGCGCTTCAATCGAGTCGACGGCCCAGATCGGCTCGAAGCAGCGCTCCTGAAAAGTGACCTCCATCGCCCTCGGCTTGAGCCCGCATTTTTCGGCGCATTTCTCGGCGTCTAGATCGCCTTTGAGGAAGTGGGGCACAAGGGTGAAGTGTTGTCGATGCACATCCACAAAGTTTGTGAGACCTTCGCGCTCGTGGGGTGATGCCGAGGCAATCATCTGCCGGATCTGATCATGTTCGTCGCAGCGCGCTTCTTCCACAAACGACACCGTCATTGCGTATTCGCGATTGTCACCTGGTCCGTCCCGGATCGCTCGGACTCGTGAAGCGGATGTCTGCAACCCGAGGACCTCTCCACTGCAAAAGACCGTCTTCTCAATCTCGATTGAGCCCATCGTGGGTACTTTGGCGAGGTGATGAGCGAAAGATGGCACCCGCGGTGGAAGCACAGCGGTCGGGAATGGCAGCGGCGGGCCATTGGGTCCTCCAGGCGAGGCGATCTTGCCGAGATCAATATCATTCAAGCTGAGAAGGCGCTCGAGGAACGTCGAGAGGTGCCCATTCGCTTCGTTGCATTCGATGTCGGACGAGTAGAACAGACCCGCTGGGGTGTGGAGGTAGAGGGTCAAGATCGAGCCGTCGAGCGTGAAGCCGAACGTGTGAGAGCGGATCGGTGACTCGGCAGCGAGCATGCGCAGGTGGTGTTTCAATCGCGTGGCTGGGAATACACACTCGTATTCGGAGGTGTCGTCGCTTTTCTTCATGCCACCCAGTACGCCAATCGCGGCAACTTGTTCCCAGTCGAGGACACCGTTCTCTCCATCATCGAGGTGATCCTGGGCCCAAGCCGAAGCGAGCTCAGGATTGGCATCGAAGGCTTGTCGCGACAGCACGACGAAATCGGGGAACTCGTTGCGGTCGTACAACTTGCGATCTTGGTCAAGAGGGGTTTTCACGAGTCTTCCTAGTGGTTCCTGTCCGACCCAGATTGTTGGTAGGTCAAGAACGCCGAAGAGCAGTAGAAGTAACATTACTTTGGAAGAGATGCTCACCAAATTTGCATCACCCAAATGCCACGTGATCTCCGGCGCCATCTGATTCATCGTTGACTCATCTTGGCCGAGATCCGCCACGGCCGGCGCGGGACCATTGCCACTGGAGATTGGGCTCAGAAAAAAGTCCTTCATTGGAGACCACTCGAATTCATAGCCTTGAAATCCGGTCAGGTCTTCCGAGCTGGAAGGGAACATCCATGTGCGCAGGACCCAAGGGAGTCGAGCGGTGAAAGAGCGAGTCGGAGGCGGCGAGGGCACAGGTGGCGGGACCTTTGGCGATGTGGTCGGCAATCCTGGTGGCGATCTCATCGCTGACCCTGCTGGCGAAGTAGAGGGTGATTCTGTGAAGGGCCCTTTCGGCGAGCCCATCGATGGAGCGGTAATTGCTTTCGTAGAGCCACGCGTTCGGCGAGATGCCGGCGAGGACGTGGTCGACGTGGGTGAGCTGGAATGCTGCAGTGCTGTGCGACATCTCGGGCGCGGTTTGCAGACGGTGACGCCCCGGCTCTGGACTGCCAACGTCCATGCATTTGTCGCCAGACTGCGCGCCAGCCATCGACAGAACACAAAGAGAAGAGCCGAAGGAAAGGGGAAGGACTCGTAGTAGGTGTAGACCAGCTGCAAAATTTGAGCGTGGCGGTATAGTTGTCAGTTTGTTCAGTTTGAAGTTTCGCGTGCTTTAGCCTGTGTCCGCGTAGACGACACTGGGATTATTGTGACAGCTCAACATGAGCAGCAGCAGTCGGGGGTCCCTATCAGGGCGAATGAGCTATGACCCACACGAAGAGGGCCCAGGACCGCAAGATCTTCAAATTCTCCAGGTGCACGGTGATCGATGTGCCGATGGTCGGCCCAACTGCCAAATCGTTGGCTCGCTCCATCCGTCTGCAGTGCGATGCCTCTCCGGTACCCATTACTCTTCCCCGCGGGGGAAGATGGCTTCCACCCCCAACATTCCTCTTTGCGGTTCAACCAAGCTAGGCCGCCCTTCGCCGGAAGACCGCTATGATGAGCATGAAGACGACGAGGAAGAAGACGAAGAGAATGATGATGGTGAACGTAAGCGTCTTACGGTCTCGTCCGAGTTGTTTGACATCGCGTCCAGCGCGGCCAAACCAGATCCCGATGAGTTTGTTAACGCCTGGGGTCAGTATCAATGTGAAGCTGGGTCAGCCCATGTCCTTCGACACGATCAAGGATCGCTGGGCTACTCTCCAATTAGGTCGTCAACTCGATCACTTGCTCACGTTCGACGGATCGCACCCGGCCTCGTTCCTGTATGCCGCCCTAGCCCTGATGTCTGAGACATCTTCAAAAAAGATCAATGCGAGTGAAGCGTATCTACAACACTTTCCCGGGTCGCCATGCGTGCTACGTCGAAAAGCTGGCCCCTTGTGGCTTGAGTACGATATTAGCGAATGGGCGAGCTTCTGGACTCACTTGACGAGGACATGTAGCGAGCGATACGGCGTCGGACAGCGTCATCATCGTCGAAGTTTCGGACTTGAGCCTGGAGGCCACTGTACTCACGGCCAAACACCGATGCCGTCGTCCCACCAGAGACCATTTGAAACACACGGCGAGTGCCTTCCCACTGTCAACTTCCAAGTTTTGGACCTCTTCCAAGGCCGAAATCGAGGCGATGGTCGCCTTCATGGAAGAGAAGAGGAAGGATAATTCTCTATTGAAACCTCCACTACCCTTGCCGATGTCGCTCGTGACGCTTACTCCCAGGTCTCGACTCAGACCGAGTCCAAGAAGCGCCCACTCGCCGAATCGAGTGAAAAATTCCACGACAACATCGCGAAACGTTCTCTTCTTAGCGTGGCTAAGCTCGACGCCCCTCCAGAAGGAGGGCTTAGTTGAGCTTACAGCGTGGCCAGCCTTCACACCTGTCGCGAATCATAAGACTTCGTCAGTCGCGCCTCAAACGACCAGGATTTTCGCTCGACACCACCCAACGACTTTCAGACGTTCGCGGCCAACTGATCCAGCACCCGTTCCGCGCTCCTCTGCATCGTTTGCGGATCGACATCCTTGGACCATCCACCCACCCAACTCTGCCACGAATTCGATCCGGAGGCCTTCACTCGTTCCTCGTCCGGAGCTTTATATCACGAATCCTCCAAACCCCAGGTGTGCTTTGCCTTCACCCGGTGACCAGTGCAGCTCGTCGGCCTAACTTTGAACCCTCTTTCAAAAACATTACAGTAGTGCGATTTGCAAATGGACATTGTAAACCTGATATAGGCTGCAAAAGGTGGTCTAAGAGCTCGGTGTAGCCACTCTGCGCCGGAAGGTTATTTATCCACTGCAGCTGGAGACCATTGGTGACTGACTGCACTGGCTGGTCGGGCCATTGTGCGCGCCAGCTATAATATCCAGCTGGCGATCAGCGGGATTGGGCCCAGCCAGGCCAGGCCTGGCCACTGCCTTGCCCTGCTTGGCCCTGCTACTACTGCCCTAGACTGCCCTGCTGCGCCCATAGACGCGTGCCGGCACACGCCGGCGCTCCAGCACTTCTTCGTCCCTGCCATCCGTCGTCGGGCCCGGCAGTCAGCCCTGCATAACTCAGCAGCCGCCTTCCTATCTTCGCGCGACTCACCTTTCTATTGTAGGTCCTCTTTCCCGTTCGCTGCTGATATTGACAAGATGCGATACCGCTGGCCCTGCTGTGGAGACAGGAATCGGCACGCAAGGGCCAACAGACTGAACTGACCAGTACTTTCTTCGTGCGGATGCCCTGCAGCTCTGTACCTACTGCTCTCCACCTCTTATTTCTGGTCCACCTTTCTTCCCTTAGTGGCGTGTCATGACTAGCCCGCAGTCCGCCGGCAAAGGCTCCGCTCACGCCGACGTGGGAGGTGCACAGCCTCCCGGATCCCCGCCTGCCGGGGGCGCCGTCGCACAGGAGCATTTCGGCTCACCTACCTCGACCACGTCGTCGGCCGCATCTCGCCGATCAGATGGCTCCACGAAAGCATCTACTACTTCATCGACAGGTTCACTGAAGGGGTGGCCCACAGAATCACCGATCCCGTCGCCGTCGTCGTCCCCACCGAAACCTCTGGCTTACTCATTTGCCGCACGACGGCCTTGGGTTTTACGCACCTGGATGTTCCCTTCTAGCTCGGAGGACAACACTGGTTTCCGCGGCCATGAAATCAAGTGGCCTCCGCTGGAGGACTTTTTTTTCGACCCCGACGTTGATGCCCGGGCGGCGCGCCTCGGCGAGTCTGAGTCAACGATAACCAAGCCGGCTCCCGGAATCACGTGGCATTCAGGCGAACCTGTATGGGTGAGTGAACTTTTTGATGCGCCGCCAATCCTAATCTATGACAATGATTCACTCTGACGTGTCACAGGAGCCGCAAGGACGACTCGTCAAAACCGCTCTCCGCCAGGAGAGCGACCTGTACGATCCCGCCGAGCTTCCCGATTTCGTCGTGCTCTCGCGCCAATCCTTCGGCGCCAATCCCGAGCTCGCTGCCGCTTGGGCCCACGACCACATTGACGATGGGGCAGATGTTCTTCGAGACTGGGAACAGGTCGCAGCGGTTGGCGTACTGGGTGGCATGAAGAAAAGCGACGACACCTCCGAATACGAGTGTGTATTCCCCGCCACGCGATTGAAACACCACCTGCGCATGCTCGCTGCCGAGTCACCGATCCGCTCCCACACGTTCGGCTTCACGCTCGACGGCTCGATCTTGACCCTCTACCTTCACACCCCATCTGGTTTGTTCTACTCGTCCGATATCGAATGCACCGAAGCGAATGGGCACCTCTCGACGTTCATCGAGCGCCTTCTCAGCTTGAATGATATTGACCTCGGCAAGATTGCCTCGCCTGGAGGACCCGACGGCCCGCCGCTGCCATTCCCGACGGCTGTGCTTCCACCGCGGGTGCCATCTTTCGCTCGTCACCTCGCCAAAGTACCCACGATGGGCTCAATCGAGATTGAGAAGACGGTCTTTTGCAGTGGAGAGGTCCTCGGCTTGCAGAAATCCGCTTCACGAGTCCGAGCGATCCGGGACGAACCAGGCGACAATCGCGAATACGCAATGACGGTGTCGTTCGTGGAAGAAGCGCGCTGCAACGAACACGATCAGATCCGGCAGATGATTGCCTCGGCATCACCCCACGAGCGCGAAGGTCTCACAAACTTTGTGGATGTGCATCGACAACACTTCACCCTTGTGCCCCACTTCCTCAAAGGCGATCTGGACGCCGAGGAATGCGCCGAAAAAACCGGGCTCAAGCCAAGGGCGATGGAGGTCACTTTTCAGGAGCGCTGCTTCGAGCCCATCTGGGCCGTCGACTCGATTGAAGCGCTGACACGAGCAGTGCTGGGAGCGGTCAAAGGTTCGTTGCGATCCCGCCTGGGTCAAGGTTATCCCACTCATGGCGAAACTGAATAAGTAAATTCCTCGGTGCAGGTCTGCGCAGCCTTTACCGAATGCGCATCCTGCATCGCGATGTCTCACCCGGCAATATCATGATCGGACCCGACGGTGAGGGTGTATTGATCGACTACGACCTCGCCATACTCATGGACGGCCCTGTTGGAGAAGCTGCGCGTATGGAACGAGTTGTGAGGCCTCTCCTCGACTCCGCAATGCTTCGGTGCAAGTCCGCTGAACCAGAGCTTTCTTTTCACTCCTCCACAGGGCACATTCGCGTTTCGTGCCAGGTATCTCCTCAAAGCGAGTAGTCGTACACCCCTTCAACCTTGGCACCAGATCGAGTCGCTCGTCTATGTCATTCTCTTCGTCGTTTTCAATCGGCCCGGGGGGAGTGGCGACTTGAGCGGAATGCCCGAAGATGCCAAGCACGTTTGGAAGCTCTGGAACCAGGATCCGTCGTTGGCCTTTCTCTGCAAGGAGGGGCTCATCGGAGCCCCAGCGCATCGACAGGAATTTTTGAAACCGTATTTGGAACACTGGGAGGATCTACCCGAGCTTGTCGCGCTAGTCGCCAACCACTGTGGCCTCGGTTTACCATCCGCTTTCACACATGGCGAGGCGGCCGAGGTGTCACACCTTGAGGCGGGCTGGGGCTCAGGTGAGCTTTCTCATGACCAGCTTGTTGCGGATTTGGAGAACTTCCGGGAGAAGATTGTACAGAAGAAACAGGGAAAGTCTCTGGATCATTTTGTCAGTGTGTAGAATTTTCAGTTTTGCATGCCATTCACCTGATCGTGTATCAAATTTCGGTTCTCGTTGGGACCCCTGAAGAAGCAAGGCAAAGACACGAGTGGACAATTTGCGACATTATGTGTAAACCAGGCATGGAGAATGAGGTTTGTGTGAGAACATCATATCCTCTGGCTCGGTGTGGTCCTCTCATACTTGGGAGCGAGCATCGGTCTCTATTTCTCGGCTAAAAGGCGTCGGTCAGATCGGTTGAGGCGTCCAAGTACTTGGTGGCGATCGCGAATCCGCGATGACCGCTCTTTCGAAAGGACTTGCTGTGTCGAATATGACGAATCCGTATGGCTATCGCGTCGGCGTCACCCGAGGAGCGCGAAGGTCTTACAAAATTTGTGGATGTAAATCAAGCGACTTCGAATTCGTCGCCTGCTTCCTCTCGGAACTGAAAAAGGTGGGTTCAAGCCGAGGGCGATGGAGTTGATTAGGAGCGCTGTTCGAGTGAATCTGGAGCATCGAGTCGACTGAGCCGCTCATTCGAGTCCCTATTGGGAAGAGGTTGAAGTTGGGTATTTGCTCACGCTCTGCCCCATTTCGTCCCAATCAGGCAAATTCGATATCTGATGTCGGATCAGCTTCCTTCCCTCAGGCTTGCGCAATCTTTCCCGAATGCGCATCCTGCGTCGCGATGTCTCAACCGTAAACATCATGGTCCGACCGGATGGCGAAGACGTGTCTATCGATCATGACCTCGCAGTATTCATGGACGGCCTCTCCGGCGAAGAAGCAAGTGCGTATCGAGGTGTAAGTCCTCTTATCATTCCCGAAAGTCTGTTGTTGTTGCAGAAGGGTCTCTGGTTCCTTGGCGTCGATAGATGACCTAATGTGAGATAGTGGGTCGCTAAAGGTCAATCGACTGTAACAGAGCGAATGGACGAGGTGTGATATCGAGTGCGTGGTGGAGAAGAGAGAAACACAGCTAGGCCAAAAGACGCAATCTCATGTAGACAACCAGCCGCCTCTGCCGCCTCTACCGGACGCCGCACAACACCCGCGCGCCACTGCAAGTCCCTCTGGACCGCCGACCCTACTAATTTCCCAAAACAACGACCATCTCAATTTGAAGATCTGCTTCTCGAGATTGTTCAGAGGAGAAAGGAACGATCACAACATTTGTCTCGCCGTGGATAGATCTTAAAAATTTGAATTTCATTGATCTCATCGGGTCTCCAACGTTTGCTTCTTGTTCCGGATCCCCTTTTAGTGTTGTTTGTCGTTCAGACTCGTTGACCCTTTTCGTCGCTGCCGATTCGAAGCAGGTTCGAGTCAATGCGGGCATCGACAACAGCGCCCACGCCTCCCCCGTCACTTCGAGCTCGCTCTGCTTGTGCACGCCACAGTGGCAGTGGGCAGGAGGCATCTTTTTCCAGTCTGACGATCGCGATTGACAATCGAGATGGGGTCACCCGAAAGGACGCGATGCAGCCAGCATTCTCGATGGACCACAGTTCGTGGGCGGTTGCGCGCCCCGCACAACATCACTGGAGAAGAGTTCTGCATTAGCTCGAGTTATTGGACACTTGGGCGCCACTGCTTGCGAGAGACCATTCGACGCCGGCCGTCCCATCACTAGACGCCTTGCCAGCACGTATCCACCCGCGCCATTAGCACCAGCGGCACCAGGACCGTCCTCGCTTTTACCCCGCACTTCAACACTTCATCGTCGGACTCCTTAGTCGGACTTGCACTTCGACACCTCATCCGATTCCGAACGGGCAGGAGCCTCTGACCTGGGAACTTCAAGGCACACAGCCTGGTGTTCGCTGGGTCGCAGTTGATCTTCCCTCTTCGTAGCTCTGTTCTTTCTCTTTCTCCTTCGGTTGCTCTCGTTACCCTTGGGCTTCAATCTCGTCACCCTTGTGCTTCAACACACTTGATCAGATCACCTCCATCCTCGTACTTCATCATACATCCCAACAGTCAACAGAGTGCTATCCTATCTGCATAGGTGCGTGTAGGATAAACTTCCGACCGATCCTCATCCCCCTCTGGTCTTGAATCTGATAGCGTCGGACAACATTCTTCATCATCCGAGTCATCAACAAGAACAGCAATACGTCAATGCCGTCCTTCCTCTCTGAAATTGATGTATGTATGTGAAACAATATCAATGCAGCTGGAGGTTTGGAACACTGGAAACTACACCTTTTTTGAGGTATCTTGTGGCACCAATATGACCAACAGCATCTGTAATTCATCGATCACAGCATCAAGTAAACGAGCGGCACCATCGCGGCCTCCCCACTGAGCACCCATCACTGTTTCCTCCTCGCGTATTGTCAGGCAGTCGCTAACTTGGCCTAAGCCACAGTATTTCGCCATAACAGCAACCAATCTAGGGAGATCGGTCCAGAATGTGGTGTACTGGTTGAGGATTGATTCAAGCAGTTGTGGTTTTCGAAAGATGTAACCCTTCGACATGGGCAATTCGGCATCTTCTGTATCCCATAATGCCCACAACTTCTGATCCTCTTGTGACATTCGTTGCGGGCTTATTGGCCCTGACGGACGGCTTGCGACGATGTAAAGAACAGTGAAGACAACTTGTTCGATAACGTGCCAAACCTCCTGCTTGATCCTAGGCTTGTTGCAAGATCTCGGCAGTGTCGGAAGGATCGCCCGGGCCATTGTTGCCAGTGTGCCCTGCACATGCGGCACAAATAAAGTCAGGAGAGGCAGAAATAAGGCATACTTAAGAAATTACACTTACTACTGCTTCAAGACGGTCTTGCTCGGACAACGGATCATCCAAGAAGCAAGGCCAGTTGGAGAGCGTCAAACAGCCTGTGCCGTCGGCGGTGATGCCGATGTTATCGACTGAAATGTCCAGATTCAGTATATTGAGCCTGTAAAGAGTGCGCACGCCTGTGTTGGGCCATACCACTAATGGTTGAATCAGTTCTTACTCTTCTGTAATTAGAAGAGCGAGGGTCACTACGTACCTTTGAATACGTCTACAATTATCCGAGTCAAGTGCTTCGTAGACTGAGCTTGCATAATCGACTCGAAAAGCTCATCATACTTGACGTATTGAATCGCTCTCGGCACAGTTCCACATCACGCATCACCACCGCCCACAGCGACCGGAGCGCTGCGATAGGCTTGAGGATCCCGAAAGATCATATCTACCACCGCGAGACCCTCCCGCTCGTGTGGCTGCAGAGAATGCACTCGTTTCAGGAGTTCATGTGTCCTCTCGGCTAGATCTTGGTCGACGAGCGAGAAGACGACGGAGTGCTCCGGTGAGCCACCAAACGAAGCTTGGCTAGTACCCGTCTCAACGTTGTTGAAGACTCCGGAATAGCAAATAGCTCGGGGCCCGGTCATTGCATCATCGTTGCGGTGGGTCGGTTGCCACAGACAAACTCCTTGATGTTTTGGTCTTGGGCTCGAGAAAGTTGTGCTGGGGCGCTCGTATGTGATGGGCGGTAGGGTGTCCACTGTGATGGGATAGCTTGGGCCAGAAGCGATGACGCCGAGGTCGAGCTCGGGAGCGACAACGAGTCGGACCAAGAATCTCAAAAGGGTTTTGTAGCCGTTTGTTTTCGAACAGTCAAACTCGTTTGTCTTGAAGACGCCGCTTGCCGAGTGGATAAGAACGCGGAACTGCGATCCCACCAGCGTGAAGCCGTACGTGAATTCACGCAGAGCATTTGCTAATTTCAGACGATAGAACCTCCGCACACTCTGCCAAACGGCAGAGCCTCCTTTGTTCCCCTTTTTCAATTCTCCAGGCGCGAGTACGTGATTCAGTTGGCGAAGATCTTCCGGACGCTTGCCTAACCGAATCCCCTCCCTCCTCCATTCATCATCTGACATTGCCCAGACCCTCTCGATTGGCTCCGTCGACGCAAAGGAGAAGAGAGCGACCGCGTCCGGTGCGTGATCGTCGTGAGGGAGCTGGCCGGCCGAGGTCGGAACGACGATGTTCAAAAAACCACTTGCAACGATATGACGTATAGCCGGACCCTGTTGCGCCAGCAGAAGATTCATTTATTAAGCAATGTATTGGGTAACTTGTATTGTGCAACGACATAGCAGACTCACAACCGCATTGATTTGGGCAAAGAGGTCTTTCATCGGCTCTTCCTCCCCCCAAGTACCCGAAAAGGCGACATGCTCGACCAAGTCGTCTAACTCGGGAGCTGGAGTTGCCACAAACATGTGCAGGTTTCGCGAGAACTCAATACGACCGCCCAGCTCCTGCCTAAGTCGGTCATGGATGACCTCCTTGCGGTTGGTGTAGATGCCGGGAGCAATGCTCCTTGAGTACTTCAAGTTGACGGGAGCATCGTTGGGCTTCACTGCTCTCAAAAAGCTCCGTCAGAGTCCTGAATGGTGTAGCGGGTTTCGAATACAAAAAATGTCTCATTCACACTCACTGATAACTCTGGTGCCTGCGTGAAAGACCAGACCGTGGGAGATTGCGCTTGTAGCGGACAGCGAGGAGGAAAAACAGCTGCGAGATGCCTCCCGGCGTGGGATAGGTCGGGCGTGTGTGGGCTGAATGAGGACAAAAGGCGACAGCGCAGACTGGAGCACAGAATGTGATGGCAAGTGTACCGAAGAAAATATGCGAATGGCAGGGTGTACGTGGTGCACCGAGACGTGTAGTTGGCGGCAAGAGCGTGAAAGGTGAGCTTGCCTCAACGTTGCATCAACCTCTACTTCGGTCACCGAGGACGGGCGACGCGCGTAATCGCAGACGATGCGATAGGACGCGATTATGACTTGTGGGCGGGTCACCGGCCGTCACTTCACCAGCTCGCAGGTCGCAGTGCCAAGGGTTCTCATAGGACCAGAATACCGGAGGATCGGATTAGATCCGTTTTTTTTCCCATCTCGCGTTGATCGATCCTTTCTTGATCCCATCCAGAAAGATCAATTTGATCTGAGACATTCAGCTGCCTTATATTGCGACAGATATCACCTCAGGCGTACCTTCAAAGATACAGTGTAGACCGCGCGCGCGAGCGCGCCAAAAACTTCGATCCTCAGCGGCTTTCGCACTGGGGTTGGTCGCCCAATACCGCGGTAGCCAGGACTCCACATCCCGGGGCCGTCAAGGGGACAGCAGTGTGTGTAGTCCAGCTACGAGATTGTTGCAATGGGTCCAATCCCCTAAAAATACTTCCCAAGCTGCCACGTGATGCCACTTCGAATAAATTCGTCTTGTCAGAGTCTCGATGGCCTCCGAGCTGAGTCTGCGGCCCTGCCAGGAACTTTACCACGCGCGCTTCAGAACAATCTAGAGCAATTCAGAGCCGATTAAATAACCAGCAGTGGGAACCCGTTAAAGTAACGGGAGGACGAAGTTCAAATAGCAGGAGAATTGAACAGTCTACAAAAAGTCACGTGAGAAGAATCAAACGGTTTACATGGTCTCAGTGGAGGTAAAAGACACAATACGAAGTACAGCATAGAAACTATTCTCCATTCATTGCCCTGAGAACAGAGCGGAATACTGGGTTTGGGGTCACGAACCCTGCGGCTGCCGTTCGATCGACGGCAGGTAGGTCGTCGTCATCATCGGCGGGGTCGCGAGAGGGCAGTAGCACCTTAATTCGATCAATACTCATGGCTCGAGACAATGCCACATACAGCTGCCCATGAGTGAAGACGGGATGTAGGGAGAGATCGACGCCAACACGATCAAGTGATTGACCTTGGGCGTTGTTGATCGTCATGGCCAAGGCAACGCGAAGCGGGAATTGGAGCCGGCGCATAGTGAAACCAAGTTGGCGACTGCTATTCGCATTTGTCTCAAGTCGCACGCGAGGGATGAAGACCGTGGTGCCCGCTCGATCTCCGGTCAAGATGATGGCTTGAATGACTCGCGATCTTGCGTGCGACACGATCAGGCGGGTACCGTTGCAGAGGCCCGCGTCTGGGTCCAAATTGCGAAGCAGAACGACCGGGATTCCTTCCTTGAGACGCAAGTGATGCGCCGGGAAGTTGGATGGGTTGACTGAATGTAGATACTCTGGCGAAATCAATTCAGGCGCCATTCCACCCCCAGCTCGGCTTGTATACATGTAAGGATATATCCTTACACATGAGTTAAGGTCAATACACAACCAAATCTGTTCATCTTGATATTGTAACATCAACATATACCTATTTCTGAATGGTGTCTGCAAGGACTACATGATAGCACGTGTATTGCAAGACTTGTAGTGATTCAAAATTTCTGTGTCCTTACCGCACCTCCCGTATCCTTACCGCACCCTCGTATCCTTACATGTGTCGACATGTGTAAGGATACGCGCGCGCGCGCACGTGACATGCGTAAGGATACGCCCGCGCGCGCACGTGACATGTGTAAGGATACGCCCGCGCGCGCACGTGCCATGTGGAACGACAGGAGGCGCACTCAGCTCGAAGCCTTCGTTCACATTTGTTCACCTAATTGTCCCCACACCGCCCATCGACGTCAACACCGTGGCACTGTTTGACTTTTGCGAACCAGCCAATTGCGACCTCCAGCTTTGTGCCAGCAGGCACGGACTCAAATCTTTCATCAATGAGATTGCGGAACCGCCAACTTCCCGACCGTGACGCCGGGCCCTGGGCTCGGACTCGTTCTGGAGCTGGAGACCGGCCCCAATGGCGGACTCCCAAGTCGAGATTCAAAGTCCCAAGCATCAAACGCCAATCAACGGTAGGAACCAATCGTCGAATCAGGAAAGGAAACGGCCAGTCGGTCCCCGAGTCGGCAAACTCAGCGCATCCTCAGGACGATTCTGGCGACCTTGAAGCTGAAGCATTGACCTGCACGGTGTCCGCGCCGCGGCTATCGAAATCCCCGACTCCAACAGGAGATTCTCCTATCTCCGATCGTACAAGCGACTTGCCTAATTGCATCAAGTCCGCAGAGGACTGCGAGGAGAATTATGACAATTATGTGGACGATAAGCACAACGATCACAAGGACGACCGTGACAATGACTCACCTTGTTCCACTCGGCTCGCCCACGACACTCCCTTCCACCACACCATCAAGCACGAGAAGTCAACAATGCCCCTCCTGTGCTCCCAGAACAACGATCCCGGTTGGCCGTCGCTGCGCAGTCAAAGCAGTGTTGAGAGTGTGAATTCCGCTTCTACCCTCCAAGTCGGCTCACTTTCACCAGCATTAGCTCCGAACCTCTCCAGTCTAAGCGTTTCACAACCCAAGGCTATTCCAAAGGACAGCTCCATTCTTCCCAAGCATCAACATACGACTCTTGAGCTTGAAGGTACGCCACATGTGTTGTCTAGATGGTAGGCCATCGGTAACAAGGCGAGGCGCGCGCCCGGAGGCTCGATTGGTTTTAAGGCAGTGGATTAAACTTAGTGTCTGAGTGGATTATAGTCTTGCGCGTGGGCCTATGCCTTCGCAAAGCGGACTCCCTTGTTTATCTTTTCTTTAATCACTTGTTCCTTGACTATCGGTTCTGACACTGCGCTGCGTATCATCCTGTCGCTGCCACCTGTATAGGTTAGTTGCAATACTTCAATCACTTGTTCCGCAACTATCGGTGTGATCAACATCAACAATATGTACCCGGAACATTCACTGGCCCCAGCTGAGCTACGCTTCGGTGTTTCGGACCAAATGTCAGAGATGGTCTGGCGCCTTCGGTCAGGAGTGTACAACATCAACAATTCACATTTCGTTACGAACGCGACGGTTGGATACGGACAAGAGGCCACATGCTATCATTTCGACGCAATCAAAGGCTCTCTGGCTAGGCCGATAGGGGACAGGAACGCTGGCGGATTAGTTTCCGTGCTTTTCTACGAGCTAGAAGAGGAGTCATTTGACTTCTTGCAAGCCTTCAACCTATTTCTAACACGGCAGTGGCACGAAATGTGGAGTCTATACCATGAGCCCTCCGATCCTACCGATATCGGCATCAAAGTGTCAAGTCTACCACCCAAAGGGACCCTTGAAGAAGGACAAGGTGTCTGGAAGATGGAAGATGCGTCGGCTTTTTTTCATGAATGCGAGACAGTGAGTGTCGGGAACGCCAAGAAAGCAGATCAATACAGCTGAGGAAGCTCTCCTCTTACAATATTTTTCAGCGGTGCAGTGCTCCTGGAGGAACTTACAGTGGGGAACATTCATGTTGATGGCAAGTTTGACTCACGAAGTTGTGCCCCAGTGGTCCAGTGAAGTTTTGGCCTTGTCAATCACTAATGTAGTGTACAGTAGGGGCTATTATAGCGGTCAGCAATAGTATGTATAACTAAAATTAGTGCAAAAATGGGCATGGCAATACTTTGACAACCACTGGTGTGCGGAAAGAGTCAATTATTCACCAGCAGCAGCCAGTGCTCTTTGCGCGCGAGCGTATCCTTACGCATGGCACGTGCGCGCGCGCGCGTATCCTTACACATGTCGACACATGTAAGGATACGAGGGTGCGGTAAGGATACGGGAGGTGCGGTAAGGACACAGAAATTTTGAATCACTACAAGTCTTGCAATACACATGCTATCATGTAGTCCTTGCAGACACCATTCAGAAATAGTTATATGTTGATGTTACAATATCAAGATGAACAGATTTGGTTGTGTATTGACCTTAACTTATGTGTAAGGATATATCCTTACATGTGTCGTGGCCGCCCCCAGCTTCGCCTGCCTCGACGACCTCGTCTGCGCTGCGATACTCGATGTAGTCGCCATCGAACTCTCCAAGCAGCTTGGCATTGATGCGATCGACCGTTGCGTTGTGCGGAGCTAGGATTGCCTGACGTGAGAACAGCTGAATTAGGTCTTCAATGGACTCCTTGTTCACGGTCCTTAGACCGGGGTAGACAAAGTTGATCAACCCTTCGGCCGTTCTTTGACCGTCCGGAAGCAGCAGGTAATCAGGCAGCTGCGAAACGAATAGAAGGGGTCTTAGTGTCGGTCGGTTGGGTAAAAGAGGAGAGCCAAACGTACTGCAATCTTGTCGTATGGGTGCATGTTGGCAGTTCCATCTCCCACGGTGAGTAGCCATTCCGCAAATTCGCGCGTTCGAGCCAATTGAGCCTCGTCCATCGCATCAGCGTTCGAGCTGAGACGCATGTTTTCGGTAAGTCGCAAGATACGAACGTCGCGCCAGAAGTCTGCCTTGATGAGGGATGCATCGACGATTTGACCGGGAGTTCCTTTGGGAACGACAGGAAGGCACTGGCGAAAGTCCCCTGCAAATTGGAAACCTCGTTAGCATGCCGTCGTTCAGAGCGGAGGCGGAAGAGCCCAACTGACCCGCAAAGATTGTTGTCACCCCGCCGAAGAGCTCCTCGGTCTCTCGGAGATCACGCAGTAAACGGTCGACCGCTTCCATCGCGAATCGATGCGCCTTTGGTGCTTCATCCCAAATGATGAGCTTGGTGCTACGCAGCATCAGCGCGAGATCACTCTCCCTGTCGACCGGGCACGTCGAGGTTGGCAAGGTGTCGAGTGGGATTCGAAAAGTCGAATGCGCCGTGTGTCCTCCCTTGAGAAGCAACGCCGCTACTCCGGACGACGCGACTGCGATCGCTTGGTCGCCTCGAGCTCGCACAGTATCGAGAAGGGCATTTTTTACGAAAGTGTTGCCAGTGCCCCCAGGTGCCAGCAGGAAAAACACATGCTGCGGCCCAAGATTGTTGTCGCGCATCTGATCGACGACGTCGAGCTCGACCGCGCGAAGAAACTCGTCAAATGCAATTCGTTGGTCGTGATTCAGACGGGCACGCGCCGCTTCGCCATCTTGCGCACGTTGCTGGCGATCAAAACGCGGAAGCCGTTCCTCGAGACGATCAAACGGCCGTACTTCGTCGTCGGTCAGCTCGGGAAGATCAAAGAAGGCCAAAGTTCGATCGTTTGCCGCAAGGAGGAGACGAATCTTGTTGAGCGTCCACAGGCGGATGGTTTCATCGTTGACGGGCACGTCTTCATAGCGTTCGATGTGATAACGGGCATCATCGCTAAGAGAAGCAAAGTGACGATCCAACAAAGCTGGCGGGTTGGCAACCGTCGCATGGATGAGTATGAACACAAATAATCGGCGTAGTTGGTCACCGGTTTCAATCTGTGCAGCTTCCCTGAGACAGCTGTGATGCTCGCCATCGTCGGCGAGAAGTCCGCGAGCGGCGCAAGCGGCGCGATAGGAAGGATACACGACGTCTTCGAACATGAGCAGATCCGCAAACGATGTCGGGCCCATGACGACCTCGAGGAGCAGTCTGAGGTAGAACCGCTCCCACTACGCAGTGGCACGGTGTAAATTCGTCCGATGACATTGCGATCACGAACTCGGCGCTTCCAGGCAGCTTCTCCTTGTCCCAGGAGTAGTAGCGGGGAACATTCGTGTAGAGCAACGTGGTAGTGAGCTCGCCGTCGGGAGCTGCGGCGCACAGGTCGAAGAAGCCGGTCAGTTTGGAGCGAGTGGGCGGAGTGTCAAGGGGCAGTGCTTCATTGGGATTGATCTGCACAGATTGTTGATTCTCCAGATGGACCGGTAGTCGATTGACGGGCGGCCACACTCTACCGACCGAGAATCCGAATAGGCGGTGGACCGCTTCTGGAGCACTGATGTAGCGACCTTCGACGAACTCGTTGATCTCATCTCGAACCGGTTCCTCCTTGCGGGCCCCTTCACCGTTCGCTGCATGCTCAACACGCGCCACAGCTCGATCCGGACCTTTGTACACATACTTGAAGAGGTACTTGGTTGCGCCAATTGTTGTCACAGCCTCCACATTGATATGCGCGTTGTACTTGGCGGAGAGATAAGGCGAGTACGGCACGCAGTCACCATCGTTGTAGATGACACCCCCCTTGACGACGGCGTGGCGAAAGCGTCGGCGATACAACGGGTAGCCATCAGGGTGCATGCGGGTGTGGGGGTTCTGTTTGCGAGGAAAACGGCGCTTGCACCTCGGGTTACCGTACTTGTCCTTCTCCATGCAGGGCTGAGTCGAGTTTCCGCCACACTTGCCATGTAGCATGTGCTTTGTAACGGTCTCGTGGAGATCAGGATAGCGCGAAGAATCGGGTATCTCGGCTGAAATCATCTTGTCTATCGCTTCCGTCGACGAAGGATGATCATCCGGCGCGAGGGTGAGAAGGACATGGGCATGTGGCAGGCTCCGCTTCTGATACTCGATCACATGTGTATGCGTCAGAACGACGCTGACACAGCCTGCACGTTGCTTGTTGCCAAAAACATCGTCGCAGAGTCGGTTTAGCTTGGCTTCAAACACTCGTGCAATGAGATCCGGACGGTTGCATGCTTTGTCGTTCGGCCCGAGTGCAGCTTTGATTTCCGGCCATTCGGGGTTGCACGTCACCGTGATGAACAGCAAAGGCTTTCCATATTTGACGACGCAAGCCATCGCGTCTTGGTAACGCTGCGTAATCTCGCGCGGGCTATTCTTGAACGTCGAGCCCAAAATCACCGAACGTCCAATTTGATCCGGGGCCAGGCCGTTGGCAACAGCGTCGGTGATGCCTTGGGCCGTGGTGAGGCGGAGACTTTCTTGATGCAACCGGATGTAGTTGGAGTCGATCGGTCTCGACTTGGGAGTATCCGTCGATCACGAACTCGAGGAAGAGGCGCTAGGTGGCATGCGGGACCGAGAAGTAGTCGTCGCGTTCGTGCAAGTAATATGCAAAGAATTGGGAACGCGAGGCTCGGGTTGATCCACCTCGACCCCTCTTGCTTGATCTTCGTCCTAAATTTTCAGACCATTGATGTCAGTCTGAGGGTGCGTATCAACAGAGAGGTATGTGAGAATGACTCGAAGACGCTTAGCTTACGTTCATCATCACCATTCTCTTCGTCCACCTCGTCATCTTCATCCTCATCATCGCGGTCTTCGCCCTCCTCTTCGTCTTCTTCATACGGACCGAGACCGGCAAGTAGCTCGCGCAATTGGACACCATTGTCGATCTGCTCTCGGTTTCTGGCGATGGGCGGCCCAGCTTGGTTGAATCCGCAAAGAGGAATGTTGGGGTGGAACCATCTTCCCCCGCGGGGAAGAGTAGTGGGTACCGGAGAGGCATCGCAGACGGATGGAGCGAGCTGACGATTTGGTACTTGGGCCGACCATCGAGACATCGATCGCCGTGCACCTGGAGAATAAGGTCTTGCGGTCCACGATCTCCCGTGTTGGTGTCGGAATCGCAGATAAGCATCGGCATTTCCGTGCTTGACGTAGGAAGGTTGTGGGTGCGTCGGTCTCGGCCTGGCGGGAGGTAGAGGCGCAGGATCCACTCTTTGGCCGTATCCCAACCTGCGCGAGCTTTGGCCGATGCGAACTCCCTCACAAAGCGATTGCCGGTGCGCAACATGGATTCGAGCTTGGTCAATGTTGATCTTTGTACGCGATTGTCCGCGCTGTCGGGCCCAAGTCGAGTGTCGGTGGCCTCGGCCGGGTCGATGAGCCATGTTTGAGCAAAGGCTGGGCGTTGATTGACGGCAGGGATCAGGGCGCCAAGTCGATGATAAAGTCGACCAAATACACGAAACACGGGTGGTCCTAGCGTGCCCACTGGAGTTTGGTCCCAGTGGGCAGCGAGCGAAGTAAACGACAACGCGTTGTTGTACGACCGGGCGTTCTCGCGGAACGCTTTAGCTTCTGGGTGTGTGGAAGATTGTCGCTGTCGCACAGTTCAGCATGTGGGTCTACTGCAGACGAATATTGTTGGACGGAGCAACTGACCGCTCTCCGAGCCTTCAAGAAGCTGCCGATACTCGAGATTGGGCTGGGGAGGGGGAGGTAGCCGTACCTTGCCCTGCGAGCAGCACGTGCTGAAGTGTCCGGTCGACTTGGACCTTTCGCACTCCCAGTGTCGAGCCTTGCAGTGAGTGCACACGGCCGTCTGAGGGCCGAGGTCATCGCGGATTGAGACGCGGGGCTTGAGTGGTTTAAGGGCGATTCTAGCTCTGCGGGGTCTCCGCTGGTCTTGACCCGCAGCAGGAGGTGCACGTGGAGGTGGGGCGTGAGGGTTGCGTTCAGCGTCGGGTCGGCCGTCGCGGACAGCTGCACGGCGGCCTCGTATACGGGTCGCAATACCAAGATCGGTTGTGTTGTTGTCAATACGCGCGGGGGGCTGATTCTGTTGATCGGAGCGGGCGGAAGAGGAGGGTCGAGCAGCGGGACGCCCAGCAGCTGGCGCTCGAGCAGGCCCATGATGGCCCTCCCTGACGACCTTGGGACCGGGGCATAACGATGCCGATGGTTTCGCCCTGAATGAGTGTCACTAAAATTCGATGAGAGAGGGAGGGAAAGGAAAGAACTAAGAGAGTAGAGCGGGACTATTTACAACCCCTGGAAGATCATGTTGTTTTTCAGCCCCTAAAACCGGTGCCGCGTTGTAAACAGTCCGTCACGTGATCGACCCGCGCCCGCGTCCGCGCGTCAACGACAGCGAGACCACGCCTGAGCTCTGTAGAAGGAGTGTCATGCAAACCCACGCGCTTGCTATACATTAAATCCTACACAAACAGCTTAATAGTTCCCCACCATGTCAAAAATCGACAAAAATCGTAGTCAAGCTGTAGGTCGACTTTTATGGTCCAGAAAATGCAGAAAGGGTCGTACATGACTTCTGGTCGAGACGCCGATACCACAGGCAGGTGCGGCAGACTCAATAGTGTACAGGTACATTCATCAGTTGCGGCCCTCCGGCCCGCAACACAGTCAAAAACAGCGATTTTAGGTACATGGTCGCGGATCGACCTTTTTTTTTTACTAGACTAGACTAGATAGAGTAATAGAGTAATCTTTTGGGCAGCTTTTGTACAACGCTGGTTGAAAAGTGCGCGCACAACGAGGGGAAAGAGGCGAAGAGGGCGCGCGACCGACACGTGACGTGTGCTTAAGCTAGCTCAGGCCACGGCGAGCCACGGCCACTATGTGCCAAAAAGTTTGCGCGATTGAGATGTCCCGAATCACCACTGTTCCACATTATTTTAAAATTGGGAAACATCAGACCTTTTGAGTACTGGGTATAGCTTGATCAACGAAGTCATGTCGGTCCGTATTATGCATCTGTCGCTGTTGACCGCCCCGGGATGTGGAGTCCTGGCTATCCGGGTATTGGGCGACCATTCCTCGTGTGAAACTCGCTGAGGATCGAGGTTTTTGGCGCGCTCGCTCGCGCGGTCTACACTGTATCTTTGAAGGTACGCCTGAGGTGCGGTTCGGCTCGACCCGATTCGACCCCGTCCCATGGCGTGCGCGACGGGTGAGGCAAAACTCACTTGACCATTGCATTCCAATCTCGAATCTCGAATAAAACAGGTAATATCTCGCCTTGTCCCTTTGTTTCGACATCAACGCTAGCCGAGAGGTTCCTTTTCGTATCAAAGGTTTCTTGAAAGATTCCGAGCCACCCATTTTCCAGCTTGCTTTGAAGGATCAGAACCTCTCGAAGACCTGACTCGAAGACGTGGTCAATGAAGAGATCCTGGAACGACTGCGCACATTGATTTGGACGTGAAAATTCAAAAAAACAAAACATTATGCCATATGGTGCGATACAATGATGATTCGAACCAAAGAGTAGGAGCATAGAACGCTTGTATTTCCTACACGATGGGTCGCAACTAAGGCCCATCTCGGCTCAGAGATGACCCCGCCCCCACACACGCGCCGACTAATCTCAGAAAAAGGATCGCACAGAGCCGCAACATGGGACAATGTCACACAAAATTGAATCTCCATGATCAGTCGAACCTAGCATGGGTTTTATCCATTTCCATCTCGGCCTTGCTTTCGTAAGGTTTACGGTCGGAAAACGATATGCAAAACTTTACAACTGGTCAAATGAATGGCATATAGAGTCAAAGCATCTATACAATGACAGGCGAAGTCGGCACCATTTCCCGGTTTTTCTGCGCAGTCTTCCCCAACAATTCCTCCAGGTCTGCAATAAGGTGGTCGTAGGAGAGTTCACCTGTCCCCCATCCACTCTCGAGGCATTCTTCCTCTGCGACCTTGTCGTACATGACGATCGATAAGCCTAGTCCGCAATACTTCGCGACCGTGGCGATGAGATCAGGAATGCCTTGCCAGAATTCCAAACTCGAATCCAACAACTTGGTCCGATTCGACTCCACTTGAACAAACGTTTCTTTTGAAAGGAATGCCAGATAGGCCTCACCTTCCATTGTCCAATCCTCCCAAACCGAAGCGGCCTTGTCCGACATTCCGGTCGAATCACCTGGCCCCTTAGGTCGGGCGAGAACAACACAAAAGAGAGTGTAGACCAGCTGCTCAATGTCGTGCCAAGGTTGATGCAAGATTTCGCCGGCATATTGGATGAGATGCCGGGGTCGGAAGGCGAACGTGCCCTGTGGGGAGTGATTGAACGAGGCTCTGGTCAGTGGAGCAGCAGTGGAGCGCCGCGATATCAGAACGAGACCTCACACGTCGCTTCAGGCGCGCAGCTTCACCAGAAGGGCCGTCCATAAACACGGCGACATCATAATCGATCAGTACGCCCTCACCACCGGGTCCGATCATAATATTGCCCGGTGAGACATCGCAGTGTAGGATCCGCATTCGGTACAGACTGCGCAGACCTGGAAGGAGACCAATCCGGCATCAGATGTCGCTCAACCCTGATTGACATCAGACTGATAAGAGCGGACTGCAACAGACCTTTGGCCACCCCAAGCACCGCTCGGACGAGCGCCTCGGTCGAATCCACAGTCCAGATTGGCTCGAGGCAGCGCTCCTGAAAAACGACCTCCATCGCTCTCGGCTTGAGCTCGCAATTTTCGGCGTCAAGATCGCCTTTGAGGAAGTGTGGCACAAGGGTAAAGTCGACTTCTCGATACACGTCCACAAAGTTTGTGAGACCTTCGCGATCCTCGGGTGACGCCGATGCGATCGCCAGACGGATCCGATCATGTACGTCGCAAAAGGTCTCCTCAAAGAACGACACCGTCATTGCGTATTCGCGATTGTCACCTGGTTCGTCCCGGATCGCTCGGACTCGTGAAGCGGATTTCTGCAAGCCGAGGACCTCGCCACTGCAAAAGACCGTCTTCTCAATCTCGATTGAGCCCATCGTGGGTACTTTGGCGAGGTGACGAGCGAAAGATGGCACCCGCGGTGGAAGCACAGCCGTCGGGAATGGCAGCGGCGGGCCGTCGGGTCCTCCAGGCGAGGCAATCTTGCCGAGGTCAATATCATTCAAGCTGAGAAGGCGCTCGATGAACGTCGAGAGGTGCCCATTCGCTTCGGTGCATTCGATGTCGGACGAGTAGAACAGACCCGCTGGGGTGTGGAGGTAGAGGGTCAAGATCGAGCCGTCGAGCGTGAAGCCGAACGTGTGAGAGCGGATCGGTGACTCGGCAGCGAGCATGCGCAGGTGGTGTTTCAATCGCGTGGCTGGGAATACACATTCGTATTCGGAGGTGTCGTCGCTTTTCTTCATGCCACCCAGTACGCCAATCGCGGCAACTTGTTCCCAGTCGAGGACACCGTTCTCTCCATCATCGAGGTGATCCTGGGCCCAAGCCGAAGCGAGCTCAGGATTGGCATCGAAGGCTTGTCGCGACAGCACGACGAAATCGGGGAACTCGTTGCGGTCGTACAACTTGCGATCTTGGTCAAGAGGGGTTTCACGAGTCTTCCTAGTGGTTCCTGTCCGACCCAGATCGTTGGTAGGTCAAGAACGCCGAAGAGCAGTAGAAGTAACATTGCTTTGGAAGAGATGCTCACCAAATTTGCATCACCCAAATGCCACGTGATCTCCGGCGCCATCTGATTCATCGTTGACTCATCTTGGCCGAGATCCGCCACGGCCGGCGCGGGACCATTGCCACTGGAGATTGGGCTCAGAAAAAAGTCCTTCATTGGAGACCACTCGAATTCATAGCCTTGAAATCCGGTCAGGTCTTCCGAGCTGGAAGGGAACATCCATGTGCGCAGGACCCAAGGGAGTCGAGCGGTGAAAGAGCGAGTCGGAGGCGGCGAGGGCACAGGTGGCGGGACCTTTGGCGATGTGGTCGGCAATCCTGGTGGCGATCTCATCGCTGACCCTGCTGGCGAAGTAGAGGGTGATTCTGTGAAGGGCCCTTTCGGCGAGCCCATCGATGGAGCGGTAATTGCTTTCGTAGAGCCACGCGTTCGGCGAGATGCCGGCGAGGACGTGGTCGACGTGGGTGAGCTGGAATGCTGCAGTGCTGTGCGACATCTCGGGCGCGGTTTGCAGACGGTGACGCCGGGTGACGCATTTGTCGCCAGACTGCGCGCCAGCCATCGACAGAACACAAAGAGAATTTGAGCGTGGCGGTGTAGTTGTCAGCTGGTTCAGTTGAAGTTTCGCGTGCTTTAGCCTGTATCCGCGTAAACGACACCGGGATTGTGACAGCTCAACATGAGCAGCAACAGGCGGGGGTCCCTGTCAGGGCGAATGAGCTATGACCCACACGGAGAGGGCCCAGGACCGCAAGATCTTCAAATTCTCCAGGTGCACAGTGATCGATGTCCTGATGGTCGGCCCAAGTACCACTGCAAATCGTTAGCTCGCTCGATCCGTCTGCGATGCCTCTCCGATATCCACTACGTTGCTCTGTCGGAGAAGATGGCTGCCACCCCAACATTCCTCTTTGTAGGTTCAACCAAGCTGGGGCACCCTTCGCCGGAAGACCGCCTTGATGAGGATGAAGACGACGAGGAAGAAGACGAAGAGAATGGTGACGGTGAACGTAAGCGTCTTACGGTCTCGTCCGAGTTGTTTGACATCGCGTCCAGCGCGGCCAAACCAGATCCCGATGAGTCTGTTAACGCCTGGGGTCAGCATCAATGTGAAGCTGGGTCAGACTACTGCATGTCCTTCGACACGACCAAGGATCGCTGGGCTACTCTCCAACTACTAGGTCGCCAACTCGATCACTTGCTCACGTTCGACGAATCGCAGCCGGCCTCGTTCCTGTATGCCGCCCTAGCCCTGATGTCTGACATCTTTAAAAAAGATCAATGCGAATGAAGCGTATCTACAACACTTTTCCCGGGTCGCCATGCGCGCTACGTCGAAAAGCTGGCCCCTTGTGGCTTGAGTACGACATCAGCGAATGGGCGAGCTTCTGGACTCACTTGACGAGGACATGTAGCGAGCGATACGGCGTCGGACAGCATCATCATCGTCGAAGTTTAGGACTTGAACTTGAACCTGGAGGCCACTGTACCCACGGCCAAACACCGATGCTGTTGTCGCACCCGAGACCATTTGAGATACACGGCGAGTGCCTTCCCACTGTCAACCAAGTTGTAGACCTCTTCCAAGGCCGAGCTCGAGGCGATGTTCGCCTTCATGGAAGAAAATAGGAAGGATAATTCTCTACTGAATCCTCCACTACCCTTGCCGATGTCGTTCGTGACGCTTACTCCAAGGTCTCGACCAAGTACCAGAAGCGCCCACTCGCCGAATCGAGTGGGAATTTCACGACAACATCGCGAAACATTCTCTTAACAGCGTGGCCAGCCTTCGACACATGTCGCGAATCATCAGACTCCGACGGTCGCGCCTCAAACGACTAGGATTTTCGCTCGACACCACCCGACGACTTTCAGACGTTCGCGGCCAACTGATCCAGCACCCGTTCCGCGCTCCTTCTGCATCGTTTGCGGATCGACATCCTTGGACCATCCACCCACCCAACTCTGCCACGAATTCGATCCGGAGGCCTTCACTCGTTCCTCGTCCGGAGCTTTATATCACGAATCCTCCAAACCCCAGGTGTGCTTTGCCTTCACCCGGTGACCAGTGCAGCTCGTCGGCCTAACTTTAAACCCTCTTTCAAAAACATTACAGTAGTGCGATTTGCAAATGGACATTGTAAACCTGATATAGGCTGCAAAAGATGGTCTAAGAGCTCGGTGTAGCAGGTTATATATCCACTGCAGCTGGAGACCATGGCACTGGTCAGTGGTGACTGACCCTGCTGCGCCCGTAGACGCGTGCCGGTACGCGCGGGCGTTCCAGCACTTCAACGAGCTCTGCATAACTCATCAGCCACCATCCTACCCTCGTGCGATTCACCTATCTCCGGTAGGTCCTCTCTCCCGTTCGCTGCTGATATTGACAACATGCGATACCACTGGCCCTGCTGTGGAGGCACTGCAGGAATCGGCACGCAAGGGCTAACAGACTAAACTGACCAGTACTTTCCTCGTGAACCTACTTCTTTCCACCTCTCATTTCTGGTCCACCTTTCTTCCCTTCGTGGCGTGTCATGATTGACCGGCAGGGGAAAGGCTCCGCTCACGCCGACATGGGCGGTGCACAGCCTCCCGGATCCCGGCCTGCCGGGGTGCATTTCGGCTCACCTACCTCGACCACGTCGTCGCCCGCATCTCGCCGATCAGATGGCTCCACGAAAGCATCTACTACTTCATCGACAGGTTCACTGAAGGGGTGGCCCACAGAATCACCGATCCCGTCGCCGTCGTCGTCCCCACCGAAACCTCTGGCTTACTCATTTGCCGCACGGCGGCCTTGGGCTTTACGCACATGGATGTTCCCTTCTAGCTCGGAGGACAACACTGGTTTCCGCGGCCATGAAATCAAGTGGCCTCCACTAGAGGACTTCTTTCTCGGCCCCGACGTTGATGCCCGGGCGGCGCGCCTCGGCGAGTCTGAGTCAACGATAACCGAGCCGGCTCCCGGAATCACGTGGCATTCAGGCGAACCTGTATGGGTGAGTGAAGAATGCTTTGATGCGCTGCCACTGCATATACAATGTTATTGGGACTCACTCTGACGTGTCGCAGGAGCCGCAAGGACGACTCGTCAAAACCGCTCTCCGCCAGGAGAGCGACCTGTACGATCCCGCCGAGCTTCCCGATTTCGTCGTGCTCTCGCGCCAATCCTTCGGCGCCAATCCCGAGCTCGCTGCCGCTTGGGCCCACGACTACGTCGACGATGGGGTAGACATTCTTCGAGATTGGGAACAGATCGCAGCGGTTGGCGTACTGGGTGGTATGAAGAAAAGCGACGACACCTCCGAATACGAATGTGTATTCCCAGCCACGCGATTGAAACACCACCTGCGCATGCTCGCTGCCGAGTCACCGATCCGCTCTCACACGTTCGGCTTCACGCTCGACGGCTCGATCTTGACCCTCTACCTCCACACCCCAGCGGGTCTGTTCTACTCGTCCGATATCGAATGCACCGAAGCGAATGGGCACCTCTCGACGTTCCTCGAGCGCCTTCTCAGCTTGAATGATATTGATCTCGGCAAGATCGCCTCGCCTGGAGGACCCAATGGCCCGCCGCTGCCATTCCCGACCGCTGTGCTTCCACCGCGGGTGCCATCTTTCGCTCATCACCTCGCCAAAGTACCCACGATGGGCTCAATCGAGATTGAGAAGACGGTCTTTTGCAGTGGAGAGGTCCTCGGGTTGCAGACATCCGCTTCACGAGTCCGAGCGATCCGGGACGGACCAGGTGACAATCGCGAATACGCAATGACGGTGTCGTTTGTGGAAGAAGCGCGCTGCGACGAACACGATCAGATCCGGCAGATGATTGCCTCGGCATCACCCCACGAGCGCGAAGGTCTCACAAACTTTGTGGATGTGCATCGACATGACTTCACCCTTGTGCCCCACTTCCTCAAAGGCGATCTGGACGCCGAGGAATGCGCCAAAAAATGCGGGCTCAAGCCGAGGGCGATGGAGATCACTTTTCAGGAGCGCTGCTTCGAGCCGATCTGGGCCGTCGACTCGATTGAAGCGCTGACACGAGCAGTGCTGGGAGCGGTCAAAGGTTCGTTGCGATCCCGCCTGGGTCAAGGACTAACTGACCGGTTGGACTGTAACATCACAGGAAATCCGAAGCAATGCCTTCCCGTTATTCCATGGCTCGGTTCGGTGGAGTGACCGTCGTGTTGGCAGGTATGTGCCAATCTTTCAAAAGCAAAGCACAGGGAAGCATGACTAACTGACCGGTTGGACTGTAACATCACAGGAAATCCGAGGCAATGCCTTCTCGTTATTCTACGGCTCGGTTCGGCGGCTCGGTTCGGTGGAGTGACCGTCGTCTTGGCAGGTGGGTGCTAATCTTTCAAAACCAAAACGCAGGGCAGCAGGACTAACTGACCGGTTGGACTGTAACATCACAGGAAATCCGAGGGCAATGCCTTCCCGTTATTCCAAATCATCGCCTGCACATATCGTCGACGCTTGCATCATGAATGCTGACTTCTGGGGAGATCTCTCTGTAAGTAGTAGTCCTTGCCTGACTTTTGGACCCTATACTAACAACGGCACGGTGCGAGCGCAGACAAACATGCGTCTTCTGGCCGCTGCAGACCGCATGACCGGAACGGAACGGGCAAAAGCACAGGGCTTTGCAGATTGGCTCTTAGGAGTTGCAGACGGCACAGCGAACGAAACAGAAGACTTTCGCGCTCCCACGTGAGCTTCTCCTGCCGGCGACCACGACGAACAGATCCAGGTTGATCAGACACGTTTATCCCGGCCCCGCGCTCGAACTGGACAATATGTCGATAGGCGAAAAAGTCGAATACTTCCGAAATTCTGGCGCCCAAAGATTCGCAGGTGGATCAGATCAACGACATGGTGCTCGACCTGCTGCCGGGGGACGCTCAAACGTTCTACAGCCCGGATTCGGTCGTCGAAAACGAAGACGAATCACTGTTTTCGATCGAGTATCTTCAGAGTCTCAACATTGTCGGGATGGCGTTGCTCCACACTCGACGTGGGTCTTGACGACGGTCTGAGCCCATCATCGGGCTCCCGGAGAACATAAAAGTAGTTCAATGAGGAAATGAAGGCTCTTTACATTTGATCGTCGTCCCGCGGTGCTCTCCCGACTTGAACCACTAGGGATCCGTCACTCATCAGTACCGCAGCTGTTGCAGCAAAGTACATCAGATTTCACCGGGTCAACGGCTACGGTGTGAGGTGGCGCGCGGAGCGCGCCGCCGAACCTAGTCCTGTATATATATATGATGATATGTTTTACTTAGTATTCATTTATCCATTTCAGTAGGAAGAGCTAGCGTTTTGGCTAATAAAGTATAATGGACGAACTTTTAAAGTATTAACAGAAGGAAAATATCCGCCACTGCGACCTGCGAGCTGGTGAAGTGACGGCCGGTACTCCGCCCACAAATCATAATCTCGTCCTACCGCGTCGTCTGCATTACGCGCGTCGTCTGCGATTACGCGCGTCGCCCGTCCTCGGTGACCGAGGTGGAGGTTGATGCAACGTTGAGGCAAGCTCACCTTTCACGCTCTTGCCGCCAGCTAAACGTCTCGGTGCACCACGTACACCCTGCCATTCGCGCATTTTCTTCGGCGCACTTGCCACCACATTCTGTGCTCCAATCTGCGCTGTCGCCTTTTGTCCTCCCTCATTCAGCCCACACACGTCCGACATATCCCACGCCCGGAGGCATCTCGCAGCTGTTTTTCCTCCTCGCTGTCCGCTACAAGCGCAATCTCCCACGGTCTGGTCTTTCACGCAGGCACCAGAGTTATCAGTGAGTGTGAATGAGACATTTTTTGTATTCGAAACCCGCTACACCATTCAGGACTCTGACGGAGCTTTTTGAGAGCAGTGAAGCCCAACGATGCTCCCGTCAACTTGAAGTACTCAAGGAGCATTGCTCCCGGCATCTACACCAACCGCAAGGAGGTCATCCATGACCGACTTAGGCAGGAGCTGGGCGGTCGTATTGAGTTCTCGCGAAACCTGCACATGTTTGTGGCAACTCCAGCTCCCGAGTTAGACGACTTGGTCGAGCATGTCGCCTTTTCGGGTACTTGGGGGGAGGAAGAGCCGATGAAAGACCTCTTTGCCCAAATCAATGCGGTTGTGAGTCTGCTATGTCGTTGCACAATACAAGTTACCCAATACATTGCTTAATAAATGAATCTTCTGCTGGCGCAACAGGGTCCGGCTATACGTCATATCGTTGCAAGTGGTTTTTTGAACATCGTCGTTCCGACCTCGGCCGGCCAGCTCCCTCACGACGATCACGCACCGGACGCGGTCACTCTCTTCTCCTTTGCGTCGACGGAGCCAATCGAGAGGGTCTGGGCAATGTGAGATGATGAATGGAGGAGGGAAGGGGTACGGTTAGGCAAGCGTCCAGAGGATCTCCGCAGAGTGAACCAAGTCCTCGCCCCTGGAGAACTCAAGAAGGGAAACAAAGGAGGCTCTGCCGCTTGGCAGAGTGTGCGGAGGTTTTATCGTCTGAAATCAGCAAATGCTCTGCGTGAATTCACGTACGGCTTCACGCTGGTGGGATCGCAGTTCCGCGTTCTTATCCACTCGGCAAGCGGCGTCTTCAAGACAAACGAGTTTGACTGTTCGAAAACAAACGGCTACAAAACCCTTTTGAGATTCTTGGTCCGACTCGTTGTCGCTCCCGAGCTCGACCTCGGCGTCATCGCTTCTGGCCCAAGCTATCCCATCACAGTGGACACCCTACCGCCCATCACATACGAGCGCCCCAGCACAACTTTCTCGAGCCCAAGACCAAAACATCAAGGAGTTTGTCTGTGGCAACCGACCCACCGCAACGATGATGCAATGACCGGGCCCCGAGCTATTTGCTATTCCGGAGTCTTCAACAACGTTGAGACGGGTACTAGCCAAGCTTCGTTTGGTGGCTCACCGGAGCACTCCGTCGTCTTCTCGCTCGTCGACCAAGATCTAGCCGAGAGGACACATGAACTCCTGAAACGAGTGCATTCTCTGCAGCCACACGAGCGGGAGGGTCTCGCGGTGGTAGATATGATCTTTCGGGATCCTCAAGCCTATCGCAGCGCTCCGGTCGCTGTGGGCGGTGGTGATGCGTGATGTGGAACTGTGCCGAGAGCGATTCAATACGTCAAGTATGATGAGCTTTTCGAGTCGATTATGCAAGCTCAGTCTACGAAGCACTTGACTCGGATAATTGTAGACGTATTCAAAGGTACGTAGTGACCCTCGCTCTTCTAATTACAGAAGAGTAAGAACTGATTCAACCATTAGTGGTATGGCCCAACACAGGCGTGCGCACTCTTTACAGGCTCAATATACTGAATCTGGACATTTCAGTCGATAACATCGGCATCACCGCCGACGGCACAGGCTGTTTGACGCTCTCCAACTGGCCTTGCTTCTTGGATGATCCGTTGTCCGAGCAAGACCGTCTTGAAGCAGTAGTAAGTGTAATTTCTTAAGTATGCCTTATTTCTGCCTCTCCTGACTTTATTTGTGCCGCATGTGCAGGGCACACTGGCAACAATGGCCCGGGCGATCCTTCCGACACTGCCGAGATCTTGCAACAAGCCTAGGATCAAGCAGGAGGTTTGGCACGTTATCGAACAAGTTGTCTTCACTGTTCTTTACATCGTCGCAAGCCGTCCGTCAGGGCCAATAAGCCCGCAACGAATGTCACAAGAGGATCAGAAGTTGTGGGCATTATGGGATACAGAAGATGCCGAATTGCCCATGTCGAAGGGTTACATCTTTCGAAAACCACAACTGCTTGAATCAATCCTCAACCAGTACACCACATTCTGGACCGATCTCCCTAGATTGGTTGCTGTTATGGCGAAATACTGTGGCTTAGGCCAAGTTAGCGACTGCCTGACAATACGCGAGGAGGAAACAGTGATGGGTGCTCAGTGGGGAGGCCGCGATGGTGCCGCTCGTTTACTTGATGCTGTGATCGATGAATTACAGATGCTGTTGGTCATGTTGGTGCCACAAGATACCTCAAAAAAAGCGTAGTTTCCAGTGTTCCAAACCTCCAGCTGCATTGATATTGTTTCACATACATACATCAATTTCAGAGAGGAAGGACGGCATTGCTATTCTCGTTGATGACTCGGATGATGAAGAATGTTGTCCGACGCTATCAGATTCAAGACCAGAGGGGGATGAGGATCAGTCGGAAGTTTATCCTACACGCACCTATGCAGATAGGATAGCACTCTGTTGACTGTTGGGATGTATGATGAAGTACGAGGATGGAGGTGATCTGATCAAGTGTGTTGAAGCACAAGGGTGACGAGATTGAAGCCCAAGGGTAACGAGAGCAACCGAAGGAGAAAGAGAGCAACAGAAGGAGAAAGAGAAAGAACAGAGCTACGAAGAGGGAAGATCAACTGCGACCCAGCGAACACCAGGCTGTGTGCCTTGAAGTTCCCAGGTCAGAGGCTCCTGCCCGTTCGGAATTGGATGAGGTGCCGAAGTGCAAGTCCGACTAAGGAGTCCGACGATGAAGTGTTGAAGTGCGGGGTAAAAGCGAGGACGGTCCTGGTGCCGCTGGTGCTAATGGCGCGGGTGGATACGTGCTCGCAAGGCGTCTAGAGTAATGGGACGGGCCCGGGTGCGCCCCGTCAAACGGCGGCCCAAAGTCGAAGTGTTCGAAGGCTTGACAGAATGCAATTCAACACCCCCCCTCGTTCGAACACTTCCAGAAGGGCACGAAGGGGTTGGCGAGTGGTGTGGAGCAAAGACGAGTGACCGGTGTAGTGGAACCATGACGAGGCGAGGGTGCGAAACGACGTGGCGACGGGCGTTAGGCGAAGATCATACCTAGAACGGGCGCGTTTGGCGGACCATCGGGTTGACCCATCGCGTCGAACCACTGCAGAACCGTTAGTTCCAGTTTTTTCACTCCAGGTCGTCCTCCTTCGACATTTTTTGGGGGCTTTGGGGTCCCAGAGGCCAGCTTGAGACCACGTATAAAACTATGAAGAACAGCTGTTCGACCTGTTGCCATATCTCTTGTTTGACTAGAGGCGACTCGGAAATCGTTGGAAGGTCTGCCCAGCCCATTCAATTGCTGTCAGCGTGCCCTGCATAAGCGTTGCCCGCCAATTGGGGGAGGGGACTCGGGGGCACGGTGACGGACTTGACTCACCACAGCTTCTAGGCGGTCTTCCTCCGACGAAGTATCATTCAGAACCACAGCCAGTTGGGGAGTACTAGGAGGCATCCCGTGCCGTCGGCGAAGATGACGATGCTATCGACTGAAAAATCCAAATTCAGTATATTGAGCCTGTAAAGCGTACGGATACTTTGTTACGCCGTTGCCCTGATGACTGGATCAGAGTGTCATGAAGATCGCTGTAAACTCTCTTCGAGCTCTTGTATGTAGTGTTCGAGTCCCGAAGTCGTTGAACTTCGATTAACATCGGCCCTTTGATCTTGGGAGTGGGCTTGTTCATGAGACAGGAAGTATTACCGCGAGACCGAAAAGAATACTTGACGCCGCCCCAGTAGATCATATGGCACGGTGGTGACTATCATTTGCCACACCAAGAGGGAACCCGTTAGCTTAACCGGAACTTCAAGAAGCTTCAATGGCAGTGGATCTCGTTGACCGAGGGGAGAACATCGGATGCTGAACCTCTTGCGACTCTCAGTAGTTGCTGCTCCGTACAAATGAGGACTACTCCATGATGGCACATCATCAAGATCGCGATTTCAGGTGGAGGTGGTTTTCCGACACAATCCATACACAACGCAGACGAACACCGACGACGCACTGGAAGTTGATATCCGAGAAGCCAACACAATGACGAACGGCGGGCCTCGAATGGTCTCTCGCGAGCAGTGGCGCCCAAGTCGTCAATAACTCGAGCAAATGTAAGCCTCTTCTCAAGTGATGTTGTGCGGGGCGCGCAGCAACCGCCCCCGAACTGTGGTCCATCGAGAATGCTGGCTGCGTCGTGTCCTTTCAGGTGACCCCATCTCGATTGTCAATCGCGATTGTCAGACTGGAAAAGGATGCCTCCTGCTCACTGCCACTGTGGCGTGCACAAGCAGAGCGAGCTCGAAGTGACGGACGAGGCGTGGGCGCTGTTATCGGTGCCCGCATTGACTCGAACCTGCTTCAAATCAAATCGGCAGCGACGAAAAGGGTCAGCGGGACGGACTTGGTGCCGATCGCGAATGCGCGATGACCGCTCGTTCGAGAGGAATTGCTGTGTCGAATATGACGAATCCGTATGGCTATCGCGTCGGCGTCACCCGAGGAGCGCGAAGGTCTTACAAAATTTGTGGATGTAAATCAAGCGACTTCGAATTCGTCGCCTGCTTCCTCTCGGAACTGAAAAAGGTGGGTTCAAGCCGAGGGCGATGGAGTTGATTAGGAGCGCTGTTCGAGTGAATCTGGAGCATCGAGTCGACTGAGCCGCTCATTCAAGTCCCTATTGGGAGAGGTTGAAGTTGGGTATTTGATCACGCTCTGCCCCATTTCGTCCCAATCAGGCAAATTCGATATCTGATGTCGGATCAGCTTCCTTCCCCCACGCTTGCGCAGTCTTTACCGAATGCGTATCCTGCGTCGCGATGTCTCAACCGGAAACATCATGGTCCGACCGGATGGCGAAGACGTATTTATCGATTATGACCTTGCAATATTCATGGACGGCCTCTCCGGCGAAGAAGCACGTACGTGTCGAGTTGTAAGCCCTCTTATCTCTCCCGAAAGTCTGGGACGCTACATCGCTGACCCAAGCTTTTCCCCCTCACTCTGCACAAAGCCCCTTCGCATTCCTAGCCAGAATTCTCTACAAATGCCGCCGTGGGGTCAGGAAGCTAGGGCAGGATAGTGGAAGAAGCCGTTGCGGTGTGGAGGAATTTGAGCTCGGGACTCTGAGGGGGGCCTACGATGCCAAAGTGGGGTTTGTCCAAGCGTGATCAGACCGGAGGAGTTGCTGGAGCCACATTTGAGTTTGGAGGCAGGCCTTCATCATCTCATTGTTACTGTTGAGACGTACTGCGGACTCAGCTTGTCACTTTTCGACTACGACCACAAGGTCGCGGAAGAAGAATGCATCGAGAAGGTTCGGGGCTCGGGTGAGCTCTCTCACGACCATCTCATTTTGAAGATCTGCTTCTCGAGATTGTTCAGAGGAGAAAGGAACGATCACAACATTTGTCTCGGCGTGGATAGATCTTTGAATTTTGTATTTTATTGATCTCATCGGGTCTCCAACGTTTGCTTCTTGTTCCGGATCCCCTTAGAGTTGTTTGTCGTTCGGACTCAGCCCCATGCCTGGTTTACACATGATGTCGCAAATTGTCCACTCGTGTCTTTGCCTTGCTTCTTCAAGGGTCCCAACGAGAAGCGAAATTTGATACACGATCAGGTGAATGGCATGCAAAGCTGAACATTCTACACATTGACAAACGGATCCAGAGACTTTTCCTGTTTCTTCTGTACAACCTTCTCCCAAAATTTCTCCAAATCCGCAACAAGCTGGTCATGAGAAAGCTCACCTGAGCCCCAGCGCGCCTCAAGGTATGATGTCTCGCCCGCCTCGCCGTGTGTGAAACCGTATGAACCGAGGCCACAGTGGTTCGCGACTAGCGCGACAAGTTCGGGTAGATCCTCCCAGTGTTCCAAATAAGGTTTCAGAAGTCCCTGTCGACGCACCGGGGGTCGGATAAGCCCCTCTTTGGAAAGATAGGCCCACACATCCATATTCCAGAGCTTCCAAACGTCCTCGGCATCTTCGGCCATTCCACTCAAGTCGCCGCTCCCCTCGGGCCGATTGAAAATGACGAAGAGAATGACATAGACGAGCGACTCGATCTGGTGCCAAGGCTGAAGGGGTGTACGACTACTCGCTTTGAGGAGATACCTGGCACGAAACGCGAATGTGCCCTGTGGAGGAGTGAAAAGAAAGCTCTGGTTCAACGGACTTGCACCGAAGCATTGCGGAGTCGAGAAGAAGCCTCACAACTCGTTCCATACGCGCAGCTTCTCCAAAAGGGCCGTCCATGAGAACGGCGAGATCGTAGTCGATCAATACACCCTCACCGTCGGGTCCGATCATGATATTGCCGGGTGAGACATCGCGATGCAGGATGCGCATTTGGTAAAGACTGCGCAGACCTGCACCGAGGGAGTTAAATATTCAGTTTTGCCATGCTTGGGATGACCTTGACCAGCGCGAAATCGCACCGCACCTTTGACCGCTCCCAGCACTGCTCGTGTCAGCGCTTCAATCGAGTCGACGGCCCAGATCGGCTCGAAGCAGCGCTCCTGAAAAGTGACCTCCATCGCCCTCGGCTTGAGCCCGCATTTTTTGGCGCATTCCTCGGCGTCCAGATCGCCTTTGAGGAAGTGGGGCACAAGGGTGAAGTCATGTCGATGCACGTCCACAAAGTTTGTGAGCCCTTCGCGCTCGTGGGGTGATGCCGAGGCAATCATCTGCCGGATCTGATCGTGTTCGTTGCAGCGCGCTTCTTCCACGAACGACACCGTCATTGCGTATTCGCGATTGTCACCTGGTTCGTCCCGGATCGCTCGGACTCGTGAAGCGGATTTCTGCAAGCCGAGGACCTCTCCACTGCAAAAGACCGTCTTCTCAATCTCGATTGAGCCCATCGTGGGTACTTTGGCGAGGTGACGAGCGAAAGATGGAACCCGCGGTGGAAGCACAGCGGTCGGGAATGGCAGCGGCGGGCCGTTGGGTCCTCCAGGCGAGGCGATCTTGCCGAGATCAACATCATTCAAGCTGAGAAGGCGCCCGATGAACGTCGACAGGTGCCCATTCGCTTCGTTGCATTCGATGTCGGACGAGTAGAACAGACCAGATGGGGTGTGAAGGTAGAGGGTCAAGATCGAGCCGTCGAGCGTGAAGCCGAACGTGTGGGAGCGGATCGGTGACTCGGCAGCGAGCATGCGCAGGTGGTGTTTCAATCGCGTGGCTGGGAATACACATTCGTATTCGGAGGTGTCGTCGCTTTTCTTCATGCCACCCAGTACGCCAACCGCTGCGACCTGTTCCCAGTCTCGAAGAACATCTGCCCCATCGTCAATGTGGTCGTGGGCCCAAGCGGCAGCGAGCTCGGGATTGGCGCCGAAGGATTGGCGCGAGAGCACGACGAAATCGGGAAGCTCGGCGGGATCGTACAGGTCGCTCTCCTGGCGGAGAGCGGTTTTGACGAGTCGTCCTTGCGGCTCCTGTGACACGTCAGAGTGAATCATTGTCATAGATTAGGATTGGCGGCGCATCAAAAAGTTCACTCACCCATACAGGTTCGCCTGAATGCCACGTGATTCCGGGAGCCGGCTTGGTTATCGTTGACTCAGACTCGCCGAGGCGCGCCGCCCGGGCATCAACGTCGGGGTCGAAAAAAAAGTCCTCCAGCGGAGGCCACTTGATTTCATGGCCGCGGAAACCAGTGTTGTCCTCCGAGCTAGAAGGGAACATCCAGGTGCGTAAAACCCAAGGCCGTCGTGCGGCAAATGAGTAAGCCAGAGGTTTCGGTGGGGACGACGACGGCGACGGGATCGGTGATTCTGTGGGCCACCCCTTCAGTGAACCTGTCGATGAAGTAGTAGATGCTTTCGTGGAGCCATCTGATCGGCGAGATGCGGCCGACGACGTGGTCGAGGTAGGTGAGCCGAAATGCTCCTGTGCGACGGCGCCCCCGGCAGGCGGGGATCCGGGAGGCTGTGCACCTCCCACGTCGGCGTGAGCGGAGCCTTTGCCGGCGGACTGCGGGCTAGTCATGACACGCCACTAAGGGAAGAAAGGTGGACCAGAAATAAGAGGTGGAGAGCAGTAGGTACAGAGCTGCAGGGCATCCGCACGAAGAAAGTACTGGTCAGTTCAGTCTGTTGGCCCTTGCGTGCCGATTCCTGTCTCCACAGCAGGGCCAGCGGTATCGCATCTTGTCAATATCAGCAGCGAACGGGAAAGAGGACCTACAATAGAAAGGTGAGTCGCGCGAAGATAGGAAGGCGGCTGCTGAGTTATGCAGGGCTGACTGCCGGGCCCGACGACGGATGGCAGGGACGAAGAAGTGCTGGAGCGCCGGCGTGTGCCGGCACGCGTCTATGGGCGCAGCAGGGCAGTCTAGGGCAGTAGTAGCAGGGCCAAGCAGGGCAAGGCAGTGGCCAGGCCTGGCCTGGCTGGGCCCAATCCCGCTGATCGCCAGCTGGATATTATAGCTGGCGCGCACAATGGCCCGACCAGCCAGTGCAGTCAGTCACCAATGGTCTCCAGCTGCAGTGGATAAATAACCTTCCGGCGCAGAGTGGCTACACCGAGCTCTTAGACCACCTTTTGCAGCCTATATCAGGTTTACAATGTCCATTTGCAAATCGCACTACTGTAATGTTTTTGAAAGAGGGTTCAAAGTTAGGCCGACGAGCTGCACTGGTCACCGGGTGAAGGCAAAGCACACCTGGGGTTTGGAGGATTCGTGATATAAAGCTCCGGACGAGGAACGAGTGAAGGCCTCCGGATCGAATTCGTGGCAGAGTTGGGTGGGTGGATGGTCCAAGGATGTCGATCCGCAAACGATGCAGAGGAGCGCGGAACGGGTGCTGGATCAGTTGGCCGCGAACGTCTGAAAGTCGTTGGGTGGTGTCGAGCGAAAATCCTGGTCGTTTGAGGCGCGACTGACGAAGTCTTATGATTCGCGACAGGTGTGAAGGCTGGCCACGCTGTAAGCTCAACTAAGCCCTCCTTCTGGAGGGGCGTCGAGCTTAGCCACGCTAAGAAGAGAACGTTTCGCGATGTTGTCGTGGAATTTTTCACTCGATTCGGCGAGTGGGCGCTTCTTGGACTCGGTCTGAGTCGAGACCTGGGAGTAAGCGTCACGAGCGACATCGGCAAGGGTAGTGGAGGTTTCAATAGAGAATTATCCTTCCTCTTCTCTTCCATGAAGGCGACCATCGCCTCGATTTCGGCCTTGGAAGAGGTCCAAAACTTGGAAGTTGACAGTGGGAAGGCACTCGCCGTGTGTTTCAAATGGTCTCTGGTGGGACGACGGCATCGGTGTTTGGCCGTGAGTACAGTGGCCTCCAGGCTCAAGTCCGAAACTTCGACGATGATGACGCTGTCCGACGCCGTATCGCTCGCTACATGTCCTCGTCAAGTGAGTCCAGAAGCTCGCCCATTCGCTAATATCGTACTCAAGCCACAAGGGGCCAGCTTTTCGACGTAGCACGCATGGCGACCCGGGAAAGTGTTGTAGATACGCTTCACTCGCATTGATCTTTTTTGAAGATGTCTCAGACATCAGGGCTAGGGCGGCATACAGGAACGAGGCCGGGTGCGATCCGTCGAACGTGAGCAAGTGATCGAGTTGACGACCTAATTGGAGAGTAGCCCAGCGATCCTTGATCGTGTCGAAGGACATGGGCTGACCCAGCTTCACATTGATACTGACCCCAGGCGTTAACAAACTCATCGGGATCTGGTTTGGCCGCGCTGGACGCGATGTCAAACAACTCGGACGAGACCGTAAGACGCTTACGTTCACCATCATCATTCTCTTCGTCTTCTTCCTCGTCGTCTTCATGCTCATCATAGCGGTCTTCCGGCGAAGGGCGGCCTAGCTTGGTTGAACCGCAAAGAGGAATGTTGGGGGTGGAAGCCATCTTCCCCCGCGGGGAAGAGTAATGGGTACCGGAGAGGCATCGCACTGCAGACGGATGGAGCGAGCCAACGATTTGGCAGTTGGGCCGACCATCGGCACATCGATCACCGTGCACCTGGAGAATTTGAAGATCTTGCGGTCCTGGGCCCTCTTCGTGTGGGTCATAGCTCATTCGCCCTGATAGGGACCCCCGACTGCTGCTGCTCATGTTGAGCTGTCACAATAATCCCAGTGTCGTCTACGCGGACACAGGCTAAAGCACGCGAAACTTCAAACTGAACAAACTGACAACTATACCGCCACGCTCAAATTTTGCAGCTGGTCTACACCTACTACGAGTCCTTCCCCTTTCCTTCGGCTCTTCTCTTTGTGTTCTGTCGATGGCTGGCGCGCAGTCTGGCGACAAATGCGTGGACGTTGGTAGTCCAGAGCCGGCGTCACCGTCTGCAAACCGCGCCCGAGATGTCGCACAGCACTGCAGCATTCCAGCTCACCCACGTCGACCACGTCCTCGCCGGCATCTCGCCGAACGCGTGGCTCTACGAAAGCAATTACCGCTCCATCGATGGGCTCGCCGAAAGGGCCCTTCACAGAATCACCCTCTACTTCGCCAGCAGGGTCAGCGATGAGATCGCCACCAGGATTGCCGACCACATCGCCAAAGGTCCCGCCACCTGTGCCCTCGCCGCCTCCGACTCGCTCTTTCACCGCTCGACTCCCTTGGGTCCTGCGCACATGGATGTTCCCTTCCAGCTCGGAAGACCTGACCGGATTTCAAGGCTATGAATTCGAGTGGTCTCCAATGAAGGACTTTTTTCTGAGCCCAATCTCCAGTGGCAATGGTCCCGCGCCGGCCGTGGCGGATCTCGGCCAAGATGAGTCAACGATGAATCAGATGGCGCCGGAGATCACGTGGTATTTGGGTGATGCAAATTTGGTGAGCATCTCTTCCAAAGTAATGTTACTTCTACTGCTCTTCGGCGTTCTTGACCTACCAACGATCTGGGTCGGACAGGAACCACTAGGAAGACTCGTGAAAACCCCTCTTGACCAAGATCGCAAGTTGTACGACCGCAACGAGTTCCCCGATTTCGTCGTGCTGTCGCGACAAGCCTTCGATGCCAATCCTGAGCTCGCTTCGGCTTGGGCCCAGGATCACCTCGATGATGGAGAGAACGGTGTCCTCGACTGGGAACAAGTTGCCGCGATTGGCGTACTGGGTGGCATGAAGAAAAGCGACGACACCTCCGAATACGAGTGTGTATTCCCCGCCACGCGATTGAAGCACCACCTGCGCATGCTCGCTGCCGAGTCACCGATCCGCTCTCACACGTTCGGCTTCACGCTCGAAGGCTCGATCTTGACCCTCTACCTCCACACCCCATCTGGTCTGTTCTACTCGTCCGACATCGAATGCACCGAAGCGAATGGGCACCTGTCGACGTTCATCGAGCGCCTTCTCAGCTTGAACGACCTCGACCTTGGCAAGATCGCTTCGCCTGGAGGACCCGACGGCCCGCCGCTGCCATTCCCGACCGCTGTGCTTCCACCGCGGGTTCCATCTTTCGCTCGTCACCTCACCAAAGTACCCACGATGGGCTCAATCGAGATTGAGAAGACGGTCTTTTGCAGTGGAGAGGTCCTCGGGTTGCAGAAATCCGCTTCACGAGTCCGAGCGATCCGGGACGAACCAGGTGACAATCGCGAATACGCAATGACGGTGTCGTTCTTTGAGGAGACCTTTTGCGACGTACATGATCGGATCCGTCTGGCGATCGCATCGGCGTCACCCGAGGATCGCGAAGGTCTCACAAACTTTGTGGACGTGTATCGAGAAGTCGACTTTACCCTTGTGCCACACTTCCTCAAAGGCGATTTCGACGCCGAAAAATGCGAGCTCAAGCCGAGGGCGATGGAGGTTGCCTTTCAGGAGCGCTGCCTCGAGTCAATCTGGACCGTGGATTCGACCGAGGCGCTCGTCCGAGCGGTGCTTGGAGTGGTCAGAGGTTTGTTGCAATCTCGCTCTCATCAGTCTGATCCCAATCAGGGTTGAGCGATATCTGATGCCGGATTGGTCTCCTTCCAGGTCTGCGCAGTCTGTACCGAATGCGGATCCTACACTGCGATGTCTCACCGGGCAATATTATGATCGGACCCGGTGGTGAGGGCGTACTGATCGATTATGATGTCGCCGTGTTTATGGACGGCCCTTCTGGTGAAGCTGCGCGCCTGAAGCGACGTGTGAGGTCTCGTTCTGATATCGCGGCGCTCCACTGCTGCTCCACTGACCAGAGCCTCGTTCAATCACTCCCCACAGGGCACGTTCGCCTTCCGACCCCGGCATCTCATCCAATATGCCGGCGAAATCTTGCATCAACCTTGGCACGACATTGAGCAGCTGGTCTACACTCTCTTTTGTGTTGTTCTCGCCCGACCTAAGGGGCCAGGTGATTCGACCGGAATGTCGGACAAGGCCGCTTCGGTTTGGGAGGATTGGACAATGGAAGGTGAGGCCTATCTGGCATTCCTTTCAAAAGAAACGTTTGTTCAAGTGGAGTCGAATCGGACCAAGTTGTTGGATTCGAGTTTGGAATTCTGGCAAGGCATTCCTGATCTCATCGCCACGGTCGCGAAGTATTGCGGACTAGGCTTATCGATCGTCATGTACGACAAGGTCGCAGAGGAAGAATGCCTCGAGAGTGGATGGGGGTCAGGTGAACTCTCCTACGACCACCTTATTGCAGACCTGGAGGAATTGTTGGGGAAGACTGCGCAGAAAAACCGGGAAATGGTGCCGACTTCGCCTGTCATTGTATAGATGCTTTGACTCTATATGCCATTCATTTGACCAGTTGTAAAGTTTTGCATATCGTTTTCCGACCGTAAACCTTACGAAAGCAAGGCCGAGATGGAAATGGATAAAACCCATGCTAGGTTCGACTGATCATGGAGATTCAATTTTGTGTGACATTGTCCCATGTTGCGGCTCTGTGCGATCCTTTTTCTGAGATTAGTCGGCGCGTGTGTGGGGGCGGGGTCATCTCTGAGCCGAGATGGGCCTTAGTTGCGACCCATCGTGTAGGAAATACAAGCGTTCTATGCTCCTACTCTTTGGTTCGAATCATCATTGTATCGCACCATATGGCATAATGTTTTGTTTTTTTGAATTTTCACGTCCAAATCAATGTGCGCAGTCGTTCCAGGATCTCTTCATTGACCACGTCTTCGAGTCAGGTCTTCGAGAGGTTCTGATCCTTCAAAGCAAGCTGGAAAATGGGTGGCTCGGAATCTTTCAAGAAACCTTTGATACGAAAAGGAACCTCTCGGCTAGCGTTGATGTCGAAACAAAGGGACAAGGCGAGATATTACCTGTTTTATTCGAGATTCGAGATTGGAATGCAATGGTCAAGTGAGTTTTGCCTCACCCGTCGCGCACGCCATGGGACGGGGTCGAATCGGGTCGAGCCGAGCCGAGCCGAGCCGGGGAGTGCCACGCGTCCATCATCTACGGCCGGCCCGCCGCGCTCGGTCCTGCTTTTGTCTTCGTACCCCACACCCACACCGCACCGCATCCAGACCAAGTGACCCCTCTCTTTTGCTCTCAAAACACCACCGATCCTGACGATCTCAATCCGGCCAACGATGGCGTCCCTGCAAGACCGCCTGCAAGCCGCGTCCGAGTTCCTGCTGCAATCTCCACCTGGTGAAGGTCAGTCCAACGCGTGGTCTCAGCCCAGATCGTGTCGCCTACCGAGGCATTGCACGAGCTGATCGATCTTGCTGCATCTGTTGCGTAGTGAACGACGTCTTTTCCGATATCCGCTTGTTGGTCTCGGACGATAACGCGTTGGAAGCGTCGATCGTTCCGACCCTGTCGCTCTACAACCGAACCAACTACGTCGCCGTCACTCTCGAACACGACCCTTCGACCTCGTTCCTCCTCACAGAAGGGGGGAGGATCGTTTCCTCATCCAACGATCAAGAAGAAGAACGTTACGTGTGCCCTTCATCGCAAACGAGTTATAAGGTCAACCATCTCCGCCTCATCGCTTCCGATCCTCGACCGTTCCCGATCGAGCACGAGACCCAGGCGATTCGGGACAAGGTCGCCGATTTGTTGGCCAAGTTCGTCAAGAATCATTACCACGACGCCAAGTCCGAGGTTGTCGTTTTGGACGACGGGAATTTCCCGGCGCGGCTGGTTGAGGAGGAGATCGAGGAACCCAAGTTGGCTACCGTAGAGGACACCAAGGTCGATGAAGACGCTAAAATTGATGAAGAAGAAGGCTCCGAAACGATTGAAGGAAAGGAAGGAACGGAAGGCGAAGTAGAGCCTTCCAGCACGGCATCGGCATCGACAGAAGAGGACCCGGCTCCGGCTTCGCCGATTCAAGTTGACGACGAACCCACACCAGCTGCTGCGCTTGAAGACCCTACAGAGCAGTCCACCGAACCAAAGCCCAAGGTATTGCACCCTCGTACTTCCCGCATATTTGCGCTGTACTTTGTCGGTAACAAGTACAACCCTTCCAACTATTGGTCAGTCCCGTTTCCGGCGCATCTAGTTTCTCCTATGTGGGCTGGAGCTGATACGACTCTGACTTTGAATGGTTGCAGGACGGGTCGATGGCGATCGGTGTACACCGTTGATTTCGCGAAACGATCCGTCGAAGCCAAAGCCGAGATCAACGTTCACTATTTTGAACAAGGTCCGTACCTCGGTACTCCACCTCTCGTGCGAAACAATGCCCCCCTCCTAACGTTTTTTTCCTCCTGCTCATCTATTCTCTCAAATCAGGCAACGTACAACTATCAACCCTGCTCACCTCCACCCTACCACTCCGTACCTCGAACCCTTCCCCCGAATCCTTGATCGCGTTACTCAAATCTTCCGAAACGACTTTCTCGTCCCAATTGGCCGACGCGTTCGAATCCTTCTCCGAAGAGGGGTTCAAGGGTTTACGAAGGGCTTTACCGAAGAATAAGTGTAAGATGGAGTGGGAGAAGGTAGGGCATTACAAGTTGGGGAGGGAGATGGGAGGAGGAACGACGGAGGGTTGAAGAGCGCAAAGGAAGGAGGCGCGCGCGCGCGCACGTGGAGATCCGAGTTCGTTGTCAAGGTTTTCGGTGGGAGAAGGTCGGCGTGGGATTTGTTCCTGGGGTAAATCTACAGGTTACAGGATGATGAATGCACGTTTGATGCAATGAGGCTGCTCCTCCTTGATGGGAGAATTCTACGAACTGCACAGAGAGAGAAGAGAAGAGACGAAACGAAGCGCAGAAAGAGCAAAGAAAAAGAAAAAGAGATCTAATCATGCGACGAAGCCGAACCCAAACACCCCTAATCCTCATCCGAACGCGACGAAACACGTCACCCTTACTGACTGTTCTCGACGACCTTCTTCGCGACGTCCCTAAAGTCATTCAAAGCCTTCTTCGCACTCCCATTCTTGAGACTCTTCCTCGCCAATTCAACACCTTCGAACCCATCTTTGGCCTTCCCAGCAACGATCAACACCGCTGCGGTATTGAGGACCACGAAGTTCTCGATGGGGTTGGAAGGACCGAGTTGGTCGTCTAGGAGGGAGTTGAGGCTCGACGCGTTCTCCGAAGGTGATCCGCCTGATACGAGGGAGAGTGGGGAGCAGGGAAGACCGAAGTCGCGCGTGGGATGGATCACCCGAGCAGTGATGGTATCGTCTTTGAGATCCCAAATCTGATTAATAAAAATAAAAAATGGTTCGCAGATGAGTTTGTACGCCGTGTTTTGAATTCGTACGAGCCAATGGAATGACTTACATCCGTCTCGCCCTGAATACTGATCTCGTCCAAACCTTCCCTCCCACAAACGACCCAAGCCCTCTTGACGCCCGTGATCCTCAACACCTCGACAAAGATCTCCCCGAGGCATTTCGAATGCACGCCAACGATCATAGCCTTGGGTTTGACTGGGTTGATCAACGGACCCAAGGCGTTGAAGACGGTAGGGAAGGCGAGGGATTTGCGGATCGGAGCGAGACGAACGAGGGAAGGGTGATAGGTGGCGGCGTAGAGGAAGAGGAAACGGGAGGAGGAGGCGATCTCGGAGAGGGAGGAGGGTGGGATGAGCGTGACGGGGCAGTCGAGAGAGAGAAGGATGTCGGCACTACCGGAGGAGGAGGTCGCGGCTTTGTTGCCGTGCTGGATGAGCGCAGTGCGAGGAAGAGGGGGTTCGCAGGGAGAAGGTGGTGGGGGGTCGAAGAAAAAGTGGGGGTGTGGGGGGGGGGGGCAAAGTGAGGGGGGCATGCAAAGGCATGTGATCATGTCAGCGAATGATTTCGGGGCAACAAAGACACCTCAATACTCGGTACCTCTCGAAGACTGACCTTGTAGACCCTACATCCGACACCCGCGGCGACGATCGCGGCCGTGGTCGAAACGTTGAACGTGTTCTGGCCGTCTCCTCCCGTGCCGACGATATCGCAGACGGGACCTTCTCCCAGACCTTCTCCGACGTCGACGGTGGCGGCGTGTGATTGCATCACCTTGGCACACTCTGCGACGATCAGAGGGTTGCCATCCTTGCCGGAGAAACGAAGAGCGGCGAGGAAGGCTCCGATCTGGGCTGGGGCTGCACCGGCCTCGGCGGCGAGGTGTTGGAAGGCGAGTGAGACGTCGACCGAGGTGAAAGTCGAGGGATACAGGACGAGCTTCTTGAGAAGGGGAGCAAAAGATGCAGGCGAGTACTCGGGCTCGGGTTCGCCAGGAGCTTGCTTCGGAGAGGGCGACACCGCTCTCGAGTCGTCACTGTGGGAGCATGGCAACCGTTTGAGCTCCACCTACATCAAGCGGATCAGACCGTCACGGGCGACCTACCCTACGATCCTGTTGGTGTCGTTGTTGAAGGGGGTGGTCGATCCCGAGCCCGAGCCCGAGCCCGAGCCGGAAGAAGCTCCTTTCGACGAGTGGCCCGGGTGCTGTTCGTTGTGCTGCTTCATCTGCTGCTCGTGTCGATCTGCGCGCTTGCGTTCGAGGCTGAATTCGGCTGGAGGGTCGCAGAAAAGTGTTTGGCTAGCACGTACACACGGGGTGTGGGTGACAGTGAGGGCGAAGATGAGGTGAGGAAGGAGAGAAGCAAGAACGAGAGGGGACGACTCGGAGCAGGTTCGCCTCTGAACGTGATCGCCGGTTTTTTTGACTCTTTCCGAACTGGGTCCGCGGTCCGATCTGTGGCTTGGAGTGCGGTCGGTCGTACGTCGCACGTCGCACGTCGCACGCCTCATTACTAATAGGCGCGAACAGGCGCTAAACCCCGTCCTCAATCCCCCCCGCGCGTGGGTGCGACTCTCTCCTATTCCTGCTCGTACGACGTATGTAGCCACCTCTGCCGAGCTCAAATCGATCTTCCCGAACAAGCCCGTGACTCGTCGATCGCGCGACTTGGCTCCCTTGGCGCTCACCCCTCTCCTCCCCTTTCTGCACCCCCTCGATCACTTGGGCGCACTCTGATCAACATCAACACCACTCCGCGACAAGACCCGACCGGACCCGACCGATCCGCATGGCCGCACCCTTGTACACGACCGACAGTGGTCGACTCTACCATGCAGGCCAGATCCTGCTCGCATTCGTAGGACTGCCAGGTAGGTCACCTTGGCCAGCTCGCCGCCCCCACTCTTGTCCTCTTGTCGCAAGTGGGGGAGTGATGACCGATAAGGCTTCCCTCGTCCTTTCTTCTTGGCTGACCGACGCGCTCCTGTCTTGTCTTCTTGGCCTTGTTCTTCTAGCTCGGGGAAAGACGTCAGTTTCATACTTCAGACGCTCACGTCGTCGTCGCATGCGCTGACGCCCTCCCCCGAAACATCCCATCCGTCTCACCAGACACGTCTCGCGATCCGTCGAACGCTACCTACGCTGGCTCGGAGTAAAGATTGAAGGTGCGCACCCGTATCACACTATCAACATCATGTCAGTCCGACTGACTGCCGCGCTCCCCACAGTCTTCTCCCTCGGCGACCACCGAAGACGAGTGCTCGGACCGTCGGCCAAACTGCCCAAAGACTATTTCTACACCGAAGGGCGCTGTGCAGAAACGGAACAACTGCGTTCACTCGTCAAGGACAGCCTAGAAACAGAGATCATCTCCTTCTTCAACCAACGCAATGGCCAGGTCGCCATCTACGATGCGAACGTGAGTGCTCGGCGCCGTGCAGTGGAAAGATCGATGTTTCGCCAACTCGATGGTTTCCCGTGGCTTTGCTCCGAGCCTCACAGAACAGCAAGCGATCGATGAGGATAGGCATCAGACAAAGGTTTGAAAAGATCGGCGTCAGCGTCATCTTTATCGGTGAGCACGGGTCACCTGGCAGCCTCAAAAGTCCGCGAACAGCCGCTGTAGCGCACACCTCGGCTGACTTGGGCCACTGCACACCAACTCGCAGAAAACATCTGCGATAGAGCCGATATAGTAGAGTCCAATATTCGATCAGTCAAGATCAGCTCCCCTGACGTGCGTCTTCTCTTGCTCATGTCTCAAACTCTGCCTGATCCGATGCTTCTTGTCCTCAGTACGCCGGCTGGGATCAAGAGAAAGCCGTCGCCGATTATCTGTCCCGTATTGCCCAGCATGAACGTCACTACGAGACCCTCCGACCCGAGATTGGCGCCTACGTCAAGATCTACAACGTCGGCGAACGGCTCGTCGTCAACAACGTGCGCGGCTACCTGCAAAGTCGAATCGTCTTTTACCTGATGAACGTGCATCACAAGAAGAGGACCATCTGGTTTGCTAGGGTAAGACACTGTGTTCAATTCGAGTCGAGGTACTAGCTGCTGACGTCGCATCCTCAACTCGCTTTGCGCAGTCGGGTCAATCCCTTATCGAGCACTCTTACAAAGCCGACGCCGATCTCTCCCCGCAAGGTATCGAATACGCCGAGAATCTACGCGACTTTATCGTCTCGAAGCGTGCCGAACTATTGCAAGAACGCGTCAAAGCCGGTGAGCGCGCGACCGAACGTCGTCTCACGATTTGGACCTCTGCGCGCAACCGCTGCCTTTCGACGTGTCGTCCTTTGCAAGAGATAGGGTACAAGGTCATCGAGAGGCAACAGATGTACGAGTTGAACCCCGGCGTGATTGACGGGATGGAGCCGGACGAGATACAGAAGATGTTCCCCGATGAGTTCAAGGCGCATCAGGTCGCACCGTATAGTCATCGATATCCTAGGGCCGAGTCATACCACGATCTAAGCGTCAGGTGAGTGCATTCTTCTCCACTTGGTGAGTGGGTGTTGACGATGCTAATGCTTTTCCTTTATCGTGCCAGGTTGGAACCGGTGATCCTCGAACTTGAGCGCGAGCCGGCCGACATCCTCTTTATCGGCCACGCCTCGGTCATTCGTTGCGTCATGGCTTATCTCCAGGTACATACGAGAGCTCATTCGACTGACCATTTAGCGTTAGGTGCTGATGTCTCGGCGTTCCCTCGATTCGTACAGGGCCTGACACCGCAAGAGATCCCCAACGTCGAATTGCGCCGAGGCGACGTCGTGCAGGTCTCGCCTAGTTCGTGTGAGTGGTCGCACATACGGTTCAAACTTGCTTGGTTCGAGTTGCTGATTTGATTTTTGTCGGATCCTCACCAGATGGGGTCGAGTTGACCACGCATTTCATTTGGCAAGCTTGAGGCGGGAGCACGCTGAGATGTGGGGAGGGGGAGCATCGTTCAGCTTGTTGGGGGGTGGTTGATTGTTGTGGAGGTGGTCCGAAGAGGTTGCCTGTATCTGTAATGCGATTTTGCGGTGTATGCGAATCATGATGTAGGGCCGATTGTTCCTAGGTTGTCGGCGCATTCGGTGAGGAATGATGCGCAGTCCATCGCTCGAGCTTTCTTGCTCGCTTCTTCTCTTTGATGGGATCAGAAGCTTCCTGTTCAATTATCATATTCTGACAACCTTACTGAACATGTTATCGTGATACAGGTGTGAGGAGAGACATTCGTAGGTGCAAAATGCGGAAGGTCTTCCTCCAAGCCATGAACTGCCCGCTTCAACTTTTGGGCGATATTGTGTTGCTGCGATGCCTTCGAGGTATGGCGAACTAGAATCGCACGCAATAGACCTCCACGCCCGCCCATCAAGATGCTTGGAACCGCTATCCCCATGGGATCCCACTCATGTCGATCACTCTCTCCTCTCTGCCCACCGGCGCGTTGACGTCGACTTTGCACACAGGAGGTCGCAGCGTGGCCAAAACCCTGCGAAGATCACATTCGACGCGCGCACGCGATGACCCTGCCCTGCTGACGCCGATCGAGCGCTCACGCTTACGCGTCGCTTTCCTTGCACCTCCCTCGTCCCTCGTCGCTCCCACTCTCCACATCTCTTTACGCACTATGGCATTCCTCGATGGTCGTCTCGTTCTCAGCTCTGAGAGATTCACGGAGCGCGTCGATAGCGCGGGAAAGCAGGTCGTGATGCGCAAGACGAAAACAGGCCTCGTCGGGACGGCCAAACTCAAGACCTTGCAAAGAGGGGAACCGGCACCAGCACAACGACGAACGCGTGCAATGAGAAGTCAATCCGTCATCGACCACTTTGGGCGCGGAACAGAGGCATACCTCGACCAATTTGGCGTCAAGGACGAGGTCGAATCTTCGATGTTGACGCGTCTGAGCACGGTTCCCGTCGCGTTCCAATCGACTGAGGCAGAGTTCCAGAGGAGCTTCAGCTCATTACGACAACACGTCGTGGAGCCGTCCCTGCAGATCGTGGCCCAGGCCAAAGGTTTGGCCACCGTCCCATTCCAACAGGTCGAGGCTTCGCCAACACGCCGATACAATCAGGAAGACGAGGTCGAGGTCGCCTTCCTGATTGTATCGGCGCGTTGGCGAAGCCTCGAGCTGTCGGCGCCCGAACCTCTGGCCTGGGTCACGATTTGAAGGGACGGCTCCATGACGTGTTGTCGGAATGAGCTGAGGCTCCTCTGGAACTCTGCCTCAGTGGAGTTGAACGCGACGGGAACCGTGGTCAGACGCGTCAACATCGAAGATTCGACCTCGTCCTCGACGCCAACGCGGTCGAGATATGCTTCTGTTCCGCGCCCAAAGCGGTCGTTGACGGGTTCACTTCTCATGGCACGCATTGCTCGTTGTGCTGGTGCCGGTTCCCCTCTTTTCAAGGTCTTGAGTTTGGCTGTCCCGGCGAGGCCTGTTTTCTTTTTCTGGTCCGAAATCCGAGACACAGGAATAGGGGACACCAAGTTGATGGTGATGGCGACCAAAGACGCGAAAATCCGGTCGACTTCGTCCCTTCGCACTCCCAGTGTCGAGCCTTGCAGTGGGTGCACACGGCCCTCTGGGGGCGAGATAGTCGCCGGATGGCTACTTTGGGCTCGAGTGCAGTGGTTTGAGCGCGATTCGAGCTTTGGACATAACTTTGCCCAGGATTTCCCCCTTGGATGAGTGTCACGAGAATTCGATGAGAGTGGGACGGAAAAGGACAGCTTTAGAAGAGGAGTGTGGCCGTATTATCACAGCTTCTCTGAACTCATGTTGTTGAGGCCCTAAAACCGGTGTCGCGAGGTCAACAACACGTCGCGTCATTGGCCGCCACGCCCATCGCCCGCACCCGCAGCGAGCGTCAACGCGTCAACGACTGCGGGACCACGCCTGAGCTCTGTAGAAGAAATGTCAAGCAAACCCTCGCGGTTGCTATACCAACAGAACTAAATAAACCGCTCAACTATGACTAACTCGATTCGAATGGTACGGAATATGCAGGAATGGACGTACATGACTTCTGATCGGGACGCCGATACTTAAAGCAGGTGCGGCAGACCTAACAGTATATGCTGGCACGTTCACCACACGGAGGGCCGCCTGTGCAACACAGTCGAAAACAGCCTTTTTAGATACACGAGTCGCCGATCGACACCTTTTTCTACAAAAAAGTAGTGAAGAGGTAGTAATCATCTGAGCAGATTTGACTTGTGGTTGTCGCAGAAATGTTCTCATGTGGAAACTGGTGATGACCACGACTCAGTCCAATGAACAGGGACGAGAACAGAGTGGCCAGAGACTAAGGGACAGACTCGCGGAAGGCTAAAAAGTGAAGCGTAAAGCTAATAAGGAGAGAGATTAGAGACTAGTAAATTAGGGAGATTGAGTGACTAAGGCCTAAATGACACGCCGCTAGGCTCGATCCCAAGTACCATAATAGGAACGATAATCAGGTGAAGGACGATACAACCATATTTTCCTGACAGCTGTCACTCTCGAACGTAGATGAGGGCCTGGGCCGCCGACTGAGACGTGAAACAAATTGAAGATTGCAGCCATGACTTGGGTGAAGCAAATGCGAGGGGCCGACTGAATACAAGCTGATGAAGGGAGGGGGGCAACGAATACAAGCTGATGCAAGGTGCGCACTGAATACATGCTGAGGCCAGGGTGAAGTGTCTGTCAACCGCAGCAGAATTATATCGATCGGTGGTGGAAATTTGAAGGGCAGGGCCTCGCCGAGAGCCTCTTTGAGGCTACGCTAGGTCTCAGAATCAATTGCCGAAGAGGTAGGAGCGCCTGTATGGTGCCTGAGGCCAATCAAACTAGGGGTGAAGACTTTGCCTACGCCCCGGAACTCCTTGGTCTCTTCGATGGTTGTCGAGGTTCTGGTCGTGGTACCCCAGGTTAGACGAGACAATTTCAACAAGTTTTTTGAGTAGGCTGCAATATAATCTCACCAGGAGGTCGGTACTCTGGATGAACGTCAGAGTCGAGCTCAGAAGATGAAGAAGTCGTCTGCGGGTCGCCTGTCGAAGCAGGTGATCGCGGGATCGGACCGAACAACTTGGCGATGGTGGCCGCGTCGGGCTGGTCCACGTTGAAAACGTGACACCAGCTCAAGCCTACAAGCAACAGTGCCAGGGATTTGGCGGGATACATGTTGTTGGGATCCTCGAGCGAGAAAGGAACTGCAACCTTGAAGGCGGGCGAAAACAGAATGCCAAACGAGGAGGGGCTATTGGGATCGGGCACTGCTCAGAAATAACTTCCGAGGCCCATCAGACGCTGCTATACAAGCTTACGGTAAGAGTGCACTTACCAAGCTCTACCAAGATCGCCAAGTGCCCACTGAGAATCAAAGCGAAACGGATGGGGAGCATGTAAACCTCGATCGCAACCCGATCTAATGGAGACTCGGCAAGACATCAGCCTGAGGCACAGACGGAGAAGGGGATAGGTGAAGCAATCGACACACCTTGGCGAGGATAGCTTCACTTTCGACGACCTCCTGGAAGACGTCGAGTTCGACAACGTCGTCATCTGCCAAACAAAAGGCCGGGTCGTGAACAGTCCAATTTTTCTGGGCGTACCCATGAAGAACGGAGTCCCGTTTGCACTCGAGGCAAAACACAGCGACTGCGATTGACTTGGCATCGGACGGTGAAGAGGTAGAGGCAGGATTGCCGGTCAAGACTTGCAACAGAACCACATCAATATCTCCTTCTTGGTTATAGCGTCTCTGAGGGGAAGCCTCCAACTGTTGCCAAAAGTCGTCGATGGCCGAAGCGCGCGCACGAGCAACAATTTGCATGGCCGGTGTGACAAGGTGCTGTCGAAGCGAGCTGAAGTGGCTTCTAGATTCTGCCTTCGTTTGGTTGAACGCCGGGGGGACCGTTGGCAGAAGCGCTGACAGTACACCTTCGACCTCGTTTTTGACCCCCAGTTGATTGAGAAACGCCTCAGTTCCGAGACCAAATCGATTGGTGAGATGATGGCATCGCATTGCTCGCGTCGGAACCCGCCTTGGCGCGCTTCTTTGGCTCTTGATCAACGGTTTCAATGGCGCGGTCGAACCCGTCTTCATCCGGGGCTTGTCAATGGATTTCCCCTTACTGCTGACCCGATTCTGGCAGATACGAGAGTTCAGAAGAAGGCGGTTGTCCAGAAATGACATAGTGTGTAGAGAGATGTCGACAATGAGAGGACGGGGGATGATGGGTGAGGTGGAGTGAGTCGGAGCTAGATAGAGATGACGCGCTCGCGCGAGCCCTGCTGCTGGTCTCAAAACGGCCGGTTGCCCTCGATTGCCAAAGGGACCTCGAAAAGCGCTTCGACCCAAGCGCCGCAGTTCGCTGCGGGCGTGCTAAACGCGGTATTTAGCCGAGGGAAGCACTCTAGCGCCGAGTCGGATCATCGCCATCGTGACGATCGATCGACGAAGCTCACATGGCACAACCACATCTCCCTCCGGCATCGATTCATTGCTTGAAGCGTCTCGTGTCAGTCATGACTCCGTCATAGTTCACATTGTGGCGCTTGTTGGCCTCTGGACGGCCCTGTGGCTGATCTCCGAGTCTTCAAGCTCGACATCGAGGATGGGTGAAGTCACATTCTGCATTTCAGCTCGTTCCGTAAAGACGTCATTTTTAGAAGATACATCGCGTCCGCATGGGTACGCGCTTCTTCTCCGCGGTGAGGATCGCTAGCGCAGTACAGCCGGACAGGAGCTACATTGAATCTCTGTTGCCTTAAAATTGTGACTCGGGGAGAAAACATACAAACGGAGAAATGAATCATTCGACGCCCTAACGGCGGCACAGATGATATCTGCTTACACAGCTGGGAAATATTGCAGATGCCACTGTTTATTGCCAAGCGCCGATGATCGAGGGGTCGGCTGGCATATCAGATCAGAGGCCGGCAGGTGCGGAGTTGCGAACATCACCGGCGACCGCGACCGCGCCAGCGGCTCCAGGCCTCGGACTTGTGATAAGCATTTGCAACGCCCAAGTGACCTCGACTGGCCGACATCATCGCACGATGCGATGCACCGCAAAGAATATGAAAATTACCAACGCTATGAAAGCTTCTCAAGGGTTGTGATTCTGACTCGACCGTCTCCGAATGCGATCTGTTTGCTCGAGCGAGTTCGATGGGAAGGTCTGCTGAGCTTGCACCTCGAGCCGAACAGGGTCATGCGTTTGAGAATGTTTAGACTGGGAATCAGTTTCGAGTGTAGAGCGAGGTGGGACGAGCGAGGTGCATCGTGATGATCACGCGTCGGTTTCGTCGGGCCGGTCACGCCGCCGCCGGCTCATTTCGCATCGGGGGGAGGAGGCTCTTGGTCTCCTAATTCCGCCGAATCACCTCTGCGGTCATATTAATTGGGTTGAAGACTCTCAACATGAAAATAATTTCGAGTTCCACCCGTTTCCGTGCAGGAACAACCAACTTGATCCACTCGGCTGCGACCTTGATGTGGTCAACGCGCCATCCCTCCGCCTAACAGGCGCCCGCGCATGCTCGACCGGTGCGGACAGGAGGTCCGTGCAAACAGAGAGGGCGGTGGGCTCGAATCGGCCCGAGTCGGGCGGAAGCGACTCTCTCGTTCTTCCCATCACCCTCCGAGTCTTGTACGTTTCATCGCTACCAGCTTCATTCTTACCCCTCATCTAAAACGCCATAACATCCAACTTCGTCGAAAACATGTTTAAGAATCACCCCTACTACGCTGACATGGTTTATGTGAGTCATCCTTCCACACACACACCATGACCCGTCAAGTCCGATCGATGAGGTTGTGCCACGATTCCCCTCCCTCCCCCCCCCCCCCTCTCTTGGGAATTCGTTCGGCGCTGACTTGGGGGCAAGATCTGAACATCTCGGTTCTTTGTACTACAGGAAGTGTTTGTGAATGTGGATCAACGGTGAGTAGTACACCGAGGACTCGAATTCAGGTGCGATCGGCGCGCCGTCCGAATTTGACATCGCGAGTGCCTTTGACGCGGATTCCCATTGTCGGGAATTCGGACGGCCGAACCGAAACTCGAAACTCGAACCGAAAGATTGACAGGCGCGAGGAACCTTGCTCGACTCCTCCATAGTGCGCGCTGTTTGTGGCGTTTGTTTTAGGATGGAAGAGTCGAGTTGCAGTGATA